TCATGACAAGGGTCCCAGGCTGAAACGGCATATTCAAGTTTTGGACGAATTAGTGTTTTGTAAAGTAAAAGTTTTAGAGATGAGGGAACTTTTGCAAAATTACGTCGAAGATATCCCAACATACGGTTAGCGTTATTAATTATATATGTTATATGAACTGTCCAAGTGAGATTTGATGTGATGTGAATACCAAGATATTTATAACTAGTCACAGCATCTAGGGGCGAGTTATGAAGATGGTAAACAGGTAGATTATGATTTTTCCTGGACACCCGCATAAATTTACATTTGTTAATGTTCAATTGCATGCACCACGTTTTGCACCAAACAGAAATAGCGTTAAGATCGGACTGGAGCGTGTTAATGTCATTTTCACAAGTTATTTCCCTAAATACAACACAATCATCGGCAAACAAATGAATATGGGAAGAGACACAAGAGGGTAGATCATTAATGTATATAAGAAAAAGAAGAGGTCCGAGCACAGAGCCTTGTGGCACACCGGAGTGAACGCCACTCGGCTGAGAGAGGTGATTATTACCTACAATGAACTGCGAGCGGTTAACCAGAAAACATTCAAGCCAGATAAGGAGTTTTGGGTCAAGGTTAAGTTGGTGCAATTTATAGAGTAATAGCTTATGGCTTACCTTATCAGAAGCTTTTGAAAAATCTAAAAAGATGCAATCGGCTAATGAGGAATGGTCAAGAATAACATTTAGTTTATGAAGGACTGATACCAATTGTGTTTCACATGAGTAGGTTTTTCGAAAGCCATGTTGTGACGACGTGAAAAACGAATTAGATTCAAGGAAGTTGGCGAGGTTCGAAGATAGTATATGTTCGAAAATTTTACATGGGATGCTGGTTAGTGATATTGGTCGGTAATTAAGTGGAGAATGCTTGTTACCTGATTTATGAAGTGGAATCACCTTCCCGACCGTCCACTCAGCTGGAAGACAACCATTATCGATGGTCTGTTGAAAAATTTTTGACAGGATAACTGAACAATAAACGCTCGTACAATTTAAAAATTTGGGGCTGATGAGGTCACAACCAGGAGCGGAGGAAAGTTTAAGTGATCTAATTATGCTTTCGACACCTAAAGGATCTATGATTATCGGGAACATAGCAGGGTAGTCGTAAGAATAGGTATTTGGTAGTGAGATGTCGGAAGTTACAGAAAAATTACGCGTAAAAATTTCATTGAAGATAAACGGACATTGATGAGGGGGAATGAGATTCCCTGAACTGTCAACTAATGAAATATTATCATCATCAGCAGGATTTATCACGCGCCAAAATTTTTTAATGTCGGTTACAAGCATGGATGGTAAGGTAGTATTATGGTATTTTTCTCTGGCTGTTTTAATGGCCGCCACGTATTCATCAGAAGCCAGTTTGTAAGCGGCCCAACGAGCATCGTCTGATGATGAATTGGCCGATCTGTACAATCGCTTTTTTCTGTTAGATAGACGTCTGATGTGGGGGTTATACCAGGGAGCATTACTGTTAGATATGATAGTGCGGGTAGGAATGTACTTATTAGTTAAGTCGTTGATCTTGGCCACGAAGATATCCCAGTTGGATTGCACGCTGCGAATTTCAAAGTCCTTTAAAAATATTTCGAGGAAGACAGATAGATCACTATTAATAGCCTCAAAATTTGCCTTTTGATAATTACGAATAGTTTTCATTTTTCTTTTAGTCTTAACGCGCTGCAGGTTGACGTGAAATGACAAAAGGGTATGATCACTCAAGCCAGGTAAGTAAGTAATTTCTGAGATGAGATCAGGGCAAGATGTTAGTACAAGGTCTAGTGTATTCGCGACTGATTCGGTTATTCTTGTGGGTTGCTTGACAAGTTGCGTGAATGAAAACAGAGAACATAGATTTAGAAATTCATCTGCTAGAGTGGAAAAAGGTTGCATACAAGGCGATTCGCTGTCCCATGAAATATTAGGAATGTTAAAATCGCCCAGTAAAAATAAAGGTAATGTAGGATGACGAGACACAACTAGGTTAATTACATCATGTAGCTCGTTTACGAAGGTGGAAGAATAATTAGGGGAACGATAGCAAGTACCAACAATAACTTTTTGCCCATTCATTTCAATAATAGCCCATACCATTTCCAAGTTGCTGGGGATATGAATACACTGGGAAGGCAATTCCTTGGAAATGGCCAAAAGAACGCCGCCGCCTCGACGCGTTGTGCGGTCGCAGCGATAGACAGAGAAACAATGTGCTGACTCGAAGATTTCGTGATCGCGAAAATGAGGATGCAACCAGGTTTCAGTTAATGCTATGATATGAGCATTGCAGGTATCTATAGCTGAGGTTAGTGAATCGCGCTTATTAGTTATGCTACGAATGTTACAGAAAAGAACCGATACATCAGATACGTTAAGACCACTGCCCCTCGCGTTTCCCTATCTCTCCTCGTGTGCTGAGGTGCTCGGCTGTGGGTTATCAGGGGCGCGTTGGGGCGCAAGTTCGACTACGCTCTCGGTTGCCATGTCATACACGTATTGCTTTTTGTTTATAACGAGCTTATTGTGGCGCAGTTGGAATTTTGGTGACTGAGGTAGGTTTTTAGCAAACTCGATAAGCTTTCTTCGAGCAATACGCGTGGCGGGCGAGAAATCTTCGCTAACAGTAACGTTTATTTCCCTCAGCTTAGCGCGTGCCGAAAGGATCTTATCTTTTATTTTGTAGCCAGAAAGCTTAACTATGATGGGGCGGCATTTGTTCGGCGTGAGTGGCCCCAGACGATGGGCGCGTTCAATGGAATTTTCAGGCATGGTATCGAGTGCGTTTGTCAAAATTCTTTTCACGTGTGCCTCAGACTGCTCCCATGACTCGCGGGAGTCGGGAATGCCATAAAAGAGTAAGTTGTCACGCCGCGACCTGTCCTCCAGTTCGTCGAGGCGGGATTCCATTGAGTCATGCTGAGTGGTTAGCACTTTTACCGAGTCCTGAATTTCGACCAGGTTCGTGTTAAAATTGTCGAGTACCTTTGTTTTTTCTTCAAGGGCGTCTAGCCGTTTTTGAATGTGGCCAATTTTAGTTTCAATATTTTTTTGGCCAGTCTTTATTGATTTTACGTCAGCGACCAGCTCAACTTGACTCTGTGCCGATTGAACAGACCGTGCCTGAAGGTCTTTTAAAAGGTGAAAAAGGACAGCCATCTGTTCGGACGGCTCGTCAGGCAGAGTGTCAACCTCCAGAAGTGTCCCAGAACGAGTATGAGGGCCCGGATTCACTTCGACGTCACCGCAGCGCAATAGCAACCGAAACATCGAAAAACAATCACAAGCAATTTCACAAAGCACTCCTGGGCACGGGAGCAAGAGCAAGTAGGGGTCGTTATTTTTTTTGGCATAAAGAGAAAATTGATTACAGACCTGCAAAGCGCAGAAGCGCGGCATTAGGGCCATGTCGACGCCACTGCTCCCGTGCCCACTGGAGAAGCAGTCGCGCTGCCAGCCGTTTAAGAGGAGGGCGGGAATTGATGTCGCTGTCGATGACGCTGCGGGACCACGAACTGGTTGCAGCAGACGAGGGTGATCCGGGACAAAAGAGCTGACGACGTGCTGCTGGCCGACGCTCTCGTTAGATTGTAATCCGATGGGGTATCCGGCCGTATCGCTTGGCAAAGTTGAAGGCAGGGGCAGGAAAAATGCCAGGAATGCCTGCAAAGCGCAGAAGCGCGGCATTAGGGCCATGTCGACGCCACTGCTCCCGTGCCCACTGGAGAAGCAGTCGCGCTGCCAGCCGTTTAAGAGGAGGGCGGGAATTGATGTCGCTGTCGATGACGCTGCGGGACCACGAACTGGTTGCAGCAGACGAGGGTGATCCGGGACAAAAGAGCTGACGACGTGCTGCTGGCCGACGCTCTCGTTAGATTGTAATCCGATGGGGTATCCGGCCGTATCGCTTGGCAAAGTTGAAGGCAGGGGCAGGAAAAATGCCAGGAATGCCTGCAAAGCGCAGAAGCGCGGCATTAGGGCCATGTCGACGCCACTGCTCCCGTGCCCACTCCGCGCGCAGTTATTTTGTCAACATTGGAACAGCGTCTGGGGAGTCACGGGAGTTTTATGTGGAGCGGTGTGGGAGCTACGGGATCGAGCGTATACCACTAAAACCACCGAATTAGCCACGCGTCGGAATAACGACACTGCAGCGATCTTGGTGTTTAAAATCATTGTGGTCTCTTATCCGAAGCTTTATCTGAAATCACGGGAAACACTTTTTCGTCCTCCAGAATTGTTAAAACTGTCCGCGACAGACCGAAACAATATTACCTGAGCTTTCTGACGCAGTTTCTGAAGCTCTGGAAGTCGCATTTTTGAATGCTGCCAATTGTGCCAGCTGTGAACCGGGCACCAAGATGGCGGCGCCCACTAGCAGATTGGGGAATCGAGTGCCGGTACTCTAAGCGATCAAACAATCTACAAGCCGGCTTCTGTTTTCTCTTTGCGAGGAGGTATATGGTCAGTGGTGTGCTGGTGTTTTGAAGGTAACATTTTCACATGGTCTGAACCTGCAGTTGGGCCGGCATAGCCGTTCTGTCGCGGTAAGCGAAAGCGCCTCATACGTGTCGTCACGGAGCTTGACGAAGATATGCATTGTGAGGATATGGCAGAGGTGCGTAATTGAATTTTGCATCAATTTCAAAAGATTTTGAACTGCTCTGTATAACACTTTGTTATATATAACCCGGCCGTACTTGTCGCTATGTGAGTTCTAAGCATTTTGAACACCGAAAAAAAAAAAGGGTTGCATAGAATGAAGTTTTTTTATGCGATGAAGTGAACAAAGTCATGGGTGCGACACTGAAATAGGTGTCGTAGAAATCTCTTTTTGCATTTTTACTAATTGTTTTGTTAACATTCCAACCGATATATCGAATGTAAAAAAGGTACTTCGAAATTGAAGAAAGAGACACCAAAGGGGGGCTTATAAAGTCACCCGACCCTTCGACTAAAAAAAAAAGGTCGATCCGGTTACTTTTTAATAAGACCCCGTAGTTCCTTTACACGTACCACGCAAAAAGAGCTCGTGCAAGCAAATCATTTTGAAGAATAATTTGCTTGTAACACGAATAATTGTATGACTCTATCACACGCCTTGTCAGAGACTGGATGGAGGCAGAGCCAATTCAGCGAGGCTTTTATGGTCGGCCCAGTCACAGCTTCACTGACAACAGAACTGGCTCTCCAGGACGAAGATCAAAGCTGCAGTTGGCCCCGGAGCACGACGGTGGCGTGGCCCCCGATCTGCAGCCGCTGCCCGGAGGCCGGGACCCTCAGGTAGAGGTCTCCGCCACGAGCCGACGCCTGCCTCGCTGCGAAGCACGGGGACGCGACAACCACAAAGTCAAGAGAAAACATCTGCCGGCGTGTACTGCCCCGTCAATCACCGCAATCGACGGACTGCGTGCAACTAAGGGCCAAATATTTGTTAGAAAGCTGCTGTCTGCGCATGAGCACTGGGCATGCAAAATGTCATGCTCCTTGTCGTTGTGCTCACACACCTGCAACCGCTCACACACCTGCAACCGAGAAGGATGGAGAGAGACAAGACCAGGTTTTTAGCCTCTTGCGTCGACTTAAGGCCCGTTCACACTCGTGCGACCGAGTAAGACCGAGAGAGACCAGACCGGTTTCTAAGCCTCTTGGGATCTCTTAGGACCAGCTCCGCTGCATCGCATCCGGTCCTAAGAAGTCGCAAAAGGCTTAAGAACCGGTCTGGTCTCTCTCAGTCTTACTCGGTCGCAAGAGTGTGAACGGCGCTCTAGGACCAACTTCGCAGCAGCGCATCCGGTTCTAAGCCTTCACTAGGGGCTTAAAAAAAGGTATTTTCTCAGTCGGTCCTACTCGGTTGCAAGTGTGTGAACGGGCTTTTAGCGTCTTCGAGGCGGACGTTCAGGGGAAGCTCCTCCTTCCCCTTTTCACTTTAGCAGAGCAAACGCTGCAGTGGAGAGAAGGTTGCATCCTCTCCAGCGTTTGCTCTTTTAAAGGGGAAAGAATAAAGGAGCTTCCCCTGAGCTCTTAACCTGTCACAGACTAAAGATAATTAAAGCTCGTGCACTAGCATCTCGACGTCATCACAGATGAGATCAAGATCAGACAGGGATTGAACCCTATAGGTCAGCGTTCGGGCGGGTCTCGACTCGGCGTCGGGCTCGGGCCCAATTGCTGAATAGGTGAGCGCCGCTCGGCAACTTCCGGTTCTTTAGGAAATTTTGCTTAGCTGTTGATAAACGACGCAGATGATCTGCAAGCCTCTCTAACCATGGTTCTGAAAACTAGTCTGGAGGTGTCAGAATTGTGCTTGCACAGACTTGCAGTTCCTCGTCGTCGTTTGTCAACAGTGAAACAAAATTTCCTAAGGAACCGGAAGTTGCCAAACGCCGCTCACCTAATGCGTAACGGCGATGTTCACAAGCTTTGTTTATTCTAGGTGGTAGTGGACTGACCTTCCGTGCGCTCTGCAGAGAGTAGGTACACTCTTTTGTGTGTTTTCAAGAGATTGCCACAGGGCTGCCACTTTGTATGTCAATTTATGATGCCAATTCTACCTGCTGAGTTTCAAAGTATCAAAAAATATCTGTCTGCAAACACGTACTCTCGGAACTTGTTTGCTGAAACGTCTCCATTCGCTTTGTTCCGTATGTGCGACCGAAACGTCTGCACAGAGGCTCCTGCAACAGCGAGGTCTCAAAGCAGTGGTCCACTTAATTAACTTCGTTGACGAACGGAGGGATGTCGCGCCGAATGCAACGATAACTTACCGCGCAATACTTCCTTGCCCAAGACCGATGCCCAGTAAGGTCCAAGGACGGTGTGAGCGGAACCTGCAGTGGAGTAGACGCCCTTTTTGGGATCTTCAGCGGTCAAAGGCACGTTCCGGGACGCGTGTTAGGAAAAGCTTGTGGAGTAAGTGCAACAGGCCGAATTCGGCACTATGGTTGCAGTGGTTGGTGTGTTTTCATGGACGTAACATTGCCTGGCTTACAGTGGGAGATAAAAAAAGTGGGCGGGGGAACTTCGGTAAATACGCCTCAGTGATTCACGCGCTAGCCTTCTCCCAGATTTGCCTAAACCTCGCTCCCTCTCCCCCTTACTTCTTCCGCATAACCAGGTGATGTGACGTCCACGATAACGCACCAACTAGAGCGCCGAAATGCTGACTTACTGTCACAAGCTTTTCCGGCTACACCTCCGGAACATGAACTGCTAAGGGCGGCAACAACAGGTGTTCACATTGAAAACTGAAGTTCCCCCTCTGCTTCCCAGCCGCCCCACACTCTCATAACCATCATCTTAAAAGTAAACTAAAGACATTTCTGAGATCGTCCGTTCTTGGTGATAACTCATTCTATGAAATGTCAGCATCCTAGAAATAAAATAAAAAAAATTTATGCTCGTGCGATGTCTATTTCTTTACTAAGAAGGTGATCGAAGTTCGTGCTGAAGTTCGTGATCGAAGAGGCATTCTGCCGACAAATGTTTTAAAAGTGGTTTTACCTGTGAACGGAATTACATCTGAGCATGTGCCAGGGAGCAGTGCACTAAAGACGTTTCTGAGATTGTCTCTTTTTGGTGATAACTCATTCCATGGGGTCTTAGCATCCCAGAAATTGTAAAAAAATTATGCTCGTGCGACGTCTATTTCCTATACTAAGAAGGTGATCGAAGTTCGTGCCTTGCCCCTTTCTGAACGGAAAAATCTGGAGCGCAGTATCCAGCGGAGGCACCGGCGGCGCCTCTGTTGCCGGCGCCTCCTCTTACGATTGGCTGACACGCGCCCGTCGTCACGCCGCCGGCGTGACGACGGCGTGACGGCAAGCGCGACGGCCAGCACGACGCATAGCGGCGTCGTGCTCAACGCGACACGATGTCACGACCGCGTCACAACTGCGACTTGATGTCGCGTAACGGCGTCGTCCTCGAAGCGACGCGATGTCACGACGGCCTTACGACAGCATCTTGGCGTCGCGTGACGTCGTAGTCGACGATGAAGTCGTGGCGTCGTCGTAACGTCACGTCGTCGAGTCATGGTGCTTTGACGTTATCTCTGACGTCAAAATCATAAAAAAATATAATATAGACCGACACGCTGTTTACAAACACGCCCGCGTTTGCCCACACCAGGTATGGGCACTGCGCGTGCGCAGAAACCAGATTCGCGTGAGGCGAAGCAACTGCGCATGCGCTATGCCGACAGCAACGCCACCGCAGAGGCGTGACGTCAGAGCCGCGTGTTGGTCTATAGTTTCTAAGGGGCCATATTGTACTTTTACCTGTCATATAGCAATATAGCTCCTAAGGGGCTATATTGCTATATGTATGACCATGGCCTGTGTCGTTGCTCGATCGCAGGGAAGGTGGCGCTGCGATCGAAGTGGCTTGGTTCCACCTGATCGCTTTCCACATTTTGAGGTGCAACTGAAAGCATGAGCGGTGCCTGTAGCTCGTCCCACTCGTACTTTCTACTACACTCTACCTCTATCCTCGGAAAAATAGCGCCATTCTTTGTTGTAGAAATGCTCGAGCCACGTGCCGCGCGACCCTTCTGGGAGGATCATGGCGTCTGAAATCTAGCTCAGTGCTGCGCTGTGCCGCCATGATCTTCCCAAGGGCTGCACGTTGCACGTGCCTCGACGAACATTGCGCTACTTTTGAAACATGAAGGGGCTTTACACGTGACCGTGATAAGGCTCCATCTAGGGAATAACGTCCAAAATTGCAGAAAGCAGCGGCACAGGCGCATGGTTTCGTAATCCCTTTCTTGCAGCAGTACTAGTGCAAGCAGAATTGGGTTGTGTGCATGTTTATACAGCCTAGAACTATTTTCTGCCTCAACGGGCGACGAGTCTCCCAGGTGTAGATGATAAATTTAGCCAATGCAGTGCAACCGCAAGCCTGGGGTCTTTAACGTGCATCACGCAGTAGTGATACACGACCGCACGCCTGTACGACGCTCATGCAGATTGAAACGGGCAGGGCTGCGGACTGAACCCAGGGTCCTGGGTTCTGCAGAGCGAGCTTTCGCTCCACGTACTCCGAGCTGGTGTGCGCTAGCACACTCGGCCAGAATATGCTGAGTTACGCCAAGGTATAGTAAAACAAGTAAAACACCTACTCGTGTCATCAGGCATTCTATCGATGATATCGCGTGGATGCGAGGCTTTTCATGATTTGCTAAAGTGTTTTTACTTGGCGATTCTATCTGTGTTAACCTCTTTCTTGTTAATGACACGAACACAGACACTCCCCAAACAGGCACACGCACACACAAACACGCATCTGATCGCATGCGCAGAACCCCTACAAAACGGTTTGTAAAGGTTTGTTCAAAGACAAAGCCCATGGAGCCTGCTCGTGATAGGGCTGCTGGCTGTTGTCAATGCCCCTTTTGCTGTTGTCTTTTCAGTCCCCAACTTCCCGAAAACAAGAAAAGGGACGAGACAATAGTGTGGAGGCGAGGAGGAAAGCCGCGCTGTTTGTGTGGTTGATGTCCTCACGGAAAGCGTTCGCGCGTGCCAAAACGGTCACGTTTTTTTTTAATGTTTTCTTTTTCTTTTTTTTTGTTTGTGTGTGCACAGCGGAACGACTGTTTTGTTTGAGCAACCCTCGAGAAAGCCCTTTCCTTCGCTCACCGGTAACAGGGTCTTCCGGGATTCCGTACCAGGGACAGAAGTGCCTCGACATGAAGTCGTAACGCTCGCCGTCGCCCTTCAGAGTCACCGTGACGCCTTTGATGTGCCCGCTCGTCTCCAGCTGAAGCATCCGAGCTGGGCTCGGGACGAACTGCTCCAGCATCGCCCTGCGTTGGACGGAGGACTCGGTCGCTGCATCTCAAAGAACGCGGTGATCATTGTACCTGGTGCAGCGGTCGTCCAGTCGCACCAGCAGCTTCTTCTCGTCGGCCGAGTAGCGAAGCTCACATACGGGAAGTTTACCGACCACCGCCTGCATAGGACGTCAGCGCAGCATCAGTGATTGGGCTCCGTTTCACTTTAAGTCTGACCGCGGTTAACGCCACGTTCCGTTAGAGTCAATCAGGGAGCGCTAAAAGTGCGCCCTCACGGCGCTCGTCGCATTTATGCATTTTCTGTCACCCGTTATACCAACCACTCAGAAATAGAAACGCAGGGGAGCGGCGTGTGCAGAATTTCCTTTTGGTATGTGAGTGTGTGTGTGTGTGGGGGGGGGGGGGGGGGGGGGGGGGAGTTAGTTCGCCTCCCCTACCCTCTTCTCCCCCCCCCTCCCCCACACACACACACAAACAACATAGTATATCATATGTATATAAAAATGAGTGCCTTCCTTGTGTGGTTCCTAGTTCAAGATTTTCTTTACTGCTGCGCTCCCAACGTTTCCTGATATATTTCCGGTGGCTTATCTCCTTCCAACAACCACTTTCTTGGGATTTCACAACCATATGCTTCCAGCAGAGTCCTTTTCGTTGCCATAGTATGGCCATTGTTGCCTATGTCTTTCAATGTGCACGCTTTTTTTTAAATCAGTCGTCTGCTGCGCACTTCGCAGTGACGGTTCGTTACCTTCAGCGGCGTGCTCGGGGGCCTGGGAGCCTCGGGCGGCAGATTTCGGGAAGAGGCAAATTTAAGAGAAGGGCTGAAGTGGCGCCGGCATTTTGCAAGTTAACGCCTTAACCCTGTACAGTACGAAGAAAGCAGGACTGTGCCTTTGTGTCTATAAAACTAACGGACTCGACAAAAATAAAATTGAGCACAGACGCGGTTGATTACATAGAACATCTTGCTCTTTTTAGCGGCACTACACCAGTCTATCTCGCCTGTTTCAATGGCAGCTCGCGCCTTGATTTGTTTATTGATTAAGATCGCCGTCTATGGCGTAAGGTTACGTGAACGAAGGCGGAGGTGCACGATGTCAAAAGATGTACGCCTGTCTTTGTCCCGGCACTGGCAGCACGAACACAGGCGCGACAAACAAAAGCAGCATATCCACCGCAGAAGAGAGGCGGTCCAGGCTAGAGTTGCGAACCGAAGGCGCAACGGGTCACCGCCTCAAAGATCAAACAGCGAGGCGCTGCGATTGGACTTGACCACAGCGACACGGTGGCGTCAGTCAGTGTTTCTTATATAGCTGTACAGGATTGAAAGAGAAAAGAGAAGAAAAACAAAGAAGGAAGTGAGGCGCGTGTGCACCGAACATTGAACTCGAATGAACCAGTGAGCTAACTTGACGGCGGCGGCGCAGATTGTTGAAAGAGAAAGAAGAAATGAAGAAAGGGTGTTTGCTTTCGGCGAAGACTTCATTTTGTGTCACTTGTTTTTTGCTGCATTTGTCGCTTCCTTTAAAATAGCGAGACCTTTCTACTTTCTAACAAATAGCCCCGCTGAAGGACCTGGCTTGGCTGTAATGAACATAAAAAAAAACGTCCGAACAAAAAAAGAAAAGGGAAAAAAGAAAGTTGGATTACTTTCTTTTAGTTGCGAGTATAGACGCTTTCAGGCAGCTGTGCATGGGCGCCGCCATAACTGACCTTCAGTTTTTGTTCCGTATTATTCCGTTCGCTCCACTTCATCATTACCACAGCAGGATCGGCTATTGCCATTTTAAGTGTTACTGTGACCTTCTCCCCAGCCTAGGCTTTTGTGGAGGCTCGTCAACGCCCGCTTCAGTGGCTCGGCATCTCGGTAAAACAAGAGAAGGTCGGCTATGGCGGCTCAATCTGGCGCGCGCTGAAAGCGTCTATAGGGCTGAGCGTCAGCTATAGTTCTTTCGCCATTCTTTTGTTTGGATGGGTTTGTCTAAGCATTTGACGATTGGACGACGTCAAGACTCATGACGTCGTGCAATCCCCCCTCCCCCAGCCTATAATATGCGGAATCATGAGGTATTAGCTCTGCGTGGTTGGTTCGTCCGGTGATAGTGCCGTGACGATGCACTTTTGTCACGGCTTGATTGGCTCTACCGGATCATATTAATAGCGTCAGCTGAGTAAAGAGACTCAAAACTGCCCAATCTCAAACGAAAATTAGCACACATCGACTGCTCTAAATACTAGACATTATATAGCTTGGCGGATATTGTAAATCGGTCTCGCTCAGTGAGATATTCAAAACAAAGACATCATAAAAGTCGAGAATGAGTACAGTCGATCGGAACGGTGATGTGCCACATAGGAAACCTTATTAAATCACCTCCTCTGCTCTCTCTCTCTCTCTCTCTCTCTCTTTCATTTCCCTATCACCTTCCCCAACGCAATCCGTATAAAAAAAAAAAGTAACACTGTCCCGTCTAAACGATCATTATACAGGACCAAGATTCAAATGTTAAGAGGAACAAATTTAACCGTCCTCCCATGGCTGTATAGACATATACGCGTGAATGTGTGTCTCCATGCCTTTTGTGACAGTGGGGTCACCGAAACTACAGGGTGAATTTCTGTCCACGTACCTCCGCAAGTTGCCCGTACTTTTCCCGGTCCTGTTGGCAGAAACGACCAAGAATTAGGATAAGTGCGTAACAAACGAGACGTACGCATCCGCAGTCCCCCGTCTAGCAAAGCACCGACCAGATGGGGAGATCTGAAATGGTGAGCCTAGAGGCAAATACAAAACACGAGGCTGTCTTCATCCCTGTGTCTCAGTTAGGGACTCAAGATTTTATAAGTATCTTTACTTACCTGCTGGTCTTACCGCCACGTATTTTCCCGCGGACACGTTCGCAACTCGCGTTTCTTCGTCCAACATGATCCAATCTTTTCGACGAATCATTAGAAAGCCGAGAGTTCATTGCGCATTGACTACAAAAAGGCGTTTGCCTGATTATGCTGCTAAATGCATATCCCGTTTCTGCGTGCAGAGACAGCGACAACTTAAGAAATGCAGTACGTGGCAAGTCACAGTCATCTCATTATCGCTTCTCGGCCAATGAGACTGCAGCATTAGTCGGACTCATCACGAAACAAGAAGCATTAACATAGCAAGCCCCGCCCCGCGTTTATTACCGGGGGGGAGTGATTGGCTTTCATACTCCCCCCTCCCCCCTCTTTCCTGTTACCGGAGGAAAGGTGCGTGATTTGCCCGCCCCCCCCCCCCCTTTTTTTTTTTTTTTATTTTCTATCCGTAAAAAGAAACTATGCATCGCCGAATGGACAGCCTCTCCGCACAAAATGTATACCACTAGCGGTCCGGAACAGATGTCAAAGTTAGGGGATAGAGTGATTATCTAATTCGTAAATTTTATAATCGAGTTTGTGACATTTTTAATGGAGAAAATGATTTTGCCGACGGAAGGCCACCAATTCGTGGGATTGACTGGCGCAAACTCCAAGGAACGGGCCCCGGTTTCCCCGTTGAAAGTTTCCGAAAATCACCTATAACCTTTAAAATAAGGTAACTGCTTTGTTCTGAAATGCTGGCCTCCGGTCGAGACCGCTAGCTCCACATTTGGAGGGAGACGTTTTGCGATTTTTAGTTTACTTTTTGAGCTGAAAGAAGACACAGCGAAAAACCGAATGATATTATTTTCATTAGACCCTTTTTCATCGCCGGCCTTGCGCGGCGTTGTGCACCTGCTGCACTATACGCCTCCGCCCTCGCGCTTCCCAGATGCTTTAAGTCCTCCTAAAATTGACTGATGTAGTGGTTTTCGATGACGCTCAGCAAGTTTCTAACTGGAATCGTGTTTATTTTCACCTACAAAACAGCTGAATGTTAAATTTCAAATGATTATTTTATTAATTAGTGTTTTTTTTTTCTGCAATCCTTGACGTCGGCAACCGCAGACGACAATCGGCTACTAAAGTTCCCGTCTCTCACCGTGTTTCAAACTATATTTTGCAACACCTCGTGATGGTAGACGACATGTCACCGCATGTACTAAACAATGCCCGTGTTTCTACTTGCCGAGAGAACGCGCTAAAGACCAGTCACTGATATCGATGGTAGGAGGAAGGCTAGAAAAAATATGAAACTCTTGTTCTGACCATGCGTCTTAGCGCAGACCGTATTTCTGGGTCAGATTGTTTTTTGTTTATTTGTTATGACCTCGTCATTCGTTAGTTTTCCGCAGTTGATCTCAGTAATTGGAACTCCCCGTGTCCTGCGGGAAAGAAGAAGCGCAGGGATGCACTAAGTGCATGCCCCCCTCGAAAATGTCTGGGCGTTTACTTCGCCCCAAATACGCCGCGAACCAATAGCTGCTATCAGTATTTACGGAACGTCTCCTACCGGATGTCCCAAGTAGCGGCCAGGCTCTTTAAATCGACCGCGAAAATCGGTTTCTTAGCCTATTGGACTACGATTTTGAGCAGCGTTGCCCGCAATTAGTGCTTTTTTCTTTTTTTTTTTTTTTTTTTTTGTAAAAGTTGCAAAGAGCGAATTTACCTGAGGAAAAAGTAAAGAAAGAAAAAGGTTTAGCTCGTATGGAAATGCAGCGAAGCCACCGGTTTTCGAACAATACGGCTCCGCTTCGCACGGGAGACAAGAGATGGCGCAAGCGGTCGCGACGTCAACTGCCGCCAAGGAACGAGCATAAGGCGCCGAGAGCCGGCGTCTTTAGCAGACAATCTTTTCGACTCAAAAGCGACGCGCGCGCGTTCCGCAGGCGGCGAGTGTCGCACAAACAAAAACAGGCACGGTAACAACAAGGAACTGCAAAGCAGACAGCATATAAGTACCACGAAAAAAAAAACAGTTAAAATAACCCGACAAACCACGTGTTCATTCAATGTGTGTTATTAGTAAGGATAATAAAATAATGCATTTTCAACTGATATGACAAAGAGCTCGCGCCGCTTTTGAGTCGGAAAGAAGAGAGGTGCCGGAACAGGGCCAGAAAGGGGCTCGACATTCCACTCGGGCTTAGCGCAAGGGCACTTTCGCGACCCGCAGAGGCCGCGCGTCGCACATATTGAATGTATTGCGTACCAGCTGTTACAAGTGATCAGTCAAACCGATTGCGTGCAAATCGGTTAAGAAGTGTCGCCGCTTACAGCCGCCACCGTGGTTCTTGCCGGCAAGTCCAACGAGATCATGTCGTCCGGGCCTCTGGACGCCTTCAGCAGACCGCTGCGTGTGTCGAACACCAGCTCTTCCGACAGATTTCCTGCGATCGTTTTCAAGATCAGGATCAAAAATTAATTCGGGGCAGGAGGGTTGAGGCACCTTGGAAAAGCAAACGTCCCTGAAACAGTTTGATAGCCCGAGATTATTTCACTATCAGTGGCAAAAACGGAAAACCATCATGTATGATTAATCGACTGAACACGATGAAACTACATGTTACCTTCAGCGACATTTTCTTTTTTTTTTTTTATACCCACGAAGAATCTTTTTTAGTCTGAATTTGAAGTAACATAATAAGCCCCACCCTCTGTTTTTTTATGTTGTCCGTTGACTATATGCCAGAAAGAGCCATTATGCGATCGGACCTGAAAAAGGAAGGACATTTCGTGCTTTGTGCAACAATACCATACGATTAGCCTTACGGGCTCATTAGGTTTGCACGAAACTGTATCTAGAAGCCTCTGATGCCTTTGATTTCTCTCAGAAAGTGTACAAACACAGGGTGCTTGTCATTTTTCGGGGCATGCCACAGTAATCGAAAGTTTAAAAACGCAGGGGGCGTGGCTTATGATTTTTCCGTTTCGTGGTTGGTTCTTCGCTGTTCTTATCGCTCGGATGCTGCAGCCTGATTGGCTGTGAAGTGATAATGAGATGTTCGGTACTCGCTGCGGCCTGCGGTTCTTAAGCTGTCAATTACTATGCGGAGCGCAAATTCGTCTGCTTCTTTTTCAGGGGTTGTGGCGACGTCAGAACGCAGAGCTCTGATTGAAGGATAGTGGGTAGACCTCAAGGCAGTTTGCTTTGAGGTCCATCCACTATCCTTCAACCAGAGCCAACGTTACTAGAACAACTCAGTTGGTTACTGCTCTAAAACAGTCCATGCTGTGCATTCCTATGGAAAAACGCGCATGCATTTTGTCGCTTCGCCGGAGAATAACAGGAATTACTTTTGTTATTTGGCCGGTAGCAAAAGGCAGGTAGTTTTGTTGACATTATAAAAGTGGTACCGATCTGTACTCGTGAACCGAGCTAATGGCGATCGTAACGCCGCCATTTCTCCCGCAGCGGCCACTCGGGGAATTACACGGCTGCTTGTATTGTTTCGGGAGTATAGCATTCGATAGTGTCCACTGCGACTGCCCTCTTTTGGCTTTAATCGGCCATTTTGGCGCCGTAACGTATACAGTAGAAGAGGTTTCAGGGATGCAAACCCCCGCCTTCCAAGCGGACGCGCCGCCAATTACTAAGGTTAGGATGCGCCCAGGTCGGGACGCGCTACCTGAAATCATCGGTGAGACATAATTGTATAAAAACAATATTAATTGTGCCGGAAAAACCTTGTAAACTAAGGATTTTAGAAAACATGACGCGCCTGTCATTTTGTACTAAACTCCAATAAAAGTTCCTACAAAAAGAGTGTTTTTTTCCGTTTGTTTTTACGCCAAAACTTGTTTTCTACAAGCTCAATGTGGCCACAATAAAGAAAAAAGATTGAGCCGCCATCTTGGCACCTCGAGCCTGGGAGTGTTGGTACTCTGGGAACATTCAGTGACTGTAGCAGAAGCCATATAAGGCAATTTTCATGTTTCAACTCGTCGCTAAAGGGTAGCGCTGTTATCGTATTTAGCTCGGTCTCGACGGACGCCAGAGGCCCAGGTTTCAACGGTGAGTTTCCCAATTGAGTGTTCTAGTAACGTTGATCAGAGCCAATCAAAGCTCGGCGTTCTGACGTCGCCACAACCCCTGAAAAAGGAGCAGACGAACTTGCGCTCCGCATAGCTTAATGGCCGAAACCCCAATTGCCTCGGGTGTCCAATAGGACCCAATTGGCTCACCGCACTCGCCGAAGATGGCTGCCGCTGTGGCCAGCGTGGCGTGACCGCACAGCGGCACCTCGTTCTGCGGGGTGAACCAGCGGAGCTTGAACCTGCTAGCTGGAAGGGACGCGAGGCCAATTGTCAGCGGTGCAGGAGTTAACTCCCCCCCCAAAAAACAAAGAAAAGTGAAGATTTGTTGATTTATTTCCTTTACCCCAAAACTGTAAGCAAATTACAGAAGGGAAATCAACTCGTTGGATGATCAGTCATCTTGTTTTGCTTGAACCGCAGAGTTATTCCTTATATGTAGGCTAGAGTTACGACTGGCGCTGGTGTCTATGGGCCTTCCGGTTTCAAATTGAAACAGCCAGCAACCAGTTCACTTTTAGTGCTCCTGTGCATTCCTATGGAAAAACGCGCATACATATTGGCTCTTCGCCGGAGAATAACAGGGATTACCTTTGTTATTTGGCCCGGAGCGAAAGGTAGGAAACTTTATTAACATTATAAAAGTGAAATTGCTTTAGTTAGAGTATATTTCCGATCAGTGAGCGATGTTTAACTTCCTAGTATTCCGGGTCCAGTCCTACGTTCCAATTTTAGAAACTGGAACGTAGAGCTTTTATTTCAAATTCATTATTCTAAATTTAGCGGGAAAATTTACTCGCTGAATTTAGCACAAAAAATTTTACTCTAAATTTAGTGGGGAAATTTTCCCGCTAAATTTAGCGGGGAAACTGACGTCACGTGACCTCGACACCAATTCAGTTTCCCCGCTAAACTTAACGGGGAAAATGACGTCAAGACTTCGTGTCGCGCCACCCATGAACTAATTCAGCGGCAGGAGTAAAGGAGGACGGGAGGAGGAGGAGGAGCAGGGGGAGGAGGAGAAGGAAGACGAGAGGAGGATGCTAGGAGCCGGAGGAGAGAAGGAGGGAAGGGTACGGAGGAGGAGGATGGGCATACCCTCCCCCCCTTTTCCTCAAGAGCTGCGCTCTATTTTTGCATTACAAAGATTTGTAAACGTTTTTAATTTTTAAAAAGGAAATCGTTATGATTTATGCATTTCTAGGATGCTCAGGGCCCGCAGAGTGAGCTTTCGCCATATTGAGGCGATCTAAGAAACTACTGAACCGAAATTTGGATTTCGCGAAAATCAGCACGCAGAACCGTTGAACGGGACGCTACGAACTCCAAAACATCACTAATACTCGATATTTCAGACGGATGGCCGCACTTTGGAAAAGAAGGGAGTGATCAAGCGAGTTCTTTGACATAATTGTCCCCCTGAAAAATTTGAGAATGAGGGGAAGCGGCTCGCTTCTCTCCTCCTCGCTTCGGTTCACCAGCTCGACGGAAGTAGCGAGGAGGAGGGGGGAATGAGAATCCTGACGTGACTTGTCTCGTCGGCCTCGTCGGCCGTGTTCAATCGTGTACTTCTTTTCCAAAAATACGGCGATCCGTTAGAGATATCGCTGCATGAGTGATGTTTTTCGGTTTGGCAGCGTCTCGCCTCTCCGTCCAGACAGGGAGGGGTCTGAAGTGGCATTGGCGGGCATTGGCACGCCGACCAAAAACAGACTGCGATGAAAAAAAAAAGATGAAAAACGTAGTGAAATTTTAAAGCCGGCATATTTGTCAAATCTCACGTGCGTTCTGAGATTGGCAGGAAGCTGCAACACCACTTTACGAAAGTGTACTGGGTGTTTCATCCAGCATCAACCAAAAGCCTCGAGTGAAAACGACGCATTGTATAAAAATAAATAGGTTTGGTACACTGTAGTTCAGTGTCAAGATACTCAGCCAATTTCGGAAAGATTTTGGGCGCGTGCTGTCTTTTTCCGGGTCTCCAAAATGCAGCCAACAGTACGCTCGCGTGGTGTTTCCGTTTGCTTACCTACCGGATTTTCACTCCGCCAGCCTCGCAGCTGCGCCTGCAGCACACAACTGGTAACTCTTGAGCACCACCACGTTTCCCCACGCGCTCCATGTATTTCAAAAATTTGCTGATTTAGTGGGGTTTGATCACACCCAGTAAGTTTCTAATGGGAACAATAAGTTTATTTCCAATAACAAAAAAAAATTAAGTAAGCAAAATCCAGTGTCGGTAAAGTATACATCTAAATACCGTATTTACTCGCATATTGGTCGATACGTCGTATAGGTCGACCCCCTAACTTCGGGACCCCCGAAAAAAAAAAAAAGTTGAAAAATATAATACCGGGATTCGCGTATTGGTCGACCCCCCCAGTTTTGATGAGGCGATTTTTGAAAAACAGGTCGACCTATACGCGAGTAAATACGGTAGTACCTGAAGTAAAGCACAAAGTAAATTAGAGGTTATGTACTTCAAGTAAAATAGTAAGTACGCCGAGCGCAATGCACTTTTTCACACAATGAACTTATAAGGCGCTTATTTGTTTCGGTCTTATAGCGGCCATTAATTTATTCACCAAGAAAAATGACCAAATAAGCGATGCGTCGTCGGCTTGCGTTTCTGGTGAGAGTAGAATATCTCACCAAGTACCTCTTTAGAGTTGAGAAAGCATAATTTTGTGATACCAATATAACAAGACCGAATTTTGGGGAAGTTACTCTGAAGTCGGGAGTAAAACGTTCTTCGGAAAGTACCAGAAAAAAAAAAACAAAAAAAAAAACGTTATGTAAAGTAAGTACATACACAGAGTATGTACTTCAAGTTAAATACAAGATTTAGACCTACTTGGAGTATTAATTAAGTACAATGTAGTTGAAGTATTTTCCAACACTCGCAAAGCCAATAAGAACCTAACCATAGATTGGCCTCTCGGCATGCAGTGACTGATACGGCACCAATCGTCTTTTTCTGCTGCGCCTAGTTTTCTCAGGAAAATATTGATTGATAAGTTTATATTGAAACACCCGGTATACTTTCAAAATCACCAATCGTTTTTTTTATCTCCCTGTTTTATTTCAAAGGCATCGAGAACGGAGGTCACTATGGAATCGGGGAATCATTAGGGATCCTGACTACACTCTAAAAAAAAGCCCGTACGTTTGCTTTCCTGCACAACATTCGGAGAGCCAATCAGCGCAACTTACGGAGGCAGCTCAGCGAATGACGACGTCTGAGTTGTGACATTAAGCAATGCAAAACGTCACGCTTGCATTGCTTAATGTCACAACTCAGACTGCGTTTTTTGGTCTAAACAGATGTTTCGGCATCGTCATTCGCTGATCTGCCTCCGCAAGTTGCGGTGATTGGCTATCCGAGTGTTGTCCGGGAAAGCAAACGAGGGCCCTCGGCATGCACGCCCTTGGACCTCGGAATTATAAAGGCCTCCGTGGAGAAAGAAGCCTTTGAAATGTGCGTGAAACAGACAGGGCTATCACACCACGCTGGACCAAAGCGCCGGTGTCAATGCTCGACAGAGGAGGCATTGGTGGGTCAGGGGCCCGTTCACCAACATTTGTCAAAGTCGTCGTGCTGTTCCGTCTTGGACACGAAGGCAGTCTCCGAAAGCTTCATCTCGGACGCGATCGCCTGCTTCGTCTCGTCCCCAATGTCCTGCAAGCAAAATGACCTCCACTTTGACTTCAGAGTTGGCAGTAGCAGGTCCCCCGCAGCAGCTCTGCCCCGCAGAAGGATCTTTATGAAGTCACGCCAAAAGACGACGCTGCTTGTCGCACAGAGCACATGCAGATGCTCCACAAACTGCACGTGCACGCTGCGACACGCAAACAACATGTTGCAGTGCGCAAAATAGAAAATAGGCAAGAGGACGGAAATGTAGTTTCCGCTGTGAAATTTCGGAAATTAGAGCAAACTCTCCCCCCCCCCCCCCCTCTTTTTTTTTTTTTTTTTTATCGGGATCATTTTTTTTTTTACCGTAAATTATTTGGTTTTAAAAGGTGCCGGGCGCTTTATGGCCCAATATGTACAGGCACAACATGTGCACTGAATCGTTACTAACTCAAGCATGTGGCTCTGGTAAACTCATCAGGTGTTTTCCCTAATATTTAGAGCGTAAAGGGGGTCAAAACAAACTCCTCTCTTATATAAGGTCTCCCAAGTCATCAGGCTCGATCTAAAGTGGACCGTAAAAATCGACGCCTCCACGTAGCAATCTAAACTTTTCGTCGAAGATGTATTTCACAGGTAGGTCTTTTTCTTGTAAAATTAGAGAGCGTAGCTCCCTTTCTGTAAAATATATCGCCATGAAACTTCCCAGAGTAAACGGCAGACGATCGAGTCGAGTGGCGGGGCGCGTTTCGCGCGCGTACTGATAGACGGCGTCGGGAGCAGCGTCAGAATAAGGTCTGAAGGCGCAGCCGACCAGCGAAAGAAAGCAGACGACACGCAGGCGAAATCCATTTGCAGCAAAAGCTCCTTCGTTATGCAGACGTGGTTTCTTTTTTAAACTTTACGTTTCGCTTTTATTGTCCGCACTTATTTTTTAACCAAAGGTACATTACAAAACGATTATGTTCGTTTTAATAAGCCACGGTGCTCGCGAGCCGTCTCAATAGGTCGCCGGAATGTGAAAAGACGAGGACCAGACACAGAAATGACGCGGACGTAGCGCTGACTTACAACTGAGTTTATTGAACGGAATATCGCACTATATATCTGCGGTGTCACGAACAAAAGAGAAGGAAGAATTCAGCCCATGTGATGCACCACCAATAAAAATAAAACAATAATAAATAAATATATATATATATATATATATATATATATATATATATATATATATATATATATATATATATATATATATATATATATAAATGCGCCATGACACAGCCGTACAGAGTACGTGCTAAAACACGAGCAAGTCAGGGAACCAAAAAACTCATCTCTTTGCCTGATAGGGCCACAGACACGTACTCTGTACGTATCTGTGGCCCTATCATGACACATACTCTATACGGCTGTATCATGGCGCATTATTTATTATATATATATACAAGGTGAAACAAGGAGACGCCAGGCTCTTTAAATCGACCGGAAAATTCGGTTTCTTAACCTATCGCGCTATGACTTTGTGCAGCGTTGCCCACAGATGGTGCATTTTTTTTTGTAAAATTTGCGAAGAGCGGAATTTACCTGAGGAAAAAGTAAAGAAAGAAAAAGGCTTAGCTCCTATGGAAACGCAGCGACGCCACCGGTCTGCAAACAACACGGCGCCGTTTCGTACGGGAGACAAGAGATGGCGCAACAAACGCCGCCAACGAACGAGCACACGGCGCCAAGAGCAGGCCTTTTTAGCAGACAATCTTTTCGATTCAAAAGCGGCGCGCGTTCCGCAGGCGGCGACAGTCTCAGAAACAAAAAAGACAGGCGCGGTAACAGCAAGGAACTGCAGTTCCTTGTCTGCAAAAGGGCCGGCTCTCGGCGTCGTCTGCTCGTTCGTTGGCGGCAGTTGGCGTCGCGACCGCGACAAGGAGAAACAGCAAAAACCGAGTCATATTTAAAAGTGTGAACGAAAGCCTGCCAAGCCCAGCCCGATCCGATGACTTAATCAAAAGTTATAAGTGATTTTCTGAAAATTTCAATGGGAAAATGGCGGCCGACGGAGTTTTCAAACACATGGGGCTCTATGGAACCAGAAACCGAAAACGGGCAAAAATAGGCTCCATTTTACCATTGAAAATTTCAGAAAATCGCTTATAACTTTTGATTTAGTTATTGGATCGGGCTGAAAATTTGGCATCTGGTTGTGACCTCTAGCTCTACCTTTGGGCGGAGAATGAACGTTCGGCGATGCCTAGTTTATTTTTGCGGTAAAAAAGACCGTGCAAATTTTCTTTTGTGACACCCTATATATACTTTTTGTTTTATTTTTATTGGTGATGCATCACATGGGCTGAATTCTTTCTTCTCTTTTGTTCGTGACACCGCAAATATATATTGCGATTTTGCGTTCAATAAACTCAGTTGTAAGTCAGCGCTACGTCCGTGACATTTCTTTGTCTGGTTCTCGCCTTTTCGCGCTGTTTTTAATTCCGAAGTATGTACCAACTCGCCCAAGCCCCAACTTTAGCGATAGATCTCGGTAAGGAGGTAGCGCCATCTATCAATACGAGCGAAGCGCGGTCCACCACTCGACTTGGTCGTCTACGTCGCCGTCCGCCGTTGACCCTGGCAAGTTTCTTGGCCCTATTTTTCACAGAAAGAAAGCTACGCATTGTAATTGTAAAAAAAAAAAAAAAAAAAAAAAAAAACGACGATTTGTGAAATGCGTTTTTGACAAAAACTTTAGATTGTTACGTGCAGGCGTCGATTTTTACGGTCCGTTTTAGGTCGAGCCTGGTGACTTGGGACGCCCTATATATTGCAGACATCAGGGTGTAGAAAAAAAAATTGGCTTACATTTTATCTTACCTTGATTTTGCCAAAAAGTAAACGCCGCAAAGACTGACCGCAACGACTTTTTTTTTTTTTTTTTTTTGTATATTTTTTAGTTCGAGTGAATTTATTATTTTATATATTTAATAAACAAAAACAAAAATGAATAACCTAGCTAGAGCTCTGGGGTTAATCAAATCACAATTTGTTAAGAACTCGATTTATGCGGCCCATTCAAAGGACCAATGTGGGAGTCATTGTCAATTATTGTTTTTGAGGTAGAAGAGACCGGGATGGCGAATTTAATTACTTTCTAACTTCAGTAATTGGGAACTTTAAATTACAGACACCACTATGCTCCATTTCCTCGAACGAAGTGGAAACTAAAAGCGCGATATGCTGTTGTTTTGAGCAGTAGTCTGCACTGAGCGAACGTGCCAGCGCTGCAGCTGCTCTAAGCACGGGCATCGTGCGTGCAGCTGTTGGCTGGAACTTAGTAGTTCATACAGTCACTCATATGACAAAAACAATACCCCGCGTTAATCTCTCTCTCTCTTTCTGGCTGGCAACTGGGCCGGCTCGCTAGAAACAGCAAAAACCGAGTCATATCTAAAAGTGTGAACGAAAGCCTGCCAAGCCCAGGGCGTGCGAGCTCTTGAGAGTCCCGAGACTCGACTTCATATGCCATGCTATTCGCTCGACTGCAAGGCTTTAACAGTGCTTTCTTTCACACAGTCTTAGCTAAGACTCTGTTTCTATACAAGCCGGTTCTGCCTCATTGACTTTCTTCCAACTCAAAGCTGTCGCATCAATGTCGCTGAAGACGTATATATCTTTCAAAATATAATTGCATTAGTTTCTACAAATAATACTAAATATAACCAACACATATTTTAAGAGTAATTTTAGTTTCAGCTAATAACTAAAACATCCAATCACTCCGGTACCTTCTTGTTTGTTTCTGTTTCATGCAGCTGGGTGGCTCCGTCTAAAATTAAACGCTAAACGCTTCTGAAAAGAAAAAAATCCTTGTATTAGATAGTTTTTAAACCTTCGTCAATCCACGTCAAAGCGCAAGATATCACGTGAGTGCGCTACGCCAGCTTCGGCACGTCATTTTTAGTTATACCGCAGTAGCCTCTCTGAAATATACGAGCAGAGAGCATAGGGCTCCACCCTCTGGTTATATTGAGGCACCCCTTGCTCGGGGCAGGTGCTCACGTACCGCATCGTCCTGCAGGAAGACCACGGCGGCCGGATTACCCGAGAAGGGCACACGGGTAAATGCATCCACGGTTAGGACGCGCAACGGAGACCGAGCAAGTCCCTCCATGGTTTACAACTGACGGCTTCTCGCGCTCAACTAGCTGCACTTTTCCCGCAGACCAATCTTATCGCTAGTCTCATGCGACGGGACACTAAAACAGGCGCAACTACCTTCTTATCACTCTGAAGTCGTGCTGTAATTACAACATGTACTGTACAAAAAAAACCCATAAGAAAAAAAAAAAAGGGGGGGGGGGATTTAGGGGGCAATGTAAAGATGAATAAATACACCAAACAAGTGTCTGTGCGACCCTGCGGTGAGCGTGAAATCAGTGAAATGCTCAAGCTGAACTTGGTTACAAATTAAGAAACTCCTATCTATAGACCTGGCAAATTCTGTAATCTTGTTTTGAGTTTGAATAGAGTATAAATATGAAACTGATATAAGCAAATTTGATTATATCTGTTTGCCGCAGGGACCACCGCACTTAAAACGAAACCAAAACTGAAAGATGCGCGCCTAAAATGTTATATGCTGTGACGTCTCTGATCCAATCCAATCCAATCCAAATCACAGCGTGTCAGCTGACGACGCGACGACGCTTGAGAGTGCAAAGGTATGTGTGGGCGTAAATCTCGAAATAACATTGTTAAGCTTACTCGTTTTTTTTTTACGGCGGGATGTATTAATTACCTTTTCTTTCTTTACGGTAACATAAAACGAATGTTTTTTCAGCGCACTGGGAAGACCAGCGAGCTTTACATGATCATTTTGGCTGTGATTACGCAGTGAGCGATTGTTGACATGGGAAGCTGTACAAACATTAGAGCAATCGGAAATTACATGAGGAAAAAAACAAACAAAAAAGTTCTAGGGCTTACTAACTTTTGCATCCGTTCGCATCTGTGATGCAGCAGTAAAACCAAGCGCTTCTCCCTGACAGGCGGTAATTCTGCGAACGCGAACTTATGAACGTTGCTTATGACAGCATTTCCACTTCTACTTCGCTGCACAGATACACGCGTCCGCCTCCCTCCCTATCAACTCTTGCTCACAACTTTCGAGCGCTGTGCAAGCGAGCAGTTCATCAACCCATCGGCGCTTTTTCTCCCTCCAGCAAATATGGGACCAATCGAATACGTCGCGGTGGCTCGAGGCACGGTGGTACTGGTCAGTCACCAGGAGACGGGAGCCCACTTCGACTACCTCGTGGAAGACGTTTTGCGGGACATCCCGACCGGCGCCGAGTTCAAGACGACGCGTCCCCGGGGTGGGTAGGTTGCGTCCCATATCCGTTCGGCCAGGCGCCGATGGCGGAGGACTCCGCAGCGGCATCAATGTCCCTCTGTGCAGGTTCACCTTCCACCTGTTGGTCGGAGGGGACCTAGTCTTTGTCTGCGCGACGTCCCCAGACGCCAGCTTGCACGTTGCCTTTCAGTGCCTCGGCCAGGTCAGTGACTAACCAGTAGGACCATTATACCGTTCTCAATAAGAGGATGCGTTGATTTTCACATGTTACTCAAATGACGTCGGGAGGTTGTTCCTTTCGCTGAGCAGCCATCAGGTCTTGTTCTGAAAGGCTATGCGGCACCCCAACGTCCCACAAAGGTGGGACGTTGGGGTGCCGAGCTCCGATTGGAGGATATGCAGTGCGCTGAGCTGCCGAGCTCTGGTGCCATTTGCGAGTTGTAGCAATGGGCACATTGAGTTTGCGCTCGTTCACTCCTAATCCGATGCTCCAAGTTTTATGCTCTGAGTGCAGCAACTAAATGGAGCATAGTGTACAGGAGTGCAACACAGAAACTGTCGATGAGTGACATAAGCCACTTCCGACCGCACAGTTATGACAAACCCGGCATCTCGTGGGTATTGGTGGTTTTTGGTGGCAGAAGCCGAAATTATTTTGGAGATAAATTAAGGCCTGTGTGGAATGGCAGGGTCAAAAGTAAAATAGATGCTGTCTTCAAATGTTTTCATATTCCTAGCAGGTTTAGAGACCCTCTTCAAGCACATATGCAGAAAGTTACCTTGACCGATCCATATTTTTTGACCATGCGTCCTGTTCACATTTAAATCGGATGACAATCTTGAACTTGCTTCTCGACGCAGGAAACTGTTAAACTTGTCACATGTTCCGTCTTACGGTGCAAGACAGAACTCGTCGATGTGCTACCGGCAATAGTTCTATAGATAGCATGTCAATTCAGTAGAGCGGAAAGTTGGGCTAGTTGGTAGTTATTCATCTTGGTTTTAAAAGTGCACAAAAGACGAGGACAGAGTAAGAAACACATCCGTCCGTCGTTTGTGTTTCTTACTCTGTCCTCGTCTTTTGTGCGCTTTTAAAACCAAGATGCATGTTAATTCGTTCGCATGCATGTCAATTCGCAAAATACACAAACAACCTTTTACGGAACGCTAACTGATGTTTTGGCTATCGAATACGAAGCATCTTTATTCGCTAAACTAGCATTCCAAAAAGGGAAATGGTCCGACTGTCTTTTTATATCGACAACCTTTCTCTCAATGTATGCTATGGGCTCGGTATACCGTTCAATAGCGCATTAAATCTGTTTTCAAGCGAGATGCACAAACCTTTTTTGGAATGCTAATTGCTGTCTTGGCTTTCAAATCAAATTGTTTTTACTGGCTGGATTAAGCACAATTCAACTGAAAATGGGCAGCGGTCCTTTCGTCTCGACAACGTTTCTGTCGGCTCGGCCAACTTGTTTCGGTACGAGACGTCACGGAGCACAAAGTCGTTTTTCGCGTTCTGAAAAAAATTTTGTGCACAAAGAGCAAGCTTGAGTGTCAGTCTGTGGCAGCTTTCTTGTCTCTTTAGTGAATGGAGCACCAAACTCTCGCTCTGTGGAGCACAGACTTGAACTCACGATTATCTACCGCTCCATACCGGCTGCATCATGAAACAGTGGCCATTTACCATGCTAGGTTGTCAAAGTGCTCGTGCTGCCACGGCTGTCGCTTTGGGACACTGCTAATATGAAGCGGTTCATGATTGCATGTCTACATTCATATGAATCGTGACTGTTTGTTGTTTTGTTCACTAACAACTACCAGAGGAGCTATAATGAACAAAAACTTCACGGTTGAGATGTTTCCTACCCACCTAAGAAAATAGAATCTGCTTGGCCAGAGGTTCGTCGCACACGTGGTCAGTCCCTCTTAGCTTTTTGTGCCTTCTCCTCTCAGACGTGGAGAAACTCCTCACTGTTTCGAGCCTCCAGTCTCTTGCGCGACGGGACAGGTTTTTATGACTTGCTCGCCGTATTTCTTCACAGATCGGCTTTCTAAACGTGAACTAAGAATCTCTTCTCGAGTTCTCCATTCATTGCACTGCTCGAGTGCGGACATGGAGCACTCACAACTAAATATCTCTCAAAAACATAACCAGCGGGACAGACATTTCTTCCAAGTCGTGTCCGTCCATCGATTTTTTTTCTTCCTAAACCTGGGGATTATATATATATATATATATATATATATATATATATATATATATATATATATATATATATATATATATATATATATATATATATATATACACACCTGTGTTGAGCTTGTATGCTGATACACATCAAATGTCCCTGGAAAGACAAAGGCAATATTTGAGTCTTTGTTATGCTTACAAGATACTCAGCTATCCTCAACATCCCACTTGTGATGCCCTCCAATCTTCTAGATCCTTCCGACTCTTTGAAAACAAGCCTAGTATTGTTCGGCCACTGAGTTTCAGAGTTCAAGGGATGACTACATCGCTCCATCTTCCCTTTAGTGAGGCTGCTTTGCTGAGGAGCAACGAGAGAGTTGCACCTTGGGACCTTCTACCAATCTCCTGTGACTGGTCACTGTCCAAGTACAGAAAGAGAGCTGTTTCACCATTTGTTCTTCAACAGGAGTTTTTCGATTCAGAACAGAAATAGAAGGACTATTTGCATTTTTACACTGATGGGTCTAAACATCAACCTTTGCGGGATGTGCGGTTTATTCCTTTGCTTTCAGGAAAGTTCGACAACTCAACACTCTTGTAAGTATTTTTACAGCTGAATTGTATGCCATTTTAATGACTGTGGAGTATTTATTAGAGAACAATATCACGAAAGCAATTATGTTTGTCGATTCCCAGAGCGTCTTCGGGTTCAGTTAAATCGAGCTCTTCAACACGGACACCTGATCGAATTCTGCTGGGTCCCAAGCCACGTGGGTATTCCTGGCAATGAGAAAGCAGACTTGCTTGCTGCCTCTGCGAAAGAGTGCGCAAAACTGCCCCTTGGCCTGCCACACCAAGACCTGAAACCGTTCATACAGAAATTGATTATGAAGTCATGGCAGCTGGATTGGGATATGGAAGAAGAGAACAAGCTCCACATCATCAAGCCCCTCTGGGGGTATGGGAGAGCTCTTTTCATAAAGACCGTCACATTGAAGTTCTTCTTTGCCGCTTAAGAATCGGGCACACCCGTTTGACTCACCTGCACCTGCTTTGCGATGAGGATGTTAAGCTCTGCGACAACTGTGGTAAAGCTACGACTGTCTTGCACATCCTGTGGCATTGTAAATCTTTAAATCAACAGCGCCAATCATGTTTCCCAGAACTGTTCCGAGATCATCTGCCTTTTCATCCATATTTTCTACTTGGTGATCAACCGTTGGTACCGTTCAATCGAGTTATAAAATTCCTGCATAAAACTGGCCTTTTACACCAGCTGTAGCTTGCAGTTATTTTAGATTGAATTTCTAAGCTCCTTATACAAACCTCCGTTTTAGCGCAATATGGCCCAAGTTGCTCTTGCGCCAGTAAACCATCAACATCAACTGGGGATTTTATAATCAACCTGTTCATCTTGACTTTAAGGCAATACTCCGTTTCTCTTCCCGACTTACAGATAGACCTTGAAATGGAATGCCAGCTAAAGTCCATTCAGACAAGAAAATTCGCCCACCCCATGCCTGGCTGTGCTCACAGTGTATTCTGGGTTTATCATATCCCCATTTGTATCCCTCGCTTTCTTTTACTAGGTGAAGGAGCGTTTCTTCTTAGGCAGCCTGCCAGTAAGAGCCCAGGTGGCAGAACAGCATGAACTGGATCGAGACTTTGGAAGCGTAGCTGCAGAAATTATGGTGAGTTATGTGATCTACTGGGACAATGCATTTCACTTTTACTGGTAACCACTCTGCTGCACTTAAATTTAGGGTCTTCTGCTTAGAATTGAGTTCACCAATTCTCAGACAATATAAAGGCTCGTTTATGCAGCTGCCTTCGGTTGCAACCGACTGTGACTGCTACCACTTGCGTCAGACTGTTGCTATGGCGACCCTTACAACGAGCCAATGGGGAGGTGCTGTGCTGCACGACACATTGCAGTCGACGGAAATGTGTGAACCAGCCTTAAGGCATGTAGTGCCAGATATTTTTATTTCGGTACCGAAAAAATGCAGTTCATCAGTGGTAGGTACTGGAGTGGGCTTGGGTGTTTAGGCAGCGAAAGCTTAATTTCTCTTTGAAGTATGGTGGCCCTAGTTCATGCTGTAGTTGGGAAATATAGCCAGGACAGCTAGCCTGGTTATCTTTACCTTGCAACATGCAGTAATAAGCTCGCAATTGGATGCTGGCACAATAATCATTTAGATCGAAAGAGGCAGGGATGAAACCCAGAAATGATAACAGTTCTGCAGCGATAGTTTTCACTCCACACGCTCCGAGGTGCGGCGTGGTAACACACTCAACCACCTATTTTCCCGTTTTCACAAACATGTTCCGACCGACACTCATTTTCTACCAAACTTCCCTACAGGGCAAATGAAAGTTGATTCTGCTTTTAGTTTTTGAGCAGGCATTTTTTTCATTTAACGACAGCTTCTAAAACAGTGGCTTACTGTGAAACGACCTGTACTCAGTTTCACGATAACTTGGCGGAACTGTGGAAGCTGTGGCCCCCGCGGCCCAATGGGAACGTCTGAGCAATTTTCACATGATAACACTCCATAGTAGAGGCCACGAGGTCTCATTACTGCCACAGCAACAGCCCGGTCCGCGACAAAGAATGGTCCTAGGTTTCTTTTTCTTTTAACGGCAATTGGAATCGTGCGATTCTATCTCTATCGAGAATGTATAAAAAATAAGGAATAAATATTGACAAATTTATGAGTTTCAGTTATACATATTTAAACAAAAAGTGACGCCACATCCCTATCTGCTCCTCCCGATTTTATTTTTCCCTCGTAGCGCCTTGGCCGTTGGCGATCGCAGCCGTCTAATTGACCACTTCCACTCAAAACATTGCCCTGGCATTAGCACCCGCCACAGATTAGCGAGTAAATTGAGCTTGAGCATATGGTTTGCTCGTGAACTGGTCCCGAAGAGCTCGCTAGTCTAGCGGACGGCAATGTTGTGGAGGTGGACGTTCATCCGAAGTTCGTTGGTTTCGCAGCAGACGACAGCGATTCCTTGTTGCAGTGACATGGTGCAACATGCCTTGCTCCGACGTTCTTATCGGGTCGCGGGGGCTGTAGCCTCTACAGTTCGCCAAGTTATCGTGAAATAGAGTATAGTGCTCCTTAATGACCAAGATGTTTTTAAAGCTTCTTACCTGAATTCAACCTCACTAGCTTGGGCTTACAAATCATCCCGTGGCTCTGCCTATCATACTTTAGGAAAAATAAGAAGGCCGAGCCTTCAGCATTTTTCGAGTTACGCTTAAATGAAATGTCATAGTTAAACGTTTTGGCAGTGACACGAAAGGGATTTTACGTTATCCTCAACAGATTTTGAGACTAAGGAGATTTGAAGTCTCCTAGCAATAAATCCCACGTTGAAATCGGCGCTACGTAATAATGCGGTCGCCGTGGCGCAACATGTTCCCCGCAGAGCCGTTGCAACGAGGGCCAGACGGGCGACCAGATCTCGGTTCTGAACCGTCAGGTGGAGGACGTGAAGGGCATCATGGCCCAGAACATTGAGAAGGTGGTGGGGAGGGGAGACCGCCTGGACAGCCTGCTCGAGAAGACACAGGACCTGGAGCAGTCGGTCTGTAGCAGCAATTTTTTTTTTTTTTTGAGCCTCCCGCAAAGAATCAAGTCTATGGTGCCTGGAACGCCTTTTTGATTGGCGTGTCTGGCTTCCCATACTGCCCATGTATTTATTACGAAATGGCCTCGACGTGGCAAAAAATAACGTTACGGGGGCTGCTTGTGTTGTGCTGTCGGATTTTGTGATCCTGGCGGTTGGTCGTAGAAGTTCTAGTAAAAAGTATGAATGAACGCGAGCGACGCTTTTGTTGCGGCACCCCAACTCCTGGCTGCTGAAACCTCTGTGGAATGTCAAGCTGGAGAGAAACCTGCTGCATCCAGCCTCTCTGCTGTGCTACTGCCAGAATCGAGGCAGCCAACAGCATGGCGCTTCTTGGACGTCATAAGACTGAAATCGAGAGACCACATTTGAGGATGCAGTAAGCACACTAGTCGAAGATGGCGTTCCGGGCACCATGACTGAACTTCCTCATTTATCCTTGCGTCAAAATGGGCTCCGTTTTTTTTTTTTTTTTTCCTCGGTAGTGCAGTACATTTGTTGGCTTGGAACTTTTCCTCTCGTATAAAGTGGGAAAAAAAATTTTTTTTTTTTTTTCACTTTGTGTTGAAGGGATTTTGCCCAGAAACTTACTGAAGTTATGGTCAGCTTGCCAAAGAGTGGGGTAACATAGCTACTACGTGGATCAATGCGGAAGCAGAGATGTTTTAAGTGCCTGACTGTGCATCGAACAACTCGGGCCCACGCTTTGATTGGGCTTGGTCAGAAGTCAACATTGATGCTCAATGTGGCTGCAGTGCACTGCACTCATGATTAATCCCTTCATTGTGTGCCATGCATTGTTGCATAAGTAGCTCATCATTTAAGAGGGCCAACATCTTTTTTTTATCCAAAATATGCTACTTATTTTAAATGTGTTTTCTAGTGCAGTTGCCTTTCACAATGGAGGCTTGTTATGAATGAGTTTTAGTGTACTGTAATATTTCTGTTGTCCGTGTTTAGCACTATGTGCCTCCCAAGTCCACAAAAGCAGAGGCGCTAATGAGGCAGCAATTTTAGATGTCACATTTTGTATGCCTTGCTTAGTTTGCAGTTTTAAATAGGATGAACAAATTCACTCTAACTTTGCACATTAAGTAATACAGGAGTGATGCATGTTTTTTTGTTTTTTTTCTCTTTCTTTCTTCCTGGCAGGGCACAGCATTCAGAGCAACTGCAAAGAAAGTTAATCGTCACATGTGTCTGCGTAACGCTCGTATGACGATCATCATCGGGGTGATCGTTGTGGGTGTTATCACCCTCATCGTGCTCTTTGCCACAGGCGTGATCAAGACATGACCGTTGTTGCTCTTGTGGCTACCAAGTGCAAATTTGGTGCTTGTCAGCCAGCAACTTCACCAATCGATTGCTCTGCAACAGAGTCGCTGGCTGGTGGTGGCATGCGTTCTATGATCTTAGCTCTCTAGAACACCAGAGTTTTTCTCAAGCAATTTGATACTTTGTAATATATTCTATGAGAGCTGTCCACTGCTCCCATAGGAGCAAATAAATGTTGAGTGTTTATAGGATCTGTATCAGGGAACAATAAAGAATTATTTGTACGAGTGGAGGGCCACGATAACTGGCCAGCGGACATTAAATGATTATAGTCAGTGAGCCACGCTGGTGAGTGAATCGTGCGTCAATGATGTCCTCTTGCCATTACTTAATCAATTGTTTGTTTTTATCATTGTATGCTGATAACGTGCAAAAAACAATCTTCATAAACCAGCAGCAATATCCTTCACTTTGCACATCTCAAATACTTGATAAGTAGAGATGTCTCCGAGCCGGCGTTGTCATACTGTTCTATGCAAAGCATTTTTGCTTTATTACCGTACTTGCTCAAGTAATGGCCGCACTTATGAGCAAGGCCCTTGTATCTTCTTGTCTGCAGAACAGACGTACAGCCAATCATCGCGTTCTGCATAAAAACTTGGCAAATAACAAGGTCGAGAATGCAATTCTCTGTAAAAATGCTTTCCGAGCAGATAGCATTTTCACATCAAGACCGTATTGCTGTCCCATAAATTTCTGCAATTTTTGTGCTGATCAGCGTATCAGCATTTTCGCGTGAAGACGTTGTCGCTGCCCTGTAAATTGCTGCCATTTTTCTGTCAATCGTGGTGCTTCGCTATCCCCACACTCTGCCGAAAGCAGACCCGCAGACTTTGCTTATAAACAGCGCGGCTATAACTCAAGCAAATACTGTACTTCGTTGACAGACGTCTGGGGCAGAAAAGTAAGACATTTATTGGTTTGCTCGGGGCCACAGTTGCATCTTGGTTAAGTGTTTCAGGGACCACAAGCAAAGCAAGCCACTTTCAAGTTCAATGTGGCCACAATAAATGAAAACACCTACCAGTGGCAGTTTTCTGTTGCTTGTCTGATCAACACTGACCAGACTGCATTGTAGTATAGCTGCCAGAGTGGAATGTCGCTGGCATTGGCTCATCGAATTTCACAGCTATTAAACCCCAACCCAGAAATAATATTGCAGGCAGAAAGTGAGGGAGAGGAGACAAGATAGTGCGGGGATGTTGAGCTCTGGTTGGAATGATTATGGTAAGTAGGCTCAAAGCTAGCTGCCTTTGTCTTCACTGCACTCGCCGAACGTGTCTGTTCCGCACTCCAATCCGTTCGACGAGTGCAGTGGAGACCAAGGCAGGTAGCTTCGAGTCTACCCACTATTCCGTCCAACCAGAGCTCGGCGTTCCGACGTCTTTGCACGCTCCAGTCTCCTCCTCCCTCAGTTTTTGTCTGCATGATCCATAGCTCCAAAACAATACAAATTTAACATCATTTAAACAAAACGCATCTCTTACTTTTGGCGTAAAATATTCACAAAACTCTGTCATGTTAGAAACGTTATATATTGTGTAAAAGTGTATAAGGTAATTGTATTATTTAGTCATATATTAAATGTCACTTTACATCTTAAAAATTCGTACACCAAGACGCGGCCCTGACGTCTCGCAGCTGCGGTGGGCCTGCTATTGGCAGGGTGCAGCGCTCCACGCTAAAATCGGTCCTGCGTGCGCGCAGTGACTTTGTTTGTAAAGAGCGCGTTGGCCTGTATTCAGTTGCAGATTTTTGTTGCTGTGCCACCGAACTGCACAAGGGGATGAGGCCTTGTCTGGTAACACGAGCCGCCTTTTCCACCACCCTCCTAAACGCTTGTTCAAATAAAAAAAAATAAAAAATTTGATCACCTTTTTTGCGGGCAGTGTCACCGGTTTCTAAAAGACCTATTACTAAATTACCCAAGCATCAAGGAGAACGCAGAGAATGGTGTTCCACGCGCCGCACGTGCACGCCCTCCCGTATAAAAGATTCAAAGTAAATAACCAAAATAAAGTGTTGATGAACGCGCATGCACGATGCCATTTGTTTTAGGCTTTTGCTTTAGAACAGTTACTGCTGCAGACGCCAGCACGTGGGGCACGTGGAACACCATTCCCTGCATTCTCCTTGTTGCTTGTGTAATTTAGCAATAGGTCTATTGCAAAAGTAGCGATTCCAGGGCAACAAATGCTAGCCCCTATTTATCAAGTAGTGAGGACTCTGAAGAAGGGCACCTGGAACGATTTGCTTGACACGGCCAAAAGCGCATTGTATACTGGGCCGTAAAAGCTTTGCAGTTCGTCTTTCCCAATACTACACCAAAAACTTTGCTTCTTTTGAGACTATTTTAAAAAAAATGTTTCCACTCAGTTTCGAAAAAGAAACGCACAAGCGCAATTATTGCAAAGCGTGATGCGTCTGTTGCGCCGAAGACGCCTTCCCTTACTGGCAGGATTTGCACACTGAATCCTCGAGGCTTGTTCACATACTTACGACCGAGTGTATTACAACCTTTTCTGGTATCCTATGACGAGAGAACCCTGCTGGCGCCACCTACGAGGTTGCCCCGAAATTATGTTTCACTAGGGAAAAGATTCTGCAATATTTGCAAGATCAAATGTATGTACTATCTATGAGAAATGGTCGCCCATAACACTGCCAAAAGTTTTTCGAGCCAATGATGAAAAAATAATGCGGTTGGTCGTAAGCAGTCGCAAGTGTGTGAACGAGCCTTTACTGCAGAGGCAGAGCCCCTCTTATCACATCGCAGAATCCGAGTTCTCGGTTCCCTGCCCTCGCGCTGCAACTCGCCCCGTTGACCCGTTTCAACAATCGAGGAAAGAATCGCTCAGTCGATCGAACGTTTCGGCGGCAACTGGAGAAGCGACCGGGGGGCACAAACCGAGCACGATTGCGAGCGGGGCTACGCCTTGGCAATCCTGTACAGGAAGGCCATGAGGCTTTGCAGCCCCATCAGGTAGTTGCAGTCCCGTTCTGCCGTGGGGAACACGTGCGCAAAGTCTATCATCTTGGCGGCGCACCGTGGAACCCTTCCCGGGGCCTCGTCGCTGTTGGGAGCGTCGTACATCAGCAGCAGGGAGCTGGAGTAAAAGGCGTACAGCCTCTGGTTTTCAAACCAGCTCCGGATGTCTTCCAACTGGAGCATCAGCTCGGGGAGGAAGGGAGGCGACCACTCTTGCGATGCCCCAAGAAACGTCTGGAACGCTGCGATGCAACGAGCGACATTCATTTTTGCAAACATCTAGCAAGAGGACTGCCAATGGTGTTAGTTCAGACCACGATGCAAGATATGTATACCGTAGAATACCGCGCATCCGCCCCCATTCCACATTACGCGCCCATTACCAAATTTGTGAGATCTGAGGAAATAAGCACAGTACAGTTATATGAAAATTGATGACCGGACAAGCGCCCATCCCCCATTTTTTTCGGTGATCTCAAAAGTTTGAGTGAGCGCTTGCCTGGTATTTTACGGTAGGTGTGGACACCGTGCATGCCACAGCTGCAAGATAAAGTACTCTCCTAGCCTCAGTTGCAAGCAACACCGCCAGATAGCTCCTCGATGTGCGGCTAATGGCAGCCTGTCGCTGGCCCGGTTTCCCATGCTTCTCGTTTTCTGGGTGTGCAACGTTGTGTAGAACTTGGCACTCGTGCTACGCGTGTTGCTTAGACTTCGCTTCAGCATTGACCCTAGTTTCCTGACTCTACGGCAGCGATATAACAGTTTCATGAATCCGTTGAAGCGGAGAGATCTCGGGCACGGTGTTCAATTAAGCCAGTGTCCGCCAAGGTCAATGCAGACTCTCCAAGTGGAAAGAGCGTGCACCCAGGCACCACGGGCATGAGACACTTTTTTGGTTTTGTTTGATTCTTTCATATGCTGTCGGCCGAGGCCACTCAGGCGCGTGCCAACTAGACGTTATCTGGTCGATCGGGTCTCGGCGTTCGCCGTGCTGCGTGTCCTCTCCTATATATATTTTACACCATGCCCTAGACAAAAAAAAAACACGACTGTGACGCCATCATCTCAGTGAGACTGAGATGATGTTCTCGAGAGGGTGCAGTGGGGTCTGAATACTACCTACCAAAACGCAACACAGACCACACCAAGATATCAAATGTAATCCTCTGGGAGATGAGCTTCGATCATACGAGGTGATGGCTTCTCAAGAAGTTCAAGAGTGCCGTCGGAAAGCCGTACAAGCTATTTGTGTAGACGAAAAGAGGCAGTAACAATGTTGTAACAAAAAACGTCGACTGGCACCCACCTATGAACGGGGACATATGGTTCTCGTGGAAAGGGAGCCTGCGTCTGTGGGTGAATCGCGCAAACCTAAGATGAAGTACAGTCGCCAGCCATTTGAACTCCCCCAACCGAACGCTGACCGGATCAGCGAAAATCCCGCACGCGGCGCGCCGAGCGTTGCCGCGTTTTGGGAGCCGGGCTATTGGAACCAAACCATTCCTTTATCAAAGGGGTGGACGCATAGCTTTTATTGGGATTCCAGCCTTTAGAAGTGTGAATCACAAAAACATGGGCGATTAGAATTGCCGTTTTCGGGTGTTGGCCCCAAGTGTTCGGAGATGATGTTATAACTGCTGATAAACTGGAGCTTGCCTTAGGCGTAGATAAAGCAGCAGTGTTCGATCGGTGCTTACAAATGTAAGAACCCTATGTTTGATATGACATTAGGCATGACAACAATGATCCCTCGTAAAGCGAGAAGTGAACAACCAGGAAGCCATCTGCAAAGTCATCGTGTAGAGAATTGCCCTTAGCGAAGCAACACGCTACTGAACGCAAAACAATGGAGTCTTTTCGATAAAGCGCGTTCATGAAAAGTGCCTAAATCTTAATTCTGCTTCGACACAAATATTTTCTTTTTCTTATCTATAGCATATCCTTATAGAATAACCAAGTTATTTCAAAATCGCTTATCATTGTCTAGTCTAGGTATAAGAAAGATTGTAAGAAAGGGGGGCTTGTGCGTAGGACTACTCTTCGGGTAGGAAATATCTAAAATGACAAACCGGTTTTGCAAATAACAAAGTAGCATATAACACGTCAGAGATATTATGTAGTGAAGAAGTTCTATAAGCTGTCTGCGTTTACCTACAACCAGAAGAGGGATTGTAATCGGCCGTGCTTCAGATTCATGTTCCAAAACGCGGATTGCTATTAAACTTCCTACGTCCACCCCTTTGATAACGGAATGGTTTGGTCCCAATAGCCCGGCTCCCAAAAAGCGGCAACGCTCGACGCGCCCCATGCGGGATTTTTGCTGCTCCGGTCGGCGTTCGGCCGAGGGAGCTCATATGGCCGGCGACTGTACAAGGGCCCGCATGTTGTGACCCAAGTGCTGCTTCATGACACCTACCGCATTGGAGATCTACCCGGGCACCCACGAACTCAGAAGCACTATACAAGCACAACACCAGTTGACAAGATGAAGCCTTTTTCTGAAAGAATCTGACATCGACGGCTCCGATTGGGACGATCGGAGCCGTCGCTAGCAGCCACAACTTCGCTGCAAGCCGAATGTTAGCAGCCACAACTTTGCTGCAAGACACAGGCCAGACAAAAGTTTTGCCACAAGACACAGGCCACACGGAAGGTGGTTCCCTCCACGAGCCGGACCCACCGCTTTGCGGACGGCCCATTCTCATGTGTTTTCTTGCGTAATCAGTGTAAACTTTTAAATTTGAACAAACAGTTAAAAGAATCGCACTAGAAATAATTATTTAATTGGACCAAATATTCTAACACATCAACTAAACAAATCAAGTGCAGCGAATTTCCAGTGACTTGTGCTTTTAGTATGTGTCTGTGGTTGTATGTGTTCGAGCCTTCAATTGTACTCTGACCTAAGATAAAACAAACTATACGGTAAGTAGACACATTCTGAAAAAAAAAAAAAAAATATTTGTACCATTCTCCTTTCCTCCTACTTCTCTAAATATTAAAGTCAACTAAAAACATGTATTTTATTGTTTGCATTTTTTGCTTTGCTGATCTTGGCACAGGTGTGGTGCAATTCTTAGAAAAAATGGCACTTTGGCGCAAGATGTAGCAGACTTTCGTTTGTGGTGCAAATGGCACAGCATTTACTTTCCTGTAGAATGCCGAGGGAGTCAATCACTCTCTTGTGTGAAAGAATCTCAGTGCATGATAGAGTTCAGAATATGGTGCAGTGCATGTGTTCAAACATGCTATACATATGATTAATAGGGTTTCCAAAATCACATTTTTAGAAATCTAGCAAGGTTTGGCTAATCAAAACCAGCCTGTACCCTATGCAGTGTGTTTGCTTGAAAACAAACTCTCTTTTACCTACTATTGGCAAATCCCTGTGCGCTTCTGGTTTCCTTCTGTTTTGTTTCAGATTTCTTCGCTACAAGTCACAATTATGAGCTATTTGAAAAAACAGTCTTTTCCGATCGCTCTGCACCGCAGAAAAACAAATAAACACACTGCCATAAGGCTACTGGAGCATAAGATACTGTGGTGCCCTCGTGCTGCAACAGGACTTTCATGGATTTGTCCGAGCTTGAACCAACTGTCGCGTCAGACTCAAGTCTTTTGGGCCTCCCCAAGTATGCAAAGACCTCTACTGCACGCAACACACCTTTCCAGCGTTTATCGTGGAGTCCGAAAATGCCAACTCACTTGGCCGCGAATGCGTGCATTATGTCCGACCCTGCAGAAGAGAGCTACTGCATATGCTCAAAATGAGTTCCGCAGCACGCTAGACAAAGATGGCAACGTGCAGGAGCTGAATATTGAAGTGGTCTATAGACCACCATAAAGAGGTAGGTCGTCGAAGTCCGACGTCCGTGACGTAGAGGACTGAACTCGCCTTCGAGCACTGTGTCTGGAGTCTGCCGCAGGCCGTAGTCCTTTCCGTAGACTCTGTACTTCTGCTCGGTGGTGTCGAAAACCTGCAGAGATAATGTTTTTTTGAACCCGTGTGGGGAAGCCAGCTTACGGACACTCACTCGCATGCCCAAAATGCGGAAGCCGATCTGCTGACTCCAGGGGTACTTGCTGGTCTCTAGGGCCACCTTCTCTTCGCTTGCCAGAGGGTCGTATGTCTTGGCACCGATCTTCACATCGATGATGCTGGGCTTCCGAAACACCCTAGCAAGGTCGTCCAGCTTGAGGTACTCCACTTCTACACTCGTGAAGATAAGACGGATCATTTAACACTACCAACACTTTCGAGCCAATGGCAATGTTCCGCAGGTTTCGTGCACTGAACATTTTCTTTAATATTTATCAACTTGGATATAGCTATACACTTCAAAAAGGCATAAAAATGAAAGCAGTAATAATATGTTTGATCTTTTACAGGGGGTTAGATAAATATCAAAACTCATACACAGAGTGCAGGGACTTACTTACCTACTCTTAGATTGAATCTTGGACAAACATTAGAATATAATTTTATCAAAGTTCCTAAATATATTAAACCATCTTTTACTACTATGGCAAAAAAAAGAAAAAGTTAACAAATGAAAGGAGGATGATATTAGACCAAACCAAAGTTATCCTCGAAAAGTACTTGATCAAAGAACTTGGTGTTCTTCTACGAAAGGTAAGTTAAAGGGCCCCTGAAAAGAAAAAAAAAGATCTTTTTTAAACAGTCTGGTTGGGAAACTCGCACCAAAAATAATTTTTTTGCGAACAAAAAACAAAACAATTTTTTTAGAGCAATACCGACGGCAAGAGATTTACCTAAAATTCTGCGTGCAAAGTCCATGACATCACTGGTCATTCTGGAATGACCATCTTGGTTGCTTGCTCTTTCCACCTCAACATGAAGGCGAAACCAATCCACCTCTCCTCCCCGTGCCCAAGATGTTGAGAGAAAAAACAAGTGGAAAAGAGGTGACAACCGACTAAATCGCGTCTCGCGCAATTAATATTGCTCTAAAATTTTTTTTTTTTTCCAGGTAAAATTAATTGTTTGACACGTGTGTCCCAACCAGACTGTTAAAAAAAATTTTTTTACTTTTCAGGGACCCTTTAGAGACTTTTCTGTTGTCTTTGATCCACATCTGATTGAATAATTTTTTTTTAATTTTAGTTTTTTTCTTTTTTTTTAATGATTAAAGTTCTGTAATTTAGGGTTCTCCCCAGAAATTCTCAAGGTCTCGACATCGGACAATTTCAAATGTGTTGGGGAGGAGGTGGGGGGGGGGGGGGGGGGGGGGGGGCAACTACTGCAACTTCTGGTGTTCTTACCAATTCCTCCGATGCACAACAGTGATTTTGCTTGCAGTGATTATGCAGTTCCGTTGCTTATAGTACCACACACGTCTGCCAAACACAACAATCCGAGGCAACTCGCATTTTCAAAATCGGCATTGTTTTTTCCAACGGAGGCAAAGTATAGAGGTGAGTTGGACATAGTAAAGATGGACAGTCAGCCAGACTGGTGGGCGGGAAAACCACTGCCGCCCACTGTGGGGAGAACCCTCCTGAGTAACTATCTGGCGTGTTTCACTAAAACTATTGAGTCCTGGGAACCCATCAAGCTGGGAGCTTCATTCTTTCTTTTGCCATTCTTGAAATGAAAATAGATGTTAATAACATAATTACTAGGTGTTGAAGGGGTTCTTCACCTTCCCAATTCACATAAGCTACATCAGGTGTCATTCTAAAGTTGTATGCTTGGACAGCGTACAAACTCCCGAGCATCCGCTCTTGCTCAATATGGCTCAAGCATCAAACTTGCATCAAGAGAAATCTAGAGCTAAAATCCTTTTTAAAAGTGAATATTGGGCCATCTTTCTACAAATAACACAAACTATAATTGATTTGTCTAAAGGGTCGATTTTTTTTTTTTCTATCGCTACATTTTGTTTAGGCCAGCGTCTTCACAAACCAATGCGGAGCGCAAGTTTGTCTGCTTTTTTTGCAGGGGTTGTGGTGACGTCAGGATGCTGAGCTCTGATCGAAGGGTGGGTAGACCCCAAAGCAAGATAAGGTCTACCGGGCCCACTATCCTTCAATCAGAGTCAATCAGGACTCGGCATTCCGACCGTCAGCACAACCCCCCAAAAAAAACAGACGAACTTGCGCTCAGCATTAATTTCGCAACCCACTCCTTGAAATGAAACCTGCAGCGGAACATTTTGTTCAATGATTTTTGACGGTCTCGGTAGCAATTGTCCCTGGCCCAGTATTGTCTTTTGGAAAACTATTTTCGGTGGCACTTTATGCATAGTTGTGACTTGGAGTATTCAGTATACCTTCTTATGGTTTGCTGGTAACAGGAGATTCTATGTTATTAAATTATTCCTTGGGGCCATTAGCCCAAAAGATGTGTTTTGCAGAGTTACCGCAAACCATGCATACCGTTGCCTCGAGAGCAGAAGTCTGCTCAGCTGAGAATTTTCTGAGCTCTGGTAAGTAGTCGGTTCTTATGGCTCCTTACGTGCCTTCTCTGTTGATGTTGGTCTTCCAAACGCCCTTGTACTTGGGTACGAAGGCTCTCAAGGCGATGAGTTCAGGAGGGCAGTCGTCGGACTGGAAGATGCGCTCGTAGAACTTCTGTTCTCGTAGAGTCCTCTCGTCGCTTCTGACGAGGGGTTTTAGGATCGAACCGTCCTTGTGCTTTAACAGCCCTGCAAGCACAAACAGCTGTGATAAATGAACTTTAAAAAGGAAAAAACTGACGCGCATTTTGGGTTCCCGCTTGAAACCGAAACAACCGACCCAGTCTCGTTTTCGTACTTCCGTGCACATGCCCCGCTATTTGATGATCAAACAGTAAAGTGTCTTCAGGGAAAGGAGCCTCGTCGGACATGTTTGGTTAGAATATACTAAAGAACCCCAGTAAACAAGGCGCTAAATAACACGCCTACTGCGCCTACCCAACGAGCACCTATCATTTCCGATCAGTTGTTTATGTTGATGCCGATAAAGCCGACCTGAAAGAGCTACGAAACAAGTGTAATAAAGAAGGTAGTGTCGGGTTTGTCATTAAACATCTTAATATAATAAGATAGTTAATATATATTTTCTATGCAAAATCTGTAACTCTTATAACACTTAGATTAGTTTAATTAAAGTTGGCTTATTTTACAGCGATTATACGGATTATACCAAAATTGCGTTAAAATAGGTGCGTTCATTTATTCGCTTTGTAGCCAGCATGCCGTCATTTGTTTCTTAAAATGCGTTTATTTGCTTTCTTTCTTTTATGTATATTTCTGAACGTCGTCTACTTTTTACTAGAAACATTTTTAACTGCACTTGTATAAATAATCTGGAATGTAAGTTGTTTTAATAGTCACCTTGTGACGTCACTCTCCTTACAGGGTCAACATTTTCGATAAATCAACGCAACTCTCACTGTTTCTTTAGTTTCTGTACGCTGTTTTTATCATATGGTCAACAAATTTTTAGCAGTGGTCTACGATTTTTCCAAGCAGCTCAACGGTTTCTGGTAGTTCAGGACTTGGGCGGCCTTACCACTTCGGCAGTGTCTTTGATATAACACAGTGCTCGGTACGATCATACCAATTACCGACGCATCATATTAGCCGCGCTGATTACAAGGCGGTCTTGCCTTGGTGTTGCCTCAGGAGGATGTGTGTTTCCAAGTGGTTCCTCCTGGTTGCTTCACTCTCCATCATCACTGTTCATTGCGCCCCTGCCACTACGCGAAGTAAGCGCTCTCTCTTCCATTATCCGCTTAAATAACAAGGGCGAACTCGAGCGATGCAGTTCTTGCGTCTCAAACGTTTGAATACGGACGTGACGATTTTCGTTTTCGCTCCGAAGCATTTACGCATTCGAGCAAAAATGTGCACGCGGTATACGATTTTACTATGCTCCCTGCTTAGATTTATCTCTTGCTACTAAAATATCCGTGTAGAGTTTGAGTTCAACGTATGAGGAGTCGGTGTATTATTCGATTCTCTCTTCGCGGGTAAAAGTGTTTTGTAAGGTGACGCAGTTTTTTTCACCTTTATCAGGCATCATCCATCCTTCCCTTTCAGAGGACGACACCGCCAAAGAGACCGCCGACTCGATCAAAAATGCCCCCATTAATCAAATCCATGAAAGTTCCAAAGACGTGCCGTCGGGGCCGAAAAAGGATGCTCCCAAGGTACCTGCTCAAGCTTTGCTGGACAAAACCAGTGGAGTTGTCCGCAACGAAGCTCCACCCCTGAACCTTGTGGAAAATCTAAATGGTTCTCCTCCTGTGGAGAAGTCGACATCCGACAAGAGTTACGTCAGTCCCCTGCAGAAAGTCCCCCAGCCCGAGAGTCCTGCTCAGAAGCCGCCTGTGGTGCCAGCATTTTCAGATCTTCCCAAAGATAACCAGGCTCCTCTTGGCAGCGCTCCCTCGGCTCAAACGTTGGTCAAGGAGCAGCAGTTGAAGGTGCCTGGCGAGACGAAAACCAGCAGCAAGCCTGACACCCCAAAGCCTGTAACTTTGGCAACCAAGGTTCAACCTGGATCGTCAGCGCCACCTAATGTTGCCCATCCGAGCAAACTGGCTCCAAATACCGTAAAGCCGACGAATGTTGTCACTCAAGTTGATGACAAAGGCGATCTTCCAACCGCCACCCCTTCTGAGGGTGGCTCTGTCGGTACAACAAGCCCATCCGAACAGTCGAAGCTTACGAGCACTGAACAGAAGGAAGCGCCGAAACAACCATCAAGTGGTTTGGTGAACCCGGATGTCGCTCAGAGTCCAAAAGATGCGCCAACTGATAAGGTCCCAACAAACAACAGTAAGTGTTTCCTCCTGTTTACTGGTCACGGCTGCTGAGTAGTGCTGAGAACCTCGTCGAATGTAATGAAGATTCAATGTTAAAAGCCTAGTATATACGCTGTGCTTGATTATGGAAATTGACTGCTGGGAATACAGTGAGGCTGTCCTTAAGGATGCGAAAGAGTTACAGAGCTGAGCTGGAGTTTTTTTTTAACTTTAACATGATTGTATGCACACTGTTTGCGTAAATTTTTCTTTAATCTTCTCTTCGCTCACATTTCAACGTGCATGATTATTTCTCATAATTCTTTGCATCGTATAAAAGGGTGCCTGCTTACAGTAGAGGCAAGTTTATTTTTAGGGCTAAGCTCTTAAATGCTCGTTTCCGGGTTGAGCGGCGTCAGTGTAACCACGCGCATTGCATAATGGGACCTTTCCCCGCTAAATTTAGCGGGGAAATTGACGTCACGTGACCTCAACACCAATTCAGTTTTTCCGCTAAGTTTAGCGGGGAAAATGATGTCGTGACTTCATGTCACGTCGCCCACAAACAAATTCAGCGGCAGGAGGAGAGGAGGAGGAGGAGGAGGGGGGGCACACCCTCCCCTCCTCCTCCTCAAAAACTGCACTCTATTTTCGCATTAGAAAAATTTGTAAAGATCTTTTCATTTTTTATGTATATGATATATGCATGTTTTCTTCTCTGGCAAAACCATCTTATTCTTACTATTGTGATAGAACAACAAACATTATGTTCTTGAGATCTTTCATGGCTCTTTTCCAAGGGGGATGTTTGATGTTGAAGTGACAGTTTAAAAGCCTTTAGCTGTACCCGCTTGGGTGTATCATAATCAGTCGCTAGCCATTGTCCAATCCCAAAAGTTGAGCTCATGTTTAAGGCTCTGGATATACTTAGATATTTTGAATAACAGTCGAAGGATTTCATTCAGAATTTAATTTTAGCACTAATTCGTCATTTTTGCCGTTTCCACCCGTTAAATTACCAATTGACCGAAACCTGGATTTGAATTTTGCTATATTCACGATTTTCAACAAAAGATCTAATGGAAAGAAATATAATCTGTATGCAAAAGACATCAGAAAGATACAGAAAGCCATCTAGATTCATGAGAAATTTCCAAGATATAGTTTCTACTGTTATAAAAGCACTTTTGGCTACCATAAATAAAATACCGGAGGGGCGCCCATCCCACTTTCACCGAAAATTGAGTTAATCTGGACGCTTGTTTGGTCAACGTGTAATCTCCAGAATTTCCAAGTTTGGGTGCTTTCACTGTATTTTACGGTGCTTCTCCCAGTAGAAGGCCCTAGTGGTATAGTTCACACATAAAACCACAACAGTGACCGGCACAATCACACACTTAGATTTGCCTGCATCTTGACACAGAAATGTAGAAACATTGACTCTCCATTATGACGGACGTCGATTAAGATAAACTTCACTTTGTTTGTCGTCTGCTATTAGAAAGGACATACAAGTACTTTCTTTTGAGAACGCAGACCCTACACTCTCCCAGACTATAGCAGTGGTGCAACACCACCATGGTGCGGGAATATGTCTCCAAATGGTGTGCCTGCTGCGTCCTCATTTCTGTTCCCTCAATTTCCACTTTACGACGTCACACTCATGTCGTGCCGTGTTCCCGTCACAGTCACAGTCCTGGGAGTGACGGAGCAGCAGATGCGGGTATGGCCGATGCCTGGCCCGCTGTAGGTTGTTCTCCAGTTTGACAGTTCGAGGGAGCTTCGGCGGCCGGGAGTTACGACGCTGCGACGACAGCGACACTTGCCTTCGCTCGTTTTTTTTCAGGGTGTCTAGCAACTGTGAAAACCAGGAATTGTCAGGGAAATTTTAATTACCTGGAAAAACCAGGGAATTGTCAGGGATATTGTCAAAAAGCGAGTCCAGTCAGGGAAAATGGGCCGGAAAAGCCATTGAGTGCCCTGAGCAAAAACTTGAGGACTTAAGGGCAAAAAAAAAAAAATATGCAATAAATTCTGCTTAGAGCAAAGCGCGGGCTCTGCTCACCAAATGTAGAGTGTGCTGCGTGATGCAAAGGAAACAGCCAATAAATCCAGTCCAAGCCTTGGATTGGATTGAGGGCACGACATTAGACTAAATCCAGTTAGAGCTACTAGATTTAGTAACAAACGAGAAAGCCGCGGACCCCAATCCAATCCAAGCCGAAAGTATCCGAAAGTGCGCATCTGGCGGCCATGCTGCTATTCGGTTATCGATGTATGTGGTTGAGTGTCAAGTTTTCACGGTGTTTCCAAAAGTGGCTTCCTCTGGAAACACCACAAGAAAGTGCTCGTTTAATCCAGACTGGACGAACCCGAATATTTCAAAATATGCTACTTGGATTAAGCCCGTGCAAAATGATCCTTAAAGTGCTCAATGCTCACTGCCTTGTGTTGTAATGGTCTTATATATCTAACTGCCTTCACAGTGGTCAGGGAATTTCACCTAAAATTGTCAGGGAAAACCTGGAAAATTCGGGAATTTTCAATATAATAATTTGCCAGACACCCTGTTCTTGTCGGAGCTTGTACGACCAACCACCAGTATCACAGTGTCCAACAGCACGATGCACTGGCCACTGTGACATAATTTGTTGCCACTTTGGGACTGCTGTTGATGCTTGGGGGTTTAGGACGCCAGACACACCCGTCGGACACACATGCTAAGCACCGTAGTACTACAGAGCGTTCCAAATTGTTATTCTTTGCCACTGCGTCGTCAAATGTGGGGAGTTTGTTGTTCGGCTAAATGAAAATCGAAAAGCTTGCTAGAACTACATTTGCCCTATCCGTGGTTTCAGAACCCGACGCAGGCGAGCCACCTGAGCCGGCGAAGGAAGCACCCACTCAGGATGAGGAGCCAAGGCCAGAGCTGATCGGCAACCAGGGTGAGCTTCCTCCAGAAAAGACTTTGAGGCAGAGCCGTTCCCACGTTTAAAACACTGCCTTCCGTAGTACCTGCTGGGCCACACATTTGCACACACTATTTGGTGACAGGTTAAGAGTTTGGGGGAACCTCCCTCACTTTTTTCCCCTTTAGCAGAGTGGATGCTGGAGAGGAGGTCACCTCTTCTCCAGCTTTCACTCTGTTAAAGTGGAAAAAGGAGAGAGGCTTGCCCTGAGCCCTTAACTTGTCACAAACTATAGTCATTTGCAAGCCAGGTGGCACCCGCTGAATCAGTTAAACTTAAAGCATCGCTCAACTCCCATCAGTACTTTTTTTAAGTGTTTGTATAAGGCACGCTTATGTATAAGACTCTTTACTACCTTCATTTATTCTCTCTTTCTGCAGGGTGTTTCCGGAAACGTAAACAAAAACGCTCCTGCGAAAACTATGCATCGCACAAAAAAAAAATAGGTTGATAACGTAGTGGTCTGTGCCAAAGGACCCACTAAAGGGCAACTCCAGTCAAAGTTAATATTTTCGAATTTTGGATTACAACTGTTTTTAGCTCAGTCAGTGACCCTAAATTACAAGGCATAATTGTTTTTCTCAAAATTGTGCGCAGCTTTATAAATATCACGGCCCAAAGTTGGATTTCGGGCGTCCACGGCAAAACCGAAACTATCTGTTCAGGAGGGATGGCAACACCGATCGTCGGCTGTACGGCCGCGAAGTGACGTCACCGTGGTGCTCCGGTACGCGGTACAACGTGCGGAATCAACTGCAGCACCACCACGACATGATGTCTCTAGGGTGCTGCAGTATGTGTCGACCAGTGTTGTTTGACTAAAAGTTTACCCACTTGCCGCCCGCTCAAGAGCAGCTGGTCGCATCTTTAAAATCGGTTTCACTGGAGTATGCGGCTTTTTGACGTAATATTTCGGCTGTGATCATATTTCGTGCCACTAAAGCGATACCGGTAATTTATTTTGGTTTTGTTTTCTTATATTGCCTCTCCTACTTGTGATCCGTGGTGGCGCACGCACGTTGTGCGTTTTAGACACGGAGGGCGAGATTGCCCGCGTAGAAATGCACTCTGATAAAAAACTGAAACCCAGAAACGCGTCCAAATTAAGCATTTTTCTGGAACACCATAAAATGCTGCCTGTGCCTTATATCATGGTATCGATGATGTCCAGCAAGACTAATTGAAACTATGCGTTCAGAATCAATAATTAACAATTTGATTACTTAAAATAATTGATTATCCAATTATATTGAATGCCGATAATTTTCCTTTATTAGCCCTTCGATACGGACGGACACAGACCACTACGGCATCAACCTTTTTTTTGTGCGACGCATAGTTTTCGCTTGAGCGATTTTGCTCGCGTTTTCCGGAAACACCTTGTATATTGTATATATATGTTCCACAATCAAAATATGTTGTGACACATGTGTCATAAAACAGACTTTCCTGGAATATCGCTGTTATTTCGGCTCTACGCGTCGAAAATGGAAGCACGTTGTGGGATCACTTCTCTCTCAAAATGTGTCTTGAGACATAAAAATGTTTTAGATGTTTTAGATTCAAGTGCATTGCTCTTCACTGTGTACCCTGCTGATCTTGTCGACATTCATCTGCTTTTGTACGGTGAGTGAATGCCGAGCTGAGCATAATGCGCCGAGGTGCTCACCAGTTTGCAAACAAGAAAACTGCAGTTTTATTTTGTGTTTACTGTGTAGTAGAAAATGCTTGGGTCCTTGCAATAGTGTCACCATGTCACCCATTTATCTGGTGAATTAAGGTACTTGTATGTGCAATTAAGATTACTAATTCGTTTTTAGTGTTAAACATTCTTTGGCTAGATGTTCAGCATTTCGTAAAGCCTGGATAAAGACGTGGCCCAAAGGCTCGACACTCCGTGTTTTGCCTGAGGGTAAAGAGTTCTTCGCAGTGAAAAAGCGTTTGCGACAGGCTGGAATCGAACCCAGACTGTTTGGGCTACTAAGCGAGCGTCTTTCCGGCATGTCGCGACACATCGCCTTGAATTGAGGTACCATTTGCCGGGAAAGCCTTATGGGGCATCCGCTCTGCGTCCGGCACATGGCAACTTGACACCCTGTCGCACGATTTTGAGAACAGGGTTAGTGCCGGAATCTCCATTCAAAGAATCGCTATCGAGTGTAAAAGGCCAAGCGCTAAGCCAGTCGCTAAACTAACCAATGAAGAGCGCTGAGAGTGTAGACGCCACACGTTTCACATGCAACGCAATTGCCCAAAAATTATCTATGCATTTTTTTTTTTTTTTTTTTTTACCAAGGCGTACACATTTTAAGTGTGAAAAGCAAAATTTTTTTTAAATCTGAATTTTCTAAAAAAACATTGCAACACTGACCTCTCTTTTTTTTTTTTTGAGATGAGGCATTTATGGTAACTGCATTGACATGGATGTGACCATTGCGCATCAAATGAAGTGGGAACGGCTGTGATTGGGTAGAGCTGGAAGGTAGAGGGGTCTGGGTGCATGGGATTGGCTCCCTCTAGAATCGATGCGCTACTGTCGCATTTATGTAAATGCAGCCTAGTTTGAATGTGCTCAAATATTTTGTGTTCCCTCATGGCCACTTACAAAGATGAAACATGCCGGCACCATCTGATCTGTTGGGTATCCCTGGAACACTTTCAATCTGCGTATATATTTTCTAATACAGTGGTTCTCACCCATTGATGTTTTGCGGTCCCCTTGTGGATCAGAGGAGATGATGGAGGACCCCGTTCGTGGTGAGGGGAAGTAAAAGGTATAGGTTAATTATGATAATGATTTATTCGATAGATATAACTAAGGGCTAGTTAAAGTAGACTTCTCTTATTGACATAACACACGAGAAAACTCTTCTGAAAATTGGAACATTTCTTCTCAATCTGAGAAAAGTAGGCATGTGCGAATATTCAATTTTTCCGAATATTCGAACGAATAGTACATTATTCGGTATTCGCTTCGATCCGAATTCCGATATTCGTAAAAGTTCGAAGTATTCGTCACTAACGAATAGCGGAAGGAAGGCCGATTGTATCTGGTAGTTTCGGTTTCGGTTGTTTCTTACGAAAGCCGCATCGGCATCAAGAAATAAAAAATATCCAATCCAATCCAAGACATGCTAATGTCACATTCAATTGGGGCGCACGCAGCACCGAGAAAATGCTGGCCCCAAGGCCGCGTCACCGCGCGGGTGCAGCGTATGAAGCACTACCAAGTGAACACGAAGAATTCCGCCGTGCAACGCGCTTGGCGCGGTTACTTCAAGGGCAAAACATAAACGGGTGGACCATTGAACAAAATCCGCCGCAAGTGGGGCGGCGGCGCGCGCCATCTAGCGAGAGTCTCCTGAGCCGCCATGTTTACCGCGACGAGGAAAACGAACCAAGGGAAAGAAGGCGCCGTAGGAGGCGGAGAGCGGTAGCTCAAGGCCGCACTGGCCCGCAGTGCGCGAAGCTGCACGGTCTCCTTTTGACGGTGCAGCTGGTGCAGCAACACACCAAGTCCCAAATGAACGTAGTGCAGCCGCACCGACACGGCCATCTGAACGCGACGCGTCCGTCGGTGCAGTGTGGTGCGCCCCAATTGAATGTGACATAAACCGATCAGAAAATCGTGCGTCGCAACCGTCGCAGCTGCACAAAGGATTCCGAAGTGTGTTTGCTCTAGGTGCTGCGTGTTCGTTCGTATGGCTGACGGGTCATCGACGGCAGCCGGGAACGATGAAAGTGAAGCCGGTGTGTATCGAAATCCGATAGGGAACTACTTCTTAAAAGTGCCACCGGGAAATGAAGCTCGGTGCCTCAAATGCAAGGCAGTGCTGAAAACTCCAACGGGTACGACAACGACCCTCGCAACGCACCTGAAAAGGCACCCTGATTCGTACAAGACTTTCGAATGTGAGCGTCAAGCACGCGGGAGTGCCGTCAAACACAAGAACGGGAGTAAACCGAATCATCAGCAACCGTCGGTAGCCGACAGTTTCAAGCCCAAACTGAAACCGACTGCACCCAAAGCGAAACAAATGACGGCGATAATAGCGAACTTCATTGCTAGCGGAATGCATTCGTACACATTCGTACAGCATCGTAGAAGAAAGTGGTTTCGTTGAAATGATGAAGCTTGCCATGCCCGACTAAACCATGCCATGGCGGACGACCTTCTCGCGGGTTGTCATCCCGGATCTACACGAGTCCAAAAAGAAAGAACTAAGAAAGAGTCTGCGAGACATTTTCAGTAGCGGAGCAGAATGTTACTCCATCACGACAGATGGCTGGACCTCGCGCGCAAACAATAGCTATGTCTCCGTGACTTGCCACATGATGGACAAGGAATTTGGACAGCACGTGCACGCTTTGGCTTGTACGGACATGACGGACTCCCACACGGCCGAAAACCTGGAACAGTTCATCAAAAGTGCTGTCGAGGACTGGGAACTACCAGCGCCAGGCACCATGCCGATTTATGTAGTCACGGACAACGCTAGGAATTTCACCTCAGCGTTTGCACGGTCACCGTGGTCTGGCGTGCAGTGCTTCGGACATACACTCCAGCTGTGCATCAGCAACGCCAAAAAAGAAGTGGCGGGTTTCTCGCAGTTATGTGCGAAAGCTAGAACCACTGTGGCTCGATATAAAAGGAGTGCAAAGGCCCGCGGACGCCTTATGGAAATCCAAAAGAACATGAACCTTGAGCCACTTGAAGTTGTGCAAGACGTTCCGACACGTTGGAACAGTGAACACGCCATGATGAAGAGGCTTGTGAAGCTTCACGTGCCCGTCAGTGTGGAGCTGTCGGAATGTGACACAGTGGAACCTCTCAGTGCAAGTGAGTGGAGGCTCATGGCTGCAGTAGTGCAGGTCTTGCAGCCTCTCGAGCAAGCCACAGCTGAGCTATCTGGAGACAGCTATCCGACCCTCTCCCAAGTGATCCCCTTATTAGAGTGCACCAAGGTTGTTCCCAGTCGACACTCTACCGATGAAGCAGGATTAGTTGCCTCAAGCCTCATACAAAGCATCAAGACACGATTTCCAGATGGGAAGATGTGTCGCCTTCTAGGCTTGTCAATGTTGGTGGACCCCAGGTACAAGGACGGGTGCTACACTGGAGAGGCAGAAAAAAAATGGGCACGCACACTCCTGACGAAGGCCGTCGAGGAGAGCGCATCAGTGGACGAGCCTAGTGATGCAGCTGCCGAAACCAGCGGAGGCATAGGAGATTCGTTAGGTGACACCCTGTGGGATGTCTTCACCAGTCTTAGTTCTGACACGCACCAAAAGCCAGGCCACGAATTCGCTACCGAGTCTGTTGAGTACCTGAAGACACCCCTCCTTGCGCGCACAGAAGACCCCTTGGCATGGTGGAGGTGCAGGGGAAGACATCTGTACCCATCCCTGGTCCGTGTTGCCCGTAGGTATCTCTCGATACCAGCAACCCCGACTAGGAGTGAAAGGCTTTTCTCAAGCGCAGGAAGCATCGTGAGCTGCAGGAGGGAGCTTCTCCTCCCTGATCATGTGCAGCAACTCGTGTTCCTTCATGAAAATCACTGACTTTTCTTGTACTAAGTTTTGATTTGTGCATCAGCTTAAGTTTTGATTTGTGGCTGCGTTGCAGTGAAAATAAATGGTCGGTGAAGTGACCACTGCATAACTTTTGCTAATAATTTTTCCTACAACTATTCGAATTATTCGCTTCGAAAATATTCGAAGCAAATTACTATTCGCTTCGAATTCGCTTCGAACTAAAAAAACACTATTCGCACATGCCTAGAGAAAAGTAAACTTCTATTTCCGGGCTCGACGAATGAGGCAGTGCTTCGCGGACCCCTAGAATGCCTTCGTGGACCCCAAGAGGTCCGCGGACCCCCATTTGAGAACCGCTATTGTAATATTTTACGCATCATTCTTTCTCCGTGAACTCGAAATAATTCTGATGATGGTATAAGCAATTATTTCTCATAAGTAGTATGTATATGTGATCTCACAAATACTGCAAAACCTTCAGTCAAGTTGAAGTAATAAAAATATTTTGATTGGTGCAGAGAAAAGGCAGTCTCACTGTGGCATAGCCCGACGAGACAAGAGAAGTTAAAATGTTTTTACCAGATAGGAGACTAACAATCTCGGCACCGGGAGTCTTCTTCGGAAATCGCCTAAAGGCTTCATCCGCGCTCGTATGTCTGTCAGCCTGTCTCGGGGGTGGGGGTCTAGTGTTGCGACTGTTTCCTCTCTTTCTTTTCTGAAGTGTTTACAGTTTTATGGAGGGCGATCAGTTTTGGCTGGCGTCCTTTCTCTCCATAGTGTGCGCCCCGGATCTTGTCTATACGTTTTTTGGGGTCTCCCATTTCAGGGAGTCAAGAGGACGACTTCCTCCCGTCCAACTTTGAGCAGCCTTCGGAGAGTCTGGACGGAAGGGGGCGCGCGGGGGGACGCCCAGAGAAGCCCCTGGACGTGTCCGTGGTGTCCCCTATGGGGGACGGGGCCCGCTTTTCCGGGATCCCGGTCGAGGACGACAGTCACTTTTTCGCGTACTTCCTCACGGCAGTCGTGCTCTGCGTGCTGGGTTACCTGGCCTTCCACAACAAGCGAAAGGTCAGTCTCATTCTCTGTCCTCGTTTCCCTCTCCTTTGTCCACTCAGTTTAATTTTTGTTGCCCGTCGACAGCGGGCACCCTTTTTGGCATTTTCTCGGGGATTGGTGGCCGTGCGTGTCAATGCGCTGCAAATCTGGGTCCGTGGAGCTAAAGCTCACACTGCAGAGGCTGGAGATCTCGGGCTCAATCCTCACCCCTGCCCGTTTCGGTCTGTACGAGCGTCGTACTGGACTGCGGTCTTGCATTGTTGCTGCGTAAGGCGCGTTAAAGAAATGGGCTAACGGTTGTACTGCACCGGCCAAATTTCTCATCTAAGGCGTAAACCTGCATCGCCGTAGCTCGAAGGTAGACTGACCTCATGCTGTTCAAACACAAACGTCAGATTTGCTTTGGACACCTTCCCGACGATGCCGTCGTCGTCGGAAGTACAATGCGTCGTGTTCGGAAGTGGCTTTTTGCTCCGGCATCTCTTTCTTTATTCCCGTTTGGCGCTTCCGATGCTTTACGGCTCAGTTGGACTTGCCGAAACATTTAACTTCTAAGCTCCGTAGTCACTGGCAGGTTGAAAAATGTAGGGAATTTTCTTTTGATGCCCAACCTTTGGAGGGCACTTGTTGCCCTCCGCTGTACTGTGGCTGCAACTGAAGGACCTCTTTGTCAGTCATCCTGCCAGTAATTAATCGACCCATGAAAAACAAAAAGTTTTTTTTTTATGTTTTTGCATAAATTATTGTCGTGGTAAAAAAAGCAACATGTGGTACACTCGCAGATTCTTGCCCTGATTGTGGAAGGGCGGCATGAGCGCCTGCGGCGGAGCAATGCAGCGTACCGAAGGCTGGACAACACGGACGAGGACTTGAGCGTGCGGAAGGGGCGAGGGAGCTTCTAGACCCGCCGGTTACCCCGGCAGCGGATGCCACGGGGCCGACGGGGCGCAGCGGCCTCCCTTCCGCTTTTCGGTTTTCCGGCCGCAACCGGGACACGCCTTCACCCGGACGAGCTCTCCGGGCTTTCAGCACGTCGCCAAGAGGTGTCCCGAGCCGCATGTGTGACTCGAGGTGCGCCGCTCCGAACCTTGCCCTGGGCGAGCAGTTGCAACAATCGGCGAGTCGCCTGCGAAACCCCGTGTGAACGCATTTTCCCTGATGCAGGTTGTCACTCGCGCGTTGTGCTGGCTTTCCCCGGATGTGGTGTACATCTGTCTGTAAAATTTATTTTAGTTCTTTTTTTAGCGGTTGGTGCGCAGCACTGGCACGAGTCTGTGGGCGACGCTTGCCATAAGGTTGAGGCCCTGGTCTTCTGGCTGGCCTGCTTTCTGGCAAAGCCCCTTATACCCCATTCACACGATGAAGAAGGTACCTATAAACATTTGACGGCCCCTGGGCGTCGCCATCTTGCTGCTAATGTGGGTAGATCGTTTGATAGTCATTGAAGCATTGCTGAGGCCATGGGTACGCTTCAGCAATGCTTCACTATCAGAAGATCTGACCACACCAGCAGCAAGATGGTAGCGCCCAGAGGCCATACTTGCAAACGTCTATAACATATGGCTCTTCAACGTCAGCAGTGAATCGGTTTGCTGCCCTCCGCGCGTTGTGCGTGTTCACAGCCCAAGAGTACGGGCCAATTTGCCGATTGTGAAGAGACCCATTTTATAGGTACCTCTAGGCTGCCTGCATGAGCGGGGCATTAGTGTGGTTGTCGCCAGAGGGGAGGAGCCACCCACGGCGTTGAATGTGTTCCCGTTCCTCGTGAAGAGTTGTGGTCCTTCTCTGCACTGCCCGTCTCCCAAAGGTCCCTCTAGGTGCAGTTGCCTCACCGAGCATGATGCGATAAAACCGTCCAGGGTTTCGATGCACGGTAAAAGTAGGCACCCCAGTCAACAGTTGTTTTCTAGGTCACTTCTCTCCCTCCTTCTTTGGTCCAGATGGAACCACACCCACCTGACTTAGTCTCGTGCTTTGCCATGTTGTAAATAGTGTATCATAAGCAGAAGTCAACATGCAGGTTCATGGTTCGAACAAATAAAAAGAATACACGCATCTGATGTTGCAGTTCGCTCGCCTATTTTCTTTCTTGAAATGGGTGCTTCCATAGAATGCCGCAGCATTATTGCTGCCCGTCGGATCTACACTACTTCAGTGAACCTCGCTTGGTCCTGCTTATTAGTCTCGCGCCCTGAAAAGCACTTCGTCCTTGCATCAACATAACTGGAAGCGTAGGTTCCACAAGCACCGCTCAGTGGAGCTCAGGCTATACAACCAGCAACCCACGAAAAGCGATTCCAAACAATTTATTTGTCGATGTAGACCCGGGGCACTTCCGAGTTGTGAACTGATGACGGTTAGAAAGGCTGCATTCCCGCCGGAAAGGGCACACAGTGTTGAAGTTATGTCTGTACAGAGTTGTCAAACGCCAGTCTAGACGACGGCTGGTGGTGGCACGACACGCTGTGCCATGAGCTTTCCGTAGCCTCCCCGTCCGCTGTCGTAGTCTGTGCGGTACTCGTCGCGGACTTGGCCGCCGCTCTTGCCTCTGCCGAACTGCCGTCCTTCGACGAAGCCGGCGTCCCAGTCTGTGCGGATGATGCGGTCGTCCAACTTGGTGCCGTTCACGTAGCGGATCGCGTTCTCTGCGTCCTCCCTCGTGTAGTACTCCACGAAGCAGAAGCCGCACGGAGTCTTGTGGAAACGGTCGAGACCCATGATAACTTTTTTCACGTCGCCGCACTTGGAGAAAAGTTCGTAGATCTGTTCCTCAGTAGTGTAGAACGACATGTTTCCCACGTAAAGCGTCGTGCTCAGGCGCAGCAGTCGCTCCTGCTCCGAGCGACTGCCCTTGAAGTGCTGGTCACGGTAAGAGCTCAGGTCGACGCTCATTGTTGATTTCAGTGGGTGTCCAGAAGCTGGAGATGTCCCCCCAAAAAAAGCGAACAATTCGCAACCTGTGGAGCCCTTCCGGAGGCAACACAACGAAGGAGCAACGCAATCGGCCACTCGACAGCCAGCAAAGGAGGACAATACTGTTGTCTATGGCGGGTGGGCTGACTTTAAAAACAAATTGTCATTCTTGTCCAACTCGTTTGCACTTTTGCATTAATTGCATTATCGTCATAAAATTACTTATATCTTACTGAAAATTTTTAAATGTTAAACAGTGTATTCGAATAAAATATCTACAGTTGGATAGGGTTTACACGATTTAAAAGAGCGTCAGTTTTAGTGAGAAAGCGATATCTACAGGGGACCTTGGTAAATGCGTTCGATAACATTTTAAACATCCAAACCTACGCGGAAGAACGCTTCAAGAAAGAAAACTATACCATGACGTCAAAAATACACCTTGCCAGTCGTTACTAGGTTTTGTTAGAGTAACCTTCAAGAAACTAATCGCTGGTTTGACGTCACAGTATTGCATAATCGCAGTCACTTGAAGACTCGCCAAAAATAGACGAACGCAGCCTGTGCAGTGGGGGTCCAAGTGTAGTGTGCGTTTCCGAGTCTGCTTCGTCCCGGAATCGGATCGGCGGCGTGTGAGTTGCTTCGAAGCTCGACATGCTTCGCCGAAAGAATCTTGATTTCCACCTGGGAGTCTAGGGAGCAGGTAACGCACGCTTCCGTTTCTAACAACATACCTACGGGAGTCGCTGCACGCACTCAGCGTAGCCTATTTGTAGCCGTTGGCAGTACCGCTTTGGATTCTTTGCCGTGCCTCTTTTTGGCGTGTGTCGTCTTTCCCCAGGTTTGACGGCACATTGCACGCTTGGGCTCGCACCGGCAGATCGCATACTTAGACCAACACCAGCGCAATCCGGCCAGTCACGGTGATGTTTGAACGAGATGCTGTAGCGCACTTTCCTGATGTACTTACGAAACGCAGAAAATAAACTACCGACGTTTAAAGACTTCCCGTTCCTTTTGTGTCGCACGCTACGTCTGGGTAGCTTTTCGGCCTCTTTCTTGGACCTCTTGGCAGCTTTTCTACGAACTGGAAGAGCGCGCCCATGACGCATAAAATAAATCTCTTATTGTTCTGGGCGAGTTTCGACTCTGCATCGTAGATAAATTTCGATCGTGGCTGCAGAACCATCGAGAACAATCGTGCCGTTTTTGCTATGTGTAAGAAGTGTAGGGGAAACGGGCTTCTGTTTGGGAACTCTCTCCCAATATCGTGCCTGTAAACTCGTCATGCTCGTCTGAACTAAGTCGGTGAAATGGTTATATGAGTTCGGCGAACTTAACTTGTAAATGGAGAAGAAATAACAGGCAAGCAAAATATTTTTTGAATCCAAAACGTTACTTTATTGTACTGTTTTTGAGGGAGCACGTTTGTATTCAATAGAATTTTACGAAATGATTACACAAAGCTCCGGGTCTTAGCCTCCTGTGGCCTAGTGCCACTGCAGATAACCAAAGTTCAGATTCTTTATCTTCCCTGACAATCTGAAGGACCAGTAGTCTTGCGTAATCTGTTAAAGATCTGCGCAGTGTCTAGCGTTACGTGGGATGGACGGAACCAGAAATGAAAATTAAAGTTACATCCCACGTAACTTTACCCCAAGGTTTCGAGTTACGTCCGAAGTAACCCAATATTAAAATTAAAGTTAGGTCCGATGGACCTCGAAATAAAAATTAAAGTTACGTCCGACCAAACTCGAAATAAAGAGTAAAGTAACGTCTGACGGAACCCGAAATAAAGTTTAAAGTTACGTCCCGCGTAACCTACGCGTATGTTTTGATTTTAGGCTGATACATGACGTAAATACAAAAATATTGTGAATTACTACTGCGTTGTGTCCGATGCAGCATTCGTGAATCGGTTAAAATCTCAACTCTATCCATACCTTCAGCTTTGTTAAGAGGGCTGGAGTGTGTTCCTCGCACATCGAGACTGGTTAAGCTGGGTGGGTTCGATGCCCGTCACGTACACTTCTTTCCTTCATTTCTTTGCTTCCTTTGAGACAATTTATTGAATTTTTTTTTCGATATGAAAACACTTCTTGCTTTTCTTGTAGCGTTTGTTACATTTGCTTGTAGCCCTTGATATGGCTAAAGGCCGAGGGTCTATTGTCATTCTCACACCCGAGCAACCCCCTCGAAACAGCTTTTTTTTTTTTAAGACACCCCGAAAGAAAACATTGCAAAAGCTAGTGCGTGTGGCGACTTGAGTGGTACGTGAAGATTGTGCCAGTTTTAAATAAGTCTACCGGAAACCCTGCTGCTGTAAACAGCACATTCGTATCAGATTAGCATTTTATTTCTTAATAATTGCTTCAAACGTCCGCAATTCTCAGAAAGCGTCGCAAAACATTTTCTTAAAGGCGAAAAAGAAAATTATCTTAAAGAAAGGGAAAATACGAGAAAAAAATTATGTGATGAGCATCTGTACTGAGAGGTACAGATGGAGTTGCGATTTTAACCAATTAACGAATGCTGCATCGGACGTAACGTAGTAATAATTCCCGATATGTTTGTGTTGACATTATGTATTGGCCGTAAAAAGTAACATTCCATAAGGTTGCGTAGCTTACACAGGACGTAACTTCAACTTTTATTTCCGTTGGACGTAAGTTTCATTTTCATTTCGAGTTCCGTCGGACGTAACTCGAAGCCTTAGGGTAAAGTTACGTGGGACTTGACTCTGATTTTTATTCTGGGTTCTTTTGGACGTAACGCTAGGCACTGCAAAAAATCTATTGCTATACCCATAGTAGTGTTATAGCAACCACTTATGAGTAGCCAAGAGACCGAAGAAAAAAAAAAGTGTTTAGTAAGGCGAATTCGTGCCCATAAAAAATAACCGTACGAACAGCCGGTGGAAGTGATGCAATGTGATCTGCCTGCCTTGCTCAGTTCACTGTGGCTTTTTGCAGCTGCCTGACAGTGGTTTGGTTTCCAAACTCAGAGCATTGCCACTCTTTCGCAATGAGTGCAGAATGTTCTAGAATCATACCCTTATGTGCGTCCAGACTCAATTCCATACACATACACAGGGAGCGTAAAGGCTGCCATGCTGCCAACTGGACTACACAAACTTTGTGAAGTGTGGCACAGCTGCTGTTCTCGTGCTCTCTTCAAATAGTGCCTTCTGGAGGAAACAAATCTTATTTTATAGAAGCATGGTTGCTGGAATATGTTTGTTTCCAGTCACCATTTGAGCCTTTTTAGCAGTAAAAAATAACAATGTATTTTTTTTTTCTTATTCCTCCCATGCAACTGTTTTGCTTTGGATTGTTTATTAAATGTGTAATCTCTGGTAGCCCAACCCTTGTGCACATCCCCATTTATGTGCTAGCACCATTGATATGAAATTCAAGAGACCCCTGATTTTCAATGTGGGTGTTGTGGAACATACCATATTGTGCATGTACGACTAGTACAAGCTGAGCGGACAAAAAAAAATAATTTACGCCATCTCAAAAAGAACATCCCAGCTGTGCCTTTTATGTCCAATCAATAGATCAAATTTTAGTGTCTGTCCCCCTTTCAGTTGCATGGTAGGTTGCAATACCTCCTCTAAATTTTAGCTCTAGACCTGCTGACCAGAGTCCAGCCGCAGTTTGCCTCAAGGCTTTGGTGCAACGGTCAGCATTAATGTGCCTGCAGGAAGGAGCATGAAACGTACCCACAGCGAAGGGTGTGGTGGTGGCAGCAGTGGGGCTGCCAGCCCGTCTCTGGGCTCCTCCTGCGCGGCCAGTGGACCCCCCATGATGATGTACGCCTGGGGACACGGACCCAACGGGGAGCTGGGATTGGCCGCCAGCAAGGGTAGGTCACGGTATTCCTCGGTTTCCTCCGCCTATTCTCCCTCTCATTGTATTTGCGAGCGAAACCGAAGCTTCGATTAAGAGATTGTGTATGAGAGAACAGCTCCAAAATGAACCCAAGGATGAAGATAGACCGAAACAGGCGCCTTGTCCCGTTTCCGTCTGTCTTCGTTTCCGTGTTCATTCCGGTGCTGTTTTATTTTACGAGCACAAACATGTTGCTTTGAGTGATGCTTGAACTGTACGAACATGCATGCTCGGCGGGGACACTGAAAGCGCGGAGGTCGCTCTTGTAGCTTCTGCTCTGCTCACACTTGACGGGAACCAGAGTTTTAGCAATAGGAACTGGCAAAGGAAAGGTGATGCAAATTCTGTTGCAGGTCAGTCGATATTTGTGTCTAAAACTTTATTAGCAGTCAATATTTTTGTGGCTCACACCTTCCTTTTTCGGCAGTGTGTGGCAGCGTAACCGACGGGCATCGCTGTAAAAGATAAGGGTCAAATTGTGTTGCCAGTACCTTTATAGTGGTGAAAGCTTCACCTAGAATGTCTGAACGGCAAATGCCGTTTTTGTTGAGGTTTGTAAAGATCCGAGCTCGTCATTATTTGTCTTGCAGAGGACCAGAGACCTTTCCAGTCTCAAGTTATTTTCGCAGGATGAAGGGTCACTCACTTCCATAACATTTTCCTTCTCACTTGCCCATCAAATTTGGCTATGCTCTATTTCACCTTATGATGTACCGCAGAAAAGTCTACAAGTGCGATGAGGGAGCTCGTACTTGTAGCCTTTGAGGGCACATCTCGGTGGCAGAAGCCCCTGTGCATTAAGGGCAGCTGCCAACGCTATGAGCTCGCGCTTCTAGCTTTTGCTGCAGTACAACATAAGGTGGAACGGAATTAAGGTGGCGATGCGGGCTAGTTGGTGCATATCTTCAAAAATTGTAACACAGAGTGCAAAAGATGAAGACACAGAGTAAATAGAAGAACACAGGACGAGCGCTGACTCAGTCGGTGCTCATCCTGTGTTCTTCTACTTACTCTGCGTCCTCGTCTTTTGCATGCTCTGTTACAATATTTGAAGGTGAAACGGAGTATAGTGCATGAATCACCTACAACCCAAGCACCACTTGCAGACGATGCCGAGGCGGCAGTGCTGAGGCCCCAGCGGGTCCGTCGTTTCGGCACACGGGTGGTGCGAGACGTGGTGTGTGGGCGGCACCACACCCTCGTACTGCTGGCCAATGGGTGCGTCTACAGTTGCGGATCCAACGACTTCGGGCAGCTGGGGCAGGACAAATCTATGCGCAAGCTGGGTGAGTCCTTACATTGCAGGCTCTGTCGGCAAACCGTCTCGGGAGGTACAAACTTTATCTATCTGTTCCAACATTAAGAAAAAACAACCTTACTAACGAGGGACAATGTCAAAGCAGTTGTTCTAATCCTACCTAAGTGCACGGTCCAACGTTCATTGTCATTCTTAACCAAACTGTACACGCCGATGCCCCGTGGTCTGTCGGAAAGCTCCGTCATAGCTTCGACTTACTGCAAAACGTCAGGCAAGCACCCGCCCAAAGTTAGGGGATAATCTTGAATAATTGGAAGATGGATGCTCGTCGTGTCTGGGAGCAAACATCACGCAAGCTCTATCTTTCTGACAATGACCAGAAAGCGCGAAATGTATACCGCACTAACCAGCTAGCAGAAACTACAGAGTCCGTATGTGGTTTGGGCTAAATTTTTCGTCGCGCACCGCAGGTGCTAGTCAGAGCGAGACCGAGTGGACAAGCGTGCCACATGGGCACTACCTTATATGGCTCTCGTGCAACACATGACGTCAGTTGGGCGAGTGGCCACGTGGTACAGCATCACACCGCTCTTGTTGGCACGTTTTGCCGGGAGAGCAATGGCTCCGGAGTAGCTGCACCACGCAGCTTTGTGGCTATAGCATCCGACTGCCACTGCACCGACCCAAGTTCGAGCCCCGCTGGAGGCTCCTTAACTTTATAATCTTACCATCGTGTCATGCTCCCAGCCTCCACGACTCTTGTCCATGTCGATCGTTCATGACGCCCGTTTGTGACAATTTTCTTGCAGCAAGCGACCCCTAAAACACATTCTGCGTTAAAATGCAGAAGGTGCACCGATAAGGTGGGCTTCACCACTTTGCACAGGGGTATTTGGGGAAGCGGCTGGCAAGGAGAAGAACCTAGATGAGCTAGGTGGGCTCGGACGTCCGAAATGGGCGCTTGATGCGTCCTTTGCTTGGGTAGTGTTCGAATGTGACGAAAGTCACTGGCGGGCACTTGTTGTGGCTCAGGCACATGCTCAGTGTTTTACAGAAGACTCACTTTTATTGTTGCTTCTTGGGGCTGGTTCACACATTCACATTTGAGTGTGATCTGCATTGCCACTAGGGATGCCGCGAACCGCCCCAGGTTCGATTTCGAAAGGTTTCGATATTTGCGAAGCGAACTGAAGTTCGATTTCGAAAAATTTCGATATTTTCGTATTGACCGAGGTTCGAAATCGAAAAATTCGCAACTTTCGATCACAGTGAAGTTTCGAATTCGAAAAGTTCGAAACTTTCACGGTTTCTAAAATTTCGGATTCGAATATTTCGCATATTTTTTTAATTCAGGTTCGATAAATTCGAAGATTTCGAAATTCTTTGGAAATAAAATTCGAAAACTTCGAACGCTTCGAATTTTTATAGACATGAAGTTCGAATAATTCGAAGATTTCGAATTTCTTTCTGCATAAAGTTCGAAGGTTTCGATTTTCTTTTAACGCTAAATTCGAAAAAAAAAAAACTTCGAAGATTTTGCATTCCTTTCTAGTCCAAGTTTTCAAAGTTCGAAGTCCGGTTTTCAAATTCCTCCACAGTTTGTTTCAAATAACGTTTTCACGACTCACTGGTTTCCAAAAAATCAAGTTTAGAAAAGTTAGGGTGTGATATCTAGATTCTGCGAAGTTGGTCAGGCAATTAAATGAGGCGACGAGTGTCCCGGATGTGCTGGAATATTTGCCAGTGCAGAGTGACGTGTGACCATAGATCAGTAATTGGGACCGCCAGCCCGGGGGGGGGGGGGGGGGGGGTCTTTAACCTGCATCACGCAGTAGTGATCACACGAACACACTGTTTTACGAGACTCATCCAGTTCGAAACGGCCAGGGGCGAGCAGGAGGTTGAGGCTCAGAAAAACCTTGAAGCGACCTGGCAAACCACCTCGCCACCCACTGCACGCTGCTAATAATCCGATCGAACGCCGCCCGAGTGACGCTGGCATATAGTAAGTTAAGTTTGTAATTGTCTTGGGGGTTTATTTTCTGGGACGGAGGAATCGCCTCGCAAAAGCCGACACAACTCGAGATTGAGGAGCGTTCTACCATACAAATGGCGCCGGAAGAGGAAAAACGGGGGGAAAGAGGGTAGCGGGGGGGGGGGGGGGGGGGGGTCTTCAGTTCCCTTCCCCCCCTTCCAAATATTTCGGACTGTTAAAGGAAACAATACGGGAAAGAGGGCGAGGTCGAGCTTATTTTAATCTGAAAGTATTTATGCATTTATATCGCTACTGTCGCTCTTCACTGCATAAAAGATTGCGTAGATGGTCATTGTTAGAAACTCGTTGTCAGAAGGTACTACTCGTCACATGCTTAGTGGTTCGGAAGTTCAAAGCTATGTCTTTTCGACCTAAATACTTGTGCCAATAGTAAAAAAAAAAAAAAATAAAAAAATAAATGCAAGGATAAAAATTTGGAAAAAAAAACTATCAAGAATTTGCCGGAAGTGTTGTATTCTTGCATATTCAGAGGTTCAGAACTTCGAAACAAGTTTCTTTTACCAAAATGTGTACAGGCTAAAAGAAACACGTCCCAGGAACGTGAAGCGAAAAAAAAAAGTTTTCTTTTAATGATGTGCTGAACTTGAACACTATTAGAAATCTTCTCAAATAAGTTAATCTATTCCTTAACGTGAAAAAACAATAAATACATTATTTTGTATTCTGCAGATGGCAATGATATGTACTGTATGTGGTGTTAACTTAAATGCGATACCTCAAACAACTTAGACAAAAATAGATATCAAGTTTAGGGCATAATTGCATGTACATACATGTTTGGACATTTCTTCGAAACTCACGTTGAATAACAATAATCACATCTTAAGAAGTCACTTACCTAGGCTATACATAGATCACTCTTAAAAAAGTATAACATATCTACCATAAATAGCTTCGGCTACAGCGCGCTTCAAATCTGGCACAAACGGTAATCGTCAAAAACCCGTCGTCCTTCCTCGCTTCTTTGGGAATTTATTTCTTTAAAACTAAGTATGCCAGAACATTGAAACAAACGGCATTGTCTTTCGTAAGGAACGCAGCACCGCGGGTAAAAGTTAGAGAAAAAAATATTGCGAATGTACCTCACTACTTGAATTCAAATGAAGCCGTCCGCCGGTCATTCGAAGTTCGACGAACGTCGAACTTTTACCCTAAAAGTTCGAAGGTCGTCGAACTTCCGACTTTTCAGGATTCGAAAGTTCGAAGCTTTTCGAATTCTCTTGATAAATAAGTTCGAAAGTTCGAAATTCATCGAATTTTTTGGTCAGTCAAGTTCGGAAGTTCGACAAGCATCGAACTTTGAGGCGCAATAAGTTCGAGAGTTCGTAAAAGATCGAATTTTTTAGCGTAATAAGTTCGACGGTTCGAAAAACGTCGAACTTCTTAGCTTAACAAGTTCGAAAATTCGACTTCTGTCGAATTTTACGATGTAAACAATTCGAAAAATCGATATCTTTCGAACCTTTCGAACCGCTTGAATCGATCATCGAAACTTCGATTCGAAAAAAGTTCGCGGCATCCCTAATTGCCACCGCTTATGACGAGAGAACAGGTTTGTGCCATCTGTTGGACAGCCCCGGAACGCTTTGCGTATGTTTTTAACTCATCATTCTTTTATCGTACGCTCGGAGTAATTCCGGCGACATTCTAAGTCGCCACTTCCCGTGGATGGGTAGCGCATAGATTTAATCTCGCAAATACCGCAAAATCTTCGGTCTAGTTACATGCACATCGGAAGGGTTTTCGTTGCACCACTTCGTGAGGTCCGGCCTGTAAGAAGCTGCCGTGCCGTCCGTGTGCAGAACAGGTGACGGCGCTGTCCGCCCACGAGATCCGAATGGTGGCCTGCGGCCACGACCACTCGCTGGCCCTGAGTGAGGCCGGCCAAGTCTTCTCGTGGGGCTCAAACCAGCATGGACAGCTCGGCACCGGCCCAGACGAGGAGAGCCGCCTGCGCCCCAGGTGGGGCTTTTCATTTGTTTCTTTGTTTACTTACTATACCCCCAGGGTCGTTAGACATTACGCGGGAGAGTGAATCTTGTAAGTTAAAGCGAGTGGATAGATGTATTATTAGGGTTCCTTTAAGGCTTTCCTTTGACCTACTGCCTACATGTACCATATTCAGAATGTATTTGCCTTATATATATAGAAATATGGGCAACGTGATGTCACTCTTGCTGTGGTGTAATGTCACATCACGTGACGTTGTGCACATGATGTGACGTCACAATTTGACATCTGAAGAAATCCGAGTGCATTTACGCTGTCGCATACCGTGTGTCACAGCGACAGCAGCTCGGCACTCCCATTATTTGCCATCAGCGTGGCGTCGTCGTCCTTTCTGCGCCTCTTCCCAAGCAGATTTGTAGGAATTTTCAAGCCATTTTCGCTTTTGATCTTGATTTTACGCCCATACCCGATTCATACTCCGCCTCTGACGAGCCTTTTCGGCGCGCCGTAACTGAAAATCGAGTTCTTCTGACCCATTACCAACTTTCGGAGGTCTAGCCATGCGGCGTGCAAGTTTGTCTGCTTGGATGGTCGTGTGCATGCGCCGTCACAACGGGGTGTCTGCTACAGCCGCTGTCAAAGTGAGAATGGCAGGGCACCTCTTTCGAATGCCTAGCCTCCAGTACACGCCCAATTTTTTTTTTTAAATGCTTTGTTTTTAGCATGCGTTTGTTGTTTTTTGACGCCTGCTTTAGCTGTATGTGCACGTTGAGGCTTCAGGAGTTTTCGCAAAAGACAACGCAATTTCCCGGAAAGGTTCTCACTTACAGCTATCGCTGTAATAACGTTCTTGACACCGTAATGTTATGTGACACCACGACAAGCTGCACATTATCGTAGGTTGTGATTAATTTCTTTTTTTTATTGTTAAATTCTAGGTATTTGCATATATTGAGAATATTTTAAAATCTCCTAGAAAGTAAATAGCTGGGCTGCAGTGTAGGTTTAATCCTTTATCTCAAATAATTTTTGCTTACCTCTTCACTGTAAGCATTCAATTATGCTAGATCAGTCACCAAATAAACGGTTCATTATAAATCATATTTATCAAAATAGAAACAAATGGAAACTTGGGAATAATAACCTTTACGAATTTGGCTAGATATTTCTTTAAGAAAGCATGTTTATATCTGGTATGCTAATTTTGCATTGTCTTAAAGCTATACCTCCATGCAAAATGTGCATAATCATATGACAAGTTTGAGGCATAGAGCTAGCATTCACGCATGCTCATGCTAGTAGAAAAGCAAAAAAAGGCATTCAGCTGGAAAGGCACTGGAGTAATTGAAAATAAGTAGAGTGTCTTCATGTGCACTTTGCTTAGGGTGATGACATCTGACTATTTTGTTCTTGATGCTTTTGTTTCTTTTCTGTTCCGGTGATCGAGAAAACGCGTCTCCCGGCACGAGATCTTGGCATTGACAGTGCAATGGTGGCATCTTGTTACCGGCTATTTTTTTGTATTTTTCTCAAGAGTGCTTGCTGTTGGAATTGGGTACTACAAAGACTGGCATCACCCTAAACAGAAGGACATTGAGGCACCCTAAGAATAAGTATATATGTTGGTGCTCCAAAAGATTTTCCTGCTGTTCCAAAAAGTGCTTCAATATTACTCAAATCATTCACACCACTGGAACTGTAGCAAAATAGTTAAAAAAATCTAGGTAAGGCTTGGGAAATATTCTCTAAGGGCAAACTTCGAAAGCTTCACGTAATATTGAACGTGCGAAAATAAAGTTTTTTTTTACAATAGTGACAAAAATGAAAGACATTTACAATTCCCTGTAATGCCGAATCAGAGCACAGCTCTTGAGGAGGGGAGGGTACAGAGAGGAGGGTATCCTCTTCACCTCCTTGCTCCTCCTCTTCCATCTCCTCCTCCCTTCCTCCTTCTCCTCCTTCCCTCCCTTGTGACGTCACACATGACATCACTCGTGATCCTAGTGACACTGGTGACCTTTGTCAAGGCCTTCACGAGTGACCTTTTGTGACGTCACAAGAATCCCTTATGAAGGTCACTGTGAAGGTCGTGACCTTCGTCGTGATTTCACTCGTGACCCTTGTGATGTCACGTGTGACTTCATTATGGGAAACGTCCCATAATGCAACATGCGGTTGCTCCAAAGGCGACGGCGACGCCGCTCAAGTTGGAAACGGGCGCCTATGAGCTGCGCTCTAAAATGGCTGCACCCATGAGGCGAGTTTCTCTGTCAGTTATAACTAGGGCTTCCATGTTTTCAGGTAAATCCGAAACATGCTCGCCAGTAAAAGTTCCATTAGCTTGGGTTTATTCGAAAAACTCAATATTCTTAAGGGGTGCGGAAACGAAATGACGTGGCCGCGAGTTCTCCATTTCTCTCTTCAAAATCGGCCAGCAAGAAGTGCAATGCGTATCGCACTGGTGTCAATGGCTCCTGCAAGGCCAAGGTTACTATATTGCGAGCGTTCCCGCTTGGTGACGTCAACGCGTGACAATCTCTGCTAGTGGTAATATCTGAGAACTGTGCGCCCTATGGCCTTATACATAGCTTGCCCGTAACGTCATTCGTTACAGTTGTAACAGGGCGCCCACCTATTGACATTCGAGTAAATACTGTGACAAAATTCTGGAGATTACGTGTGGGTATTGAAGCTTCCAGTTTCAAGTGCTATGTTGTTTTCTCCTTTACCAGGGTGATAAAGAAGCTGGCAACGATGCATGTGGTGCAGATAGCATCTGGAGCCAACCACTGCCTCGCCCTCGTTAACAGTGAGTGATTCGGAGGACATCTGTGTGGCGTAAAAACCTAACCCGATCAAATGTCAGACTTCTAGAGAGTTAGATACAAACTTTATAGTTGTAGCATAGTCAGTCTTTGAGCGGACTCTGAATTGATTTTCATGGCTTTTATGGTTATCTGTAGAATTAATTCTTGATATAGTTTTGATATGGAATTTACTCTAGTAATCAATGCACTAAGTATGAACAAGGCCTGTGTGTCTACTTTCCCACTTAGCACACATACATCTGATCATCATGGTTTGCATAAGAAACGAGAAGGAGACGATTCTGCGTGGATAGTATTTTTATGTGAGGATTTTATCCCCGTCCCATAAGCCACTGGGCTCCTTCTGTTTATCTCACTACACTACATTGCGGGAAAGTAGGAGTATAGGCTCTGATAGAAAAAACTGTGTCAATTACTCAAGTAGATACCGTATGTAGTGCATTAGTAGTACTTTTCTCCCCCACTAGCTATCCTGTAAAGTAATGCAAAAGCATTTCCTGTAAAGTAATGAAAAAGCGCTTCCTGAAGCCAGCTTCTATGTATTTCGAAGACCTTGCAAAATACAGGATAAGTGGCTGCCCTTTCTGAAACCACTATCCCCAGCCAAAATGTTCCTTCATTAACTCCAACAGATGTCTGCACACAAAAGCAAGCACTTGCTACCCCTCCCATTCCCGGGCTCATGACTTTGCTTCAGCCAGATTCATCCCTTTATTTCTTTACAATCTAAAAAAAACACTCCCTTTAAAAAATAAAAAAAACGGCCTTGTTGTGCATTGCGTTGCTACTACCGTAAAATCCTGAGAGATGCCCTACTTTCGAAAGGTAACCCACTCCTATTGTTGGCTTGATTTGCTATTTTCTTTAAAACACCGAAAGATAGCCCACTCCTAGTAATCGCAGTGTTAGGATCAGTGAGGACCTAGGTGTAAATTCATCTAGTTAGCCATGGCGGGATACAAGCGAACATTGCTGACTGGGAAGTACAGTCATCTTTGCTTTATTGCCCCACTGCGATAAGAAGTTTGGCAGGGACACATGATCTTAAAATAGCATTTTTTAAGACTTTTCTTGATTGCACTCCAAAAGTCCTTATTTTCACCCAATTTTCTCTCGATTTTAGGAGGGCTATCTCTAGATATTACGGTAGGCACGTTGTATATAACTAGGCAAAAGATGTTTGCTTATTTATTTTTGGGATTTGGTGCAGGTTCTTGTTTTTTTTTTGTTTTTTAATGTTTTCTGGTTTTGTGATAAATTATAAAGAAAACGGATGGCAGCTATGGAGATTCACTTTGTGGTTTGAAAACCGTTCAATGCAGTAGACTTAGAATTCACGGGGGATTTCTGCAAATACTCTATCTCACGTTTTTACCGCTGATTGTGACAAAAATATCTAAGAAACCTTTTCTTTCCCCAGTCTAGAAGTTTCTTATGTTAGCCTCCATCTTGCTTTTATTATTATTTTTTTTTTTTTCCCATTTAGGTTTTGCTTGTACTTTGCGAAAATTTAGGTAACCCTCCTTCAATATCTTTTTTTTTTTCTATAAAGCTACAGCCGACGCTATGCTGCATCGTTTACTGTCACGCGCTTCTTACACACGAAGGCACACGTCCGAGTCGCTTCCGCATTGCAGCGAAGCGATAGCTCCCGCTGTTCTGTTTCAGACGGAGAGCTGTACAGCTGGGGCGGCAACAGCCACGGGCAGCTGGGGATCGGCAGCACCGCGCAGGATGCCAACCAGCACACGCCCGTGCGAGTGGTGCACCTCGCCGGGGTGCCGTTGGCACAGGTGGCTTGCGGAGGCTCCCACAGCCTGGCGCTCACGCCTTCGGGAACTATCTTTGCCTGGGGACATAACTCGTGCGTGTCTCGCCCTCTCGCCCCTGTTGTTAAAGTAATAGCTTTATGTGGAACCCTCCACAGAGCTTTGTCCTCTAATGTTGGTGTTGGTTCATTGCATGACATCACAATGTCGGTCGAGGTCATGGTGTCACTTGATATCACAGTGTCGTGCGATGTCACTGTGTCACGTGACATTGTGCCACAGTATCACGTGATGTCAAGCTGTAGCATGATGCCACGGAGCCAAGTTGCGTGACCTCGCGATTTCCCCACCAAGTTTAGCGAGGAAGGTCTTTGCCAAATTTCAGTAAAAAGTGCAGCTCGTTGAAAACCTTGTCAAATGCTGTCATACCTTCATTGCATTTGACAAAATGTCTAAGCCAGAAAATAGTTTTTTTACAGCTCTGAAAAATTCTTTACTTTGTTTATCGGGTCAAGTAGTAGCTGTCTCTATATGTGCAAACACCTTGTTTAATGGGGTACTGTCAAGACCGTTTATAACGAAGTCGGTTATAACGAAATAGCGGCTACAGCGAAGCGATCACAATTTTCCATTCCCTTTTGCACTTTGTTAACCGAAGTCGGTTATAACGAGATAGTGGATATAGCGAAGTGATTTCCGATTCTCGTTGACTTGTTATAACCGGTCTTGACAGTATATGGAGTAGGTAATCTATTAAGGAAAAGCAGTATGAAGCATGCAGTGATGTGAACCATTGGCACATTAGGATGTTTTGTGTGGCACCTGTTTTGTGTGTTTCTGCCTGTAGCAACAATCCCATGTGTTACAGTGGCCCAAAGGGGGTTCACTGTTGAGGATTTTTGCCAGCCCGGTAAATTAAGAAAGTTGTCGAACAAAGAGCCATGAAAGGCAGTGATGTGATTGCTGCGCCAATTGCGCCAAACTGCGCCAAGGGGCTAACCCTGCTACATCCTGCTACATTTCGCCAAAATTTAGGTAATCTGCGCCAAGCCTGCGCCAAAAAATCAATTTCGGTCGCCTTTCAAAACCTAAACTGATCTGAGTACCAAAATTGAGAATGCGTGAGTTATGTGGCGCAAACGGCCACCCGACACAAAGTACCCTGCATCAATTGTCCATCCAGTCTTGCATGGTTTTCTTGCAGTCTCGCGTTTCGCGCTCTCGTCGTCTCGTGGCTCTCGTTTCGCATATTTAAAAAAATATATATTTTTTCAACGTCGGAGCGTCCGCAATATCTGCGGAAGCTCAGACGCCAGCGTGCCGGGTACCAGCCATGTCGTCATGCTGTGAAACGAAACAACATTTTTGCGATGCGGGAGTTACTTTGTGAGCTGAAGCACTCGCTCCTAAAGGCAACGGCCGTGGGAAAACTAGATTTGGTCCCTGCCTTTCAGTCACCGTGGTCGCGCGACGTGGGGTGTTGCCATCCCCACGGAGCTACAGATATGGCGCTTTCTAAAATTAAACCATGTATTGCCGCATGTTCATCGACATTCCTGGTCTTGTTTAAATCATACGTTACTACAGAAATCCATCTTTAACTTAAAGACTGCTGTGTCGAAGTATTGATTATCTGAATTTCTCTCAGTGGGTTTTCTTTCTAGGGACCCCGTTACGTGAAAAATCTGCCGCAGAAGAAAGTTGGTGAAGAGAAGTAAGCTAAAGCAAAGAGGGCAATGTCTGGACGCTGAACCCGCACAGCGCGCTTGTTTCTTTCAGCTTCAGCCGTTGCACAAAGTGCTCCAAGTACTTTTTGTCCCTGGCTCGCGATGTCTTGCATCGATGCGCTCAGGTTCTTTTTTGTGTGTGTTCAGCTTGTACCTTGTTTTCCGGCCCGGCATGCATGCGCCGCTAAACTTTATTTGTCGTATGCTCGACAATTACATTTTGCATACAGTTTTGGCAATCAGCTGGCAACAAGCGGAGTGGCATGGTTCAGGTTTCGCTCGAACAGCCGTTGTCTCAGCTTGCGCGTCGAAGCACGCGCAACTGCAAGCCTGCTAAAGTTGCCCTCACGTGCATGCGAACATGGTTTCACGAAAGAAACAACAGCCGGGACGCTTGCAAAAAGTCAAATTGGACGTTTGAGTGATTTATACAGCGTAAGGTTGGTCTGCCAGTAGGGGCGACACTGGTTTACACTGTAGATGAGCAATTTAACCAGTGCAGTACAACCGCTAGCCTGGGGTCTTTAACGTGCACCACGCAGTAGTGATACACGACCGCACGCCGGTACGATGCTCATCCAGATCGAAACGGGCAGGGGTGGGGCTCGAACCCAGAATCCCTGGGTTCTGCACCGCGAGCTTTCGCTCCACGCGCGTCGAGCTGGGTGTGCGCTTCAGCCCACTCGGCCACCACGCTTGCAATCTATTGTTTTATGTTTGCTTACTTTGACAAAAGTCTTGCACGTTGGGAACCAGTAAAACGGTGGCAAGCGGTTTTTCGGAATTGCTCGGCAATGCCTACAGCACTGTACACCTGTGAGATGCCTCAGCAGTAAAAACACAAACATGCGAGTTTCGTCACAACACGTCACATCTGAACACAACACAACACAACACAAAGGGTCCTTCGTTTTTACAGCAATTAAAACGAGTATTTTTATGTTTCTAAAAATATCTGCTCCAAAAGCCACTTTTGCTGCTCTGAAACACTGTCTTGCTGCTCCAAAAGCCACTTTTGCTGCTCCAAAACAGTGCTCCAAACGCCACATTTGCTGCTCCAAAACACTGTTTTGGCTGCTCCGAAAGGTGCTTCACAATGACTTTGGCCAATCACATCACTGGAAAGGAGATCAAGCGTATAATTTTCTTTCATAATCATGAGCTGACTCTGTAACTCGTCTTAATAATTTTATATTGACCTAAGAAAGGCACCGTATTAACATACAGTGTAGACCACGTATAACGTATGTCACAGGAGTCGCGAAAGTCCGCACTATAAGCAGGACCGCGCTATAACCAAAACATCAATTTTTCAGGCCAAAATACATGCCATGAGACAAGTTACCTTTGTAAAACAATTTATTTTATGTTAGATGAAAAATAAAGCTTAGTCTGAGGAAAATCCTTATTTCACCAGACTAGTACACTTCCCTCTCAAGTGTGTCACAAATTTTGAAAGAAATGAGTGACTTTTGCCTGGCTGCAAATTTGAGCACCTCATCACTGAAGGAGTTCTGCTCACAGTGAACCTTCAGTTTCTGTAAGAATTCTAGTGCATCTTTACTTAAAACTTTCGGCGTGCTCTCTTCGTCGTCGTCTGGCTCATCTTCGGGTGGACTCGCTTCCGAATTTCGCACCGCTGCAACAATAGCTTCATCGGTGGTTGCTTCCTCACGGATAACAGAGTCGTCGTCATCCTCATCTACATAGTTTTGAAACGTGTCGCTTGCAGGAACAAAGTGGTTTTCCACAAGGTCGGACCACACGTCGTTCGCTCCAATCGCATCACTGCGCAGATCAGCGTCCTCCGAATTCCCGGCATGGCGCACAAACCCTGCATTGTGGAAACACTCCTGGATGGTTGTGGCCTTTACTTGTCACCACGACGCGGTGATCATGTTGATGGCGTCCCTCAAGTCCACCTTAAGGGGTTCTTCTCGTTGCAATTTCAAGACGACTCTTTCGCAGGTGCCATTCTTGTAGAGCGCCTTGCCTTGACTGTAGCGACGACGCCCTGATCGAGAGGCTGGCTTTTAGCAGTGGTGTTTGCCGGCAGGAACTTCAAACTGACTGCGCTTTATTGTGGCTGCACATTGTGAGCGCTGCAGTTGTCCAGAATAAGGACGACGTGCCATTTTTCTGCGACCATGGCCTCATCGAAACTTTTCAGCCAACTAGCAGAGAACTCTTGGGTCATCCAGGCCTTTCCATTTGCTGTGTGCACCACGGGCAGACATTCTCGCTTCTTGAAGCAACGGGGTCATTTGTATTTCCCGATGACACAAGCGCCGCTCGTCGGAGCCGTCCATGTTTGCACAAAACAAAACCGTGACACGTTCCTTTGAGGCTTTGCGGCCAGAACAGGGTTCACCTCTCATCGCAAGAGTGCGATCGGGAAGCATGTTGTAGCACAGACCAGATTCATCGGCATTATAGATGTCTTTGTCCACGTACGCGAAAAGCATTGTCTCGAGATGAATGCGAAACCACGCCCAGATGCTGGCGTCGTCGACTTCCCCATTTTTGCCCGAGATAACTTTGCAGCTAATCTCGTGGCGATCTTTAAACGCTGGATCCATCCGTTGAGGGGGTTGGAGCCTTCGTGTTCGAACAAATGTCCAAAGGAATTAGCTTTCGCTTGTAGCACCGGGACACTCTTTGGGACGTTCTTGGCTCGCACTTCGCGAAACCACCTAAACAAGGCTTCGTCGACATCCTCATACTTTGACGTATGAATCCTCTTTCTTGAGAGCGACGCAGAATCTTGCTGTAGCTGCTTCCGTACCTGCTCCCGGTTCTTCCAGACAGCAAAAACAGTTGTGTCAGCAACGTAGTACTTGGCCGCGACGGAAGCTTTTTTTATGCCACTTTCGACATCTTTGACAATGCTTTGTTTAGTTTCAAGAGACAGGGCTTGTTGTTTCTTGGCCATCTTGGGCTTGGGAGACGGAGGGATCGGGAAGGACGGTCGATTTTCGCACGATATGCTTAACGCGATCCACACGCGGTCCAAACAGGCGACGTGGGGCAAGTTAGCAAACTGCAAGAAGCAAAACTAGAAACTATCTAGCCTTTGTTTTGCGCGCGCGCACGCGGTGTAAGAAAGGAGGTCGTTGTTGCATTACCTGATCGAGAGGGTGAATTCGAAAGGGTGAAAGGCTTGGGGGTGACTCGACGGGGCTTTTAAAGTTGAGCGTGCATGTGCGTGTGTCGGTCGCACCTCGCTACCTCACTGCGTTGTAACTCGCTGCATAGTCATTCGTCTTTGCCTCTCTCTTTGCTTCTCCTCGCTTTTTCGAGCAACCTCCTTGCCATCCTTGCTCCCGCGAGTGCTGCTTGCGGCTAGCGCCGTTATCTAATGTCGCACAGGGAAGCGTGCTCGCTGCGCCGGTCGGTCGGCAAGATCGGCGGGCTGTTCCAGAAATCGCACTCTAACCGTCATTTCCCTTCGCGTGCCTGCATTTTAAGCGGTATGTAATTACATGGAGTTGTATGGGAGGCGAACCGGTGGTTGAAAAAAGCCGTGTTATAGTCGATCCCTCACTATAAGTGGTTACGTTGTAAGTGGCCTATACTGTAATTCCAGGTGGAGCTTGGTTTATGAACAAACTCTGCTCACCTACTTTCCTCGAAAACACACTAAAAGCCGGTTATAACAATTCAAGTAAGGAGAGAAGCAAGTGACAAGACATCAATGCACAGAAAGGGGATACGCACGGTGATAATAAGCACGCAAATATTACTCTTTCTCATCCATGTGCAAGCCATTTCTTAGGTTCAAACGTTGGTGCCTCTTCATTTGTTAATAACAAGACTGACATATATTGAGTGTGAATACTACCACTTGTTCATTCCATCGTAGACTGGGGGGTCGTTTGTGGGGTGCTGAGAACGGATATTGAAACTGAAGAAAACACTGAGCATATTCACATTCTTTGTGCTGAGCTCTTAGGCTGTTCTCCTGTGCTTTTTCTGTGTGCAGCTTTGGACAGCTCGGTATGAATGACCAGAAGGACCGCTCCCACCCCATGGTACTCAAGGCTCTGCGTTCACAGCGGATCAAGTACATCTGCTGCGGAGAGAACCACACAGCCACTCTGACCACGGTCTGTTGGGTTCTAGACATTCCTAAGAGCCACATTTAACTTGCAGCTAAACAACAAAGAAACAAATATTGGCGTTGGTTACCCCAGCAGGCAAGAGAGTTATACTTGTAACACTACAGTGCGTATGGTTTACGCTATGTGGAGTCGCCGGAGGTCAATGAGAATTCCCCGCAGTACTGCATTCTATGGCATCCTTGTCAACTGTAGAATTGAGGATGTTGGCCATCTTGAAGCCAAGACAGTGTGTGGAACATTTACACAGAGGCTCTGAACAGCTGGGGTATTGTGGCCGGTCAGAATGTGAAAGGCACATTTATTTTTGCAAGGGCTTTTTATATCAAGTAGCCTGTTTTGTAGTTTGTGAAAAGAGGATGTTGGCCTCTGTCCACCCTGCCCAATTTGGCCAAAGCTTGAACAGGGCTGCCATTTTTAAACCATCGATAGCAGCACCGCAATGCCATTCAGAAATGAAGCATGGAGTTTTAGTGCACTGGAAACATTCAAGAGCTGTAACATATGCCCTGGCTCAAAGAGGTAGTCGCCAACCGATTTTTCGGACCGATAATTTGGACTTGTTTGATATTTCGGACCTAAAGGAGGAACCGTGACCTACCCGATAAAATTAGTTAATGTCCTTGACCAGTTTTCCAGACAGCTTGAAGTTTGAAAGTTTGATTTTTTGGACAAATATTCACTAGCGATCAACGAGAAACTCCACCGAGAAGCCGCCATTTTAGATTACGTTGGCTGCACATGGATTGGCTTAGTGTAACAGCGCTTTAGGAGTACTGCCAGGTCCTATTGTTAGGTGACGCTATGCTCAGCGTTTTTTTTTTCTCTAGCTGCACGTCATTATAATCATTACTGTTACCATTTTGCTTTGCTCATTCGCCATTCTGCAGCTGTGGACTTGCGCCTCTCATCTCGTTTAACTGAATCGTGTTTTCGGACTACGTCGGCTTGGACCCCATCTGTTCTTTTGCCGCCATGAATTGTCGCTAAGAAGCGCGGAAAGTACTCAACCATAACACTAAAAAAAAAGGCAGCAATTCTCAAGCTACTGTATTTATACGAATGGAGGTCGACCTATTTTTCAATTTATGAAAATCTGAAGTGGGGGGGGCCAGCTTATAATCGAACCTATGCATTTTGCCGCTGACAAAGATGAAACAATTGCGATATCAAGAACACCTCGGCTTGGTACAAGTTCAGCCAGTTGTACCTGTAGCATTGTGCCATTCTGTTAACTCATTTAAAAAACAATTTTTTTATCAGTGCAGGCAAGTAATATTGATAGCAATTTGCAAATTAGCCCAAATGTATGGCGGTGAATGGTGCAGGTCACGTCCGACTCTTGAGGGTGGCGGCACTTGCTGTAAGAGCCACTCCAAAACTGGCCCCTGGAACAGCCTCACCCTCTTTTGCTTTTTTTCGCACGATTCACGGTCGCACATTGTTTGACCAAGTGTTGAGATCATGCTTGAGTGCCAAGTACGTTTCTCTTTATTGACACGCTGATCAGGGCAGTTTTGGTTTTTGGTGCTCGTTTCGGCCATTCTTCATTCAAACGCAACCAAAAACTGCGCTGCTGGACGCAAGTTCGCCCTGTCGGTGCGGGTGGTGCTCCAGTGTCGTCTGCAACGGCGCAGGATCTTAACTGTGATAGTAAACTATAAAAGGCTTCCACGGGCCAAAGTCTGAATAGGTCTGGATGCCTTTTGAAGTTCGAGGTCAGGCGGTCAGGCTTGCAATTGTAGGAAATCGCGTGCCGCCGCCGATTCGCCATTTCCCACGTGGTCCGTCAACAACCCGAGTCCAGCCTGGTTCTTTCACGGGAGCGGGATTCCGCTCCTTGTTTGTTGGTACATAAAACACAACGCTCGAAACACTTAATCTAAACTTCAAATACGCGCGACATTACACAAATATTTACAAACGCACGTAAAGCCAAAGCTAAACACAAAGAGGGCCTCCAGGCCTCGTGTCCCGCGATTACCCTACATCCGGTCGCCACACACTTGCCTGGTCTCGGTAGCGTCCGGAGTCCTAAGAGGCTTTTGCCTACCGGTCCCCCCGCCTATATCGATCGATGGGCGAGGAGGTTTTTCCTCTCTCGCCCTGGGTGCCTGCAGCGCCATCCAGTGGCTAGGAGAGAAAGCGGTACGTCGGGAGCCAAGTTTGAGATCCCAATTGACCCTGCGGCGACACAACCATGTGATCGTGTCTAAGGCGAAGCAGCTGCATAGCCGTCTCGCGGCCACAATGCCAGAGTGGTTTGATGGGCGCCCTCGTGAATGCACGGTGCGCCAAACAATGTACGTCACAGAAACGCACGATCGGTCCCTGCTTGTGACGTGCTGCACGATCACCGAGCAAGTGCGTAAGGTGCGGTTCATGCGGTCACTTGCAAAGTGCCAGATTTCGTTGAACGACTCAGACGACGTGCTTTGAGAACGTAGCAGTGATGACGACGGGAACGACAGCATTAGTGCAAATGAATCATAGTTTCTAGTAACAGACAGAGTGAGAACGACAGGGAGCAGCTTCAGTTGTCCCGCCTCCAGTACAAGCTTCCTAACTTCGATAACAATTGAACATCCCATGTGCCTCGCACGTGCATGTGCAGTCAAAGCACGCCAGAAGGCATCGAGCACACGCTGGAGGCTGGGCTTTCGAAAGAGACACCCTGCCGCTCTCGTATGTTCGCCATAGAATGCACCCCTAAAGTATAATTTTTAAAATTTTGCTGGCATGCAATGTAGGGGTCGACTTATACAGTAAAACCCGTTTATAACGAACAGCAGGAAATGATACGATCAGTTCGATATAGCAAAAACATTTACAACAAACTTCCAAGATGAGTTCGTTCTAAGGCAAGAGCTTCTCTTTCTTTGTCATCTCTTCTTTTCCACCTTGTAACAACGCGCTAAGATTTTTTTTTTTTTTTTTTTTGCATGCGTGCAGAATTTTTTTTTTTAGCTTACCTCCACTTCTGAATTGCTTCTCTTCGTGGGCAAACGCTTTGGGATGAAAAGATTTTTTTTCTGTGCGTGCGTGGAGAGTTTATTTTTTAGCTTTCTCCCAATCTGAATCGCTTTTGTTCGCAACTTGAGCTTCTGGAACTTTTCTTTTTTTCCTACTTCTTTTTTGGGGGAAGGGACAGGCTAGAAGACGGTTGTTTGCACGTTTTTGGAAGTCTTTTTGAAAGGAACAAGTTTGATATTGCCAATATGTTGTTCGTTATAAAACATACTTTTTATGTGCATTTTCATTTAAATGTTCCATGAGATGATATCGACAATAATTTGCTGTACGTGGGTTCGTTCTAAACGGGTTTCACTGTAATAGAGTCAACTTACAATCGTATAAATACGGTAATAGAAAGTGACCAAACACAAGCGGAGGCGCAACCTGAAGCAAGGCACTACAGTGCAATCCACTTTAATTTATAATGAGAAAACCCAGAAATTCAATCGTTATAATTAATTATGGTTGCATCTGGGCTAAAAACTTATTGTTTCTAGTCTAGAAACTCTAAGAACTTATCGTTATAAGCGGGACATCGCCATATGTGGTATCGATATAAGTGGATTGCACTGAATTGATGGCTTTTCTAAGCCCGCCTAGGCGTAAGGAAGGCAAGTTTTTCTAATATGCCTCGACTGCTCTTCCTTTTTTATTCGAACGTTTTTTCGGTCCCTACAAAGTCCCAAGAATCGGTCGGTGACTGTAGGTGTTACAGTCCTTGGAGATAAGGTGCTCATGAATGAAATGTGCCGTGGCCCACAATAGCAACGGGTACAAACATTGCGCCTCTGGCATGTCCCAGTAAGCATTTTACATGAAACCAGTGCTATCACACACTCTGTTGTGCTCTCTCTCGGTGGTTACCATTTCTTCGACTGAAGCGATGATACTTTGACAAGCGAAAAGTTTGCCCATTTCTTGTTTGAACCTTGAAATTTGCCCGTGTCTCATAGGATGGAGGTGTGTTCACCTTTGGCAACGGCACGTACGGCCAGCTGGGTCATGGGGTCAAGTCCAACGAAATCTTGCCCCGGCGGGTCTCGGAACTCATGGGCACCGTCATCACCCAACTGGCTTGTGGGCGGTAGGTCTCTTTGCGCTATGCGCTGGCCTAGCTTATGGGGCTACGGGATCATGCACCAAGAATCTTTTGTCCTTTTGTGTTTGTCTTTCATTCATCTGTAATAATTTCGTTAACATGTGCAACATTCCACGCAAGAATTTGGGGAGACCCATAAATGGGATTGACCCGTGGCAAGTCATTCTTCGTGAGTTTTGCAGAACTGGCGGCTAAATATTGGTCCTGCAGATTATTGCAATTTGGTGGTTGTGCCACTAGTGCCTGCATTCCGTTTGGTTAAAGTAATGTTCTTTATGCAGTCGAGCCCAGTTATATCACACTCGGGTATTTCGAATTATTTATATCAAACAGCCCAAACATCCCCTTGAAAATTTCATGTAATTATATAGGAGCCTTGCCTTTTGTATCGAACTTCCATGGCGGGGACACTCGATGTAGCGAATGAAGCACGGCCGCCTGCCCATTGCTTTTCCCGTGATCCTATTGCGCCGATGGCGAGCACATCTCTTGCGTGGTTGGCAGACCGCCAAGCCAGCATACATGTAGCAAGATACTCGGGGAGAGGGCAGTTGTGGGAAAGGAGATATAATGAACCATAAAACAAAAAGTGGTGGATAGCAAAAGCAAGGGGAAGGGCACGCGTGCGCATAGGGAGTGCTGGGTGTTGGAACGGTAGCCTTTCTCCAAACACTGCTGATGCTGCACGACTCCCTAGCCCCAGAATAAAATAAGCAAAAAAAAAACGTCTTCCAGCAAGTTGAGTGTGTCGATAACAATGTGTCGACAACAACGATTGTGCGACGAATCACACTTTGAATGCCTTATCTTTGTTTACTATTTTCTTTTGCCGTTATTGTTCTGCCCGTTTTTTTTTTTTCATTCCTTTTTTTTGCTGCTTGAATTTAGTAAGCTTTCTTTTTTATATGCATCTCGCTTTTCTATTGTTTTTTTTTTTTAGAGTGCAGCTTTTAGGCGCCCGTTTCCGGCATGAGCGGCGTCGCCGTCGCCGTCGGCATAACTGCGCGGTGCATTATGGCTAAATTTCTCCGCTAAATCTAGTGGAAAATTTTCCCCGCTAAAGCTAGCGAAAAAACTTCCCCGGGAAATCTAGCGGAAAAATTTTTCTGGCGGGTCGCGTGACACCCCCCCCCCCCCCCCCCCCCCCCCCCTCCCCCCCCGAGAACAGGTGACCCTCAGTACCCTTCCCCCCCTCCTCCTCAAGGGCTGCGCTCTAATTTGGCGCTACAGGGAGTCGTAAACGGCTTTCATTATTTTAGTGTTTCGTCGCTTATGCTGTGTGAAGGTCTTGGCCAGGTGCGCGTGTAAGTGCGGCGGTGTTAGCGGTCTCCGCCAACTGGGCTCTACTGTATTTAACGGCTCTTGGATGCTCTATTTGGTGAACTCCCATTTGTTGCGACGTTCGGTATTAGCAGATACGCCAGGAAATTTCAACTCGAGCATAATTTAACACATTTTTGTATGTGAAATTATTGATATATCAAATTATTTTATGATCCGCTTTGAACTCAATATATCCGGGATCGACTGTAGTACATTCCCAAACTCCACCTTTGATCAGATTCACAAAAATCGTTAGGTGCATCCACCTTACATATTTTGCCTGGAAAATGCACCAAAAGCAACTAAACTGGCTTGCTTCACACGCTAGAATGAGCTTTTTTATTGTCGTGTTGCTCCTCTGCTATTACAGTGGAATCTCGTTAATTTGAACCTGAGGAGGACCAAAACTTTGTTCGAATGATGCAAAGTTTGAATTACCGGGAGTTTCCTTCCTAGAAACACATAGCACAGGACTTGCATGTTAGTTTGAATTATCCGCGAGTTTGAATTAAGAGAGTTTGAATTAGCGAGATTCCACAGTAGAAACATTGCATAGTTACGAGAGGCTTGACTTTCTCAACCTTGTATCGAGTGTAGTGAAATTAAAACCCACAAAAGGATAGAAACAGCGCATAGTTGAGAGTGTTGTCTTTGGATCCTGGCTTGCTTACAATATAAGCTGATAGCTGCCAGAAAGTCGTTAGCAAACGAGGGATTCGTGGGCTGTTTCTGATAGCTGTCGTAGCCAGGGGTCTAAAGCAGGTACTATGCTTGCAGGTGCCACACGCTCGTGTACGGGCCCCGGGTAGGCCGGGTGTACGCCTTTGGTCTGGGAGGAGCGGGTCAGCTGGGCCAGGGTAGCCTGACCTCCACTACCCTCCCCTGCCCTGTTCCGGGGCCCTGGAACGACATGGTTCACCCCGCAGAGAGTGAGAGGTCACCCAGCCCCCAGCCCCCGCAAAGCCCTCCCGGTGAGGCCCAGCCCCATGCAGTTGACCTTGTTGTGGCATGTCCTAGGCCGGTAAAACCTGTATTGTAGCGTGTCGTTTTTCTGCGAATAAGATTTTGTTGTGGGGGACTCGACATTGCTTTCTGCAACAGTGGTCAAGGCATTGTGGCCAGGATTTATTTTTGGGGAATAGGGAGGCTAGGCTAAGGAGCCGAACATGAGGAATGGCATGGTACTAAGCATGTGCGAATAGCGGATTTTGAGTTTGAAGCGAATTCGAATCGAATAGTGGTTTTGGCTGAATCCTTTCTTATCGAACATTAAATAGTTTCTCCAAGCCTTCCATATTGTCTACCATGTTTGAACGAAAATTCTGCTAAACTCGGGAAGGTTGTTGCCAACCTTCCTTTTGTGTACTTCTGAGCTCAGTTAATTTTATTATAACTATATTTATAAACTGTGACATGTAAAGAACAAATTTGCTGTAGGTAGCCCAATCAAGAGGATTTTTAAATCTGCTTGTTATATTCAAATTTTATTTCCAAACTCAAACTTTAGGAACAAGAGAGAGCACGAATGATGATTGCGGGTTGTCAGGACATTGCTGCATAACGTATACCTTTGGATTGTTGCAGCAGGTTAGTCCCGTTGAATGCGCTTCTCACCGAGCACTGGTGCACTGCAGAGAAGCAATACCCACGAGCTCCGCGTATATTGCTTCCCCGCAGTACTTGGGTGTTGGATGAGAAACGTACTCTGCGGGGATCACCCGCCGCAATCAACACTTCGAAAGGTATGAATATTGCAGTTCATGTTAATACGAATATCAAATAGCATAATATTTTAAACTACTATTCGGATATTTGCACAACACTAGCATATGCGTACAGGGTTGGCTACATTTCTGGGGCAGGAGCCTGAAGCCATTTTTAATCCCCACCCTTGGCTATGCCCCTTATTTTCTTAACTCTTTCCTTCCCGTTAATTTTTGTCGAAGCTATTACTTCTGAAAGTTAGTGTACTCTAACTGACGTCTATTTTTGGTTTGTCAGAGAGTTAGCCTCCAGAACTAGTGTACTTTAAACGAAGGAATGCTTATATTGCTGAAACACAGATAGTGCACCTCAGATCCCCAGCAGAATGCTTTCTTTGTGTTCTTCCTCAGTTTTGTCATAGCCTTGATTGCAGAGAGCTTTGGAAATTATAGTGATGCTTATCAACAGCCATCTGCCAAGCAATGCCTATAACATATTTCAAAGGGTAGGAAAACGAAATTCCAGTGCTCATCTTCTAGGTTGAATGTGTTGCATGTAGCACCCTAACCTCAAAAACACCAGTCTTTTATTGAAAGGCACAAGAAAACTAATTTTAAAGCTATATAAACAATCTATCAATGTGCACCTGGTGGATGCATGCGGAGTCTATTTGGGAGGTAATCAAGCAACGTTGGGGAACTTGCTACGTAGTCGTGACGTAGCAGATTCCTTCGGAGCAGCGCCGCTCTTTGGAATTTCAACAGTTTCATTCTTAGCTTTCCTCCTCAATTCACAAATCGCGCATTGTACCAAACGGTCCAAGAAGACAGAAAGGAAACACTCCCCTCTTTCTCGGACCCTTGTTTGTGCATCCGGACACAGCCATTCTCCCCCTAGAAGATTAGCTCGTCACTCGAAGCTCAAACAAAAGTTGCTTTCCCCACCCCTTTCAGCCCTAAGCTGACAGTGTTGTGGAGGCTACGTGCTCCTTGGGCCAGTCACACTCTCGTCACCCCACGGGTACTTCAAACAGCTCGGTTGTAACGCGCTGACGCTATTGACACCACCACTATGCTGACAACGCCACCAAGGGCAAAGCTCATAACCACGCCAGCCTTGCTACGTGACGAATGCGGGGAATCTTTTCTTTCTGTCTTTGTTTGCGCTAGATATCCCATGATGCACCGCGCTCTCCGTTCGCTTCTCTTCGAGCGGTTACTCAAGTGCACCGTTTGGAACGAAAAATGTAGCCAGTCGTCCAAAATACGAACGTGCGATTGTCATTTTACGGTTATTATTCGTCCTGCTTAACTCATTTCCGAACGAAATTTGGATATTTCAATTTTGGTTTCCGTACCCCTTTACAGTGTCCCCAGAGCTCTAGAGGTCTAGAAAGTATCCCACAAAACAGCTGAATTATGTAAATAATGCCATCTTTGTTACGAAGACTGGTGCAAGCGGTTAGCCGTATAAGACAAGTGCCACCACCGTTCCAAGGACTATTTTTGAACAGCCCACCAGCTTGTAATAAAGCAGAAACCTAAGTTGAAACCAAAACTACAGTTCTTCGGCTATCCACGAGATTCTGGAACATATTAAAAAAAGTTGATTTTTTGAAGACCACTTTTTTGGATTCTATATTCCATAAACTATGTCCTCTGTAATTACCAACACCTAATTCACTAAAAAAATATGTAAAAAAAAAAAAAAATTAGCGATGACCTTGCGGCTTCTACATCGTGCTGAAGACAGAAAATCAAACCAAACTTTAAGGGATTCTCACTCTGTTTCAACATGGCAGATGGTCACAACTTGGCAGATGGCCACTTAAAGGGCAACTCCGCTCAATTCCGAAAAATTTAGGCTTACATGTAATTCCATTTCACAAAGCACTACGAAACAGCTCTACATCTTCGGATTCGCGAAATGTGGAATATTATTTGTGTAATCCTAATTTAAACATCAGCTGAAAGTGAAACCGAAACTTCGGTTGCTTCAGGCAACATTGGTTTCGTGCTGTCAGAGTCATGGCCAAGTCACGTCGAACACGTGGTCTTGTGACGTTCAGGGGAAGGGGGGGGGTGGGCACAGGACACGCGACGCGGGCAGGTCGCTTCGCATGGCGTGGACGGTGATGGCCCGGGGGAGGGGGGGAAGGGGAGAAGACGAAAGACGAGAGGGGGAGCGGCGAAACAGACCGATAAGCGCGCAGGGCAGCGCAAACTAGCGCATCCGCATTATGGTGATCACGTGGACGCCGTTCAGCCAACACCGGGAGGAGAAACTCATGACGTTATCGTTCAATTTCGCTCTGAGAAGTAAAAACAAACAAAATGTGAGAATGACGTAGTCACGCCTCTGATGTAGTGGCTCAACGTTGGCCGCTCCAACTCCGTCGCATTGACTGCGCTGACGATTGCGCCTCACGTCGCACGCTGGATTTGGCAGATTTCGGCGACTTGGCTCACTTGAAGGTTTGCTGGCCAGTTTATTAAATATATAGATGGAATTAGATCGTAATATTTGATATGGGGTCTTCCTATATGATACTGAAGAGGGCTACATAGTTTTCTAAATATCAAAAATGAAGTGGAGTTGTGCTTTAAAGCTAAGTTTTTTTTTTTCTTGTTTTTTTTTAAATTTTGTTGTTCTTTAAAGTAGTGTCCGCCACATAGTTTTGGCGTCATCAGCGTTTTCCTGCTTTGCGATTGTGAAGCAGTGATTGGCCAAAGTGCCCGCTTAGGGAGCACGCAACTACTATCGGCCGCAATGTTTGTTCTCCTTCCGTTGCCATGGGTACCACGTCGCCGGGGCGTGTCTCACCGCCTTGCTGGCCTCACGTCGTCTACTTGTTCCTGCGCTTTGTCAAGTCCACTCCACTTTGCTTTTCGCCATCTTTACGATCGTTTACAGCTTTTTGTTTTAGTAGTTTTGCATACTTTGCCCACGTGTTTCATGGCCTCAAGAGGTGCGGGGAATGAAGTAGGAGACTGTGCACACATGATCCATGGAAGCAGTCAGTGCAAGCTTCTATGCATGGCGACCATCGGAAGCAACATCGGTGGCTTGCCTTTTCACGGCAGGATACCGATGCTCACTGCGTCGCTACTTCGGATTGCGATTCCTCTATCTATGCCATCGGCCGTCGAAACTAAGTAAAGACAACAGTGGAACAAACAAACAGTACGTAAGAACACTTATCATAGCACACCCCTGCTTGCGATTTTTGTGATTTTCGGTTGCGACGTTGCTCGCTCGAAAAAGCAAATGAATAAAAGCCGTGGACGGTGACTTGTGGGCATGAGTACTGTTTCCACGAGCTCTTTGCCTCATGAGATTGAAAATGGCGAGCAGAATCGTGCCATGTGAAATGGGCTAAATGCTGAAAATGTGTCTGCAACTTTCCAACTACCATTTTCTCAAAATAGATTTTTCTGCTGGCTTTTGCGCTTACCCCAGCGATATCTTGGGAACTGTTTAATGAATTTGCATGCAGTTATTTTCATTATGTTTCTAAATAACTTTGCGAGAGTATGAGTATCGGCGGAGCGGGGCGGGGCAAGCATGAGCATGGCGTGAGCAAGCATTAAGCAGTGAAAGAAAAGTCTTTTCGGCTTTCTTCTCTCTGCTACTCACCACCTGCAGTGAGAACTGCTGTGTGGTGTGCGTTCCTCGCATCCATTTTTTTGTTTCTCTTCAGCCGAGCACCCCCCCCCCCCCCCCCCCCCCCCCCTACCGCCTGCGGCGCTCTACGGCTCCGCTTTTCTTGTTTGAGTGGCGGCGGTGGGCAGTGCAATAACACGCAATAAAGTTGCGGTGTTCAGGCCTGTTGAGTACGAAGGTCTGCAGCCATGCGCAGAGGCAAAATCGCGTCGTCATCCTGTGGCGTAATCGAGCTTTGGGCGGTCAATCGAAGCAATGGGCGGTCAGTCTGAGCGGTGGGTGACAAAGCCACTGCCGCCCACTGTGGGGAGAACCCTGCACAGTACATATATAGGTAGAACTGATGACCTAACAAGTGCCCATTCCCCAATTTTCGCGATTATCTTCATATTTTGACTGAGTGCTTGCTCCGTATTTTACGGTAATGGGGAGTTTATGTTGAATGTCTTGGAAGTCTAGGATCCTGACGTATGCTGGTGTATCTTCTCCACTTCATTAACCCCTTACCTACTAGTAACCAGTGTCATCACTTGCGCCACCCCTTGCAGAGCATAATGCCCGACCACGAGCGAGACTTGCGTTTCGGTTTCGGCGCTTGTTTAGAGCGCTCTCTGGCAGATGGCAAAACCACCCCTGGTGCTTCATTTAACTTGGGTAGTTTGCTCGTTTGTTTTGCTGTTTGACAGAGAGAGAACGCTCCATTTAGCCAAGAAAAAAATTAGCAGTCGCTTGCGAGTGTTTACACTAAAACAATGTGGCTTTGGCACGGAGCAGATACAAAACCTTCCTTGTGAAAGGGATTAATGCTTAGGCATATGTGACAATGATTTTTAGGAATCGGGCGATAGTTTGATGGACTGTGACAGGAGTGATGAAAATGAAGTGAATCCTGCAAGTATTCCATCAACTTCAGCATCTGCAGATCAGTGGGCTCAGACCAGAAGTCCTGATTTAGAGCAAGATGTGACATCTGGAAGTCGGGGAAATATTTTTGTCTTATTTTAGTGCAGATTGTCCGTTTAAAAGAAAACTTTGCTGTATACTCCTTGAAGAAAAAAATGAATAGGCAAGAGGTTAACGACGGACATTTTCTGTCGCATTAGAGCTACTTATGTTCTCTGAACTTAGTAGTAACCATGGCATTTTCTCTTCATGGCATATTTCTTCATGTGTTCCCACCGATGTTTTCAGTTCTCTTTTCTTTTCATTTTATTTGCTGTGTTTTTTGTGTGTGTTCTTTTCTTATACTAACTGTGTTTAGTTGATGTCCTGGCATACTACTAAGTAGGCCTGCTGGCTGGCCGTTGGCACTACCAGATTTCCAGATATATAACAACTTTACAACTAGGAGCAAAAGAAGCACAGCATAGGTAGCAGTGCTAAGTTTTAGGCATGTAACAATGAAATGACGCTAATGACAGGGCACACACCGGCTCACCGCATAATTGTTTTCTTCGATATCAGACAACAGGGATTCACAATGGAAAATCGGCAACCTTGTGTTGCCCCTTGGCAGCAGAACAGCCTTCTGTTGCTGTGTCGATAAAGACATCTTTTAGGATGGTTTCTTCCTAGCACGTTGAAGACTGGCTACATTTGTCACTAAGACCCCCAGACGGACACCGCAGCACTAAAGTTTGTCCGTTTTCAACACGAGCTCCCCCCCATGGTCCCGTCCCCAGAGGATTCGGAGATCTCCTGGTCGCAGTGTCTGTCCGACGACGCCTCCTGCCCCAGTGGAGAGGATACCCTTTCGGCCCCCTCGGCCCCCAGCCAGGGGAGGGCCACCCCTGACGAGGTCATTGAGGCCGACCTCGCGCACTCGGAGGTGGTCGACGCGGAGGACGTCCCGTCGGAGGACGCCCGTAAGGCCACTGCCGTTTTCCTTGGTCTTCCCCGCTGCCCCCTTTGACCCCTGCTCTAGTGCCAATTCTACGGCATTGCTTTCGCTCTGCTTGCCCAAAGGTGGCTGGTTCCTCTTTCTGCATAGCTGCCTCTTTGCTCCAGTGCTAGTCTTCCTTTGTGCAGTTGCATTCTAGCCAGCTCTAATACACTGGGAATCGTGGAGAAGGTTTTGGGTTTTCACCTATCAACAATCATTATAGTATTCGTTTGTCTGTCATCTGCCATGCCATGTCATGCCTGCTTGCACTGGATTTGCTTTATTCACTGAGACTCGTTGCGGTTGATTTATTGCTCTTAGTTTTGGTGCTTGCTGAGATTGGCTATGGTGGCTGGGCCTGTTATTTTTTATTGTAGCAGAAATTACTCTTACTCTACAGCGTCATGGAAATCAATGTCTCCTTGAACAATTTCCTGCAAATAGGAGACAAGTGTATGTAACCTATTAAGGTGAAATATTTATATGTCCCATTATGCATTGTGCCCGAAAGATGGTCATACAAAAGCTCTAGGTACACCTAAGCACTTCTTATGAGTTGTGAATGCGAATGCATGCAAGCCGCTCGTCCGCTCTCTTTGTCGTCGCCTGTCAGCGCGCGTCCTCCCCTGGGCACGCTGACCTTAGACGCTCTGTGTTAATGGCGCACTGCTGGACACGCAGTGCCATGGGGTGCGCCATTAACAATGAGAGCCTTGTCGACGCGCGCCCGCCATTGAAACCGAAACCGAAGGCGAAATCGCGGAAACTAGGTGTGGTTTCTGAGCTTCAAACTAATGACGTCAGCTCGCTCCACGGGACAGTTAATGCTTTCGCATTAAAATATGTCATCAAGCACGTGCCGCTCAAGTTTAAAGCGAACGTGCCTCAGGAATAAAACACAAAGAAAAGCACAGCAACGCAGAGGCTTCGTCACAAAAGCCGTGAAGCCCACAGGGGCACTGCGCCTGCGCAGTGGGGGAGCGTGATGTTACCGCTGGACCTGCGGGACTATAATGCTTTCGCATTCTTACATGTAAGCGCTCTTAAGTGTCTTTGGCATGTTTTTGTTTGTTATGTCCCTCTGCCTCTCGGTATAGTGCATCTGACCTCTCCCCTGGAGTGCTTAATGATGTTGAAGCTCCTGAAAATGAAAAGCTTTGCAGCAATGGTGTAAGCATATGGACAGAGGAAACAGTGTAGCTAGCCCTGTCTCCACAAAGTTGAGCCATCAGCTTTTGCTCATTAGAATGTCACAGAATCTTTTCTTCTTGACTGATCTTAATGAAGTGTAAAAAGTCTGAGAAAGTGCCTGTCATATGTAGTTCAGGCTTGAAAAGGGATCAACAAAAAGGTAGAATTGCCAAAAAGGGTCTGTACGTATAATTTGCGGAGGGGTGAGCTGCGGACCAAACACGGTTGTCGTTGCGACAATCATTTTGCCGATGTTCCGTCTCCTTTCACTCTGCTTTGGTTCGATCTAGCAGCTGATGTTGAATCCCTAAAGGAAGGAGACCAGCTGGTGGTACACAAAATTGTGAGCGGGGGAGATCGCTGCTTCCTTCTCTGCTACGAGAACAAGGTATGTCCACCCCTCTCCTTTGTCCTCAATAATTGTCGCTGTAATTCGAGAAAAAAAAAAAAGAAAAAAGTAATATTGTGAGTTGAGGGGCTTAAAATTCTTAGTCCACATCTCTTTAATATTAATGCACTAGTTAAAACAGGAGATATTGAACATGACCTAATCAGAGCCACAGGCGAATAGTATAGTGTGCCAACTTGCACGTAAGGCGTGACGTCTTGCAAGATGCTTTGATGACGGCAGTTGACCCCTGCATCGAACTTGGAGTAAAAGAGGTAGCTGCCAAGGCGTAGAGCGAGCATGTTCCCGGGAGTGCAACGCAACATTCTGGTGGCAGGTGGATGCTCCCCGTCCCCTGGACTTCCGGTTCCACAGCAAGGACAGCCAGGTGCTTCGACTGGACAACGATCTCCTGGAGCAGCTGCCCTTCTTCCCTGCCACTGAGCAGGTGCCGCAAGAGCTGCTCTCGTGAGAATCCGACTTGCCTAGCGCGCACTTGCACCCCTCGCGCTTTCGTCCACGCAACTCGGGACAGTTGGACACATTGCTGGACCGAGAAATCCCTCTTACTTTCTAGTCGGCGGGGTTTTTGCTTTCCCTGCAAACCCTAAAGGTCGAGCTAATGATGTATCATGCAGGTAAATCATATGGAATAACTCGTATATATGCTACATCTCACCAATGATGGGTAAAGTTTTTTGGAAGGCACGAGCATTAAGGAGGCTTCGACTCAAACCTGTATAGAGATAAACTTTCTCTTTTCTTCATTGGTGCCGCACCAATATTCTAAAAGAAAGTTGGGTGTGATCCTACAGATTACCAGAAACGATTAGGTGATGCTCAATATACTTAGACTAAGTTCATTGGGGTTAAGTAGGATTAAGGTAGATCATGTTCAGCTGGTTTCTCAAGGAAAACTGCCTGAAAAAACCTTGAAATGGTAGCTGACATTCCTAGCCTAGTGACGCCATCTTCCGGTTAATTACTGTTAGTTTTAGGGTAAGGGGAGGATAAATTATCGTGTGAAGCTTTAGTGATCCTCTTTAGTGAATATACATGCAACAAGTGTCTCCTCCTTTGCTTTTAGGTTGTTCATATCGAGCTCTGATAGAATGCACCTGATGCTGTGGTTTACTCAGGTACCTTGAGACCATCTTCGGCTCGTGTGCCTGCCTGAATGCCTCGTACCTCAAGGAGGATGGCAGCCACTTCAATTGCAGCGAGCTGAACCCCGGTGTAGACATGGAGGCAGCGCGCCATGGATTCCGATGCATCCAAGACGCTAAGCACTCTTCCATTGGTCAGGTGGTGCGTCACACTCTCAGATACTGCCTGTGGCTTATGCTCTAGTACTTGGCCACCTCGGTGGGTCCGAGGCAAAGTTTCGGCCTACAGATCACCAGGTGGCGGGTTCGAATCCTAGCTGATGTGCCTGCAGTCTGACAAAGGCTTAATGCAGAAAATGGTGCCATGTAACCGGGATTTCGGCTGTACATCGAAAGATCCCCAGGTGGTTGAAATTGATCCTCAGTCCTTCACTGGGGCATGCATGGTGCACTTTATCAGTTTGGCACACAAAACCCCCTACAAATTTGATGCTCTAGTACTTATTATGGAAAGTCTTTGCCAACCTCCTATGAGCCTTCGCATTAATAAATTAAATGGTGTGTATCGGTGAAATGTGCAGCATCGCATGCATGTGCGCTTGGTTTTATTTTACTTTTATGAGTTTGCATCAAACTGGAAACCTTACTGCTCAAGTTCATGCTGCACTTGCCCACATTCCTTCTTATCAATTGTTTTGGTGCTCACTTATGAACAGTGCAAAAAAAAGGTTTTAAAATATATTATTTCAATCCTTTCCACTGTAGCCTTTTGTAATTTGTAACATAAAATAAACATTGCAAGTGGGCTTTGCTCATCTGTCACACTATTCTGGAAGGTTGTCAACTGCTTCTTAAATGCCATTCACCTCTGTTCTTGCATGTGACCCGTGAATCGTCTCGTAGTCTCTGACGCCAGGAAGCCTCCATATTGCTGCACCAAGGCCGTCCCTCAAGGCTGACAATCTCTTTGCAGGTCAGCACATGCCTGGAAGAGCTGGTGAAAGGCCTTACCAACTCCCCTACTGACATTGAAGCCATGCGTGTGCTTCTGCTGCTGCCCCTGTGCCACCTGTTCCGAGATCCGGCCAATCATTTGGCCACGTTGGTGGGAAAGTACTGCCTGTGTGTGACACAGCTCAAGCCCCGACCAGCAGCCATCCTCGGTGAGCTGCGAGCACATGCTACCTAAGCAGTGTTTTTTTTGTGTGTGTTTTTTTGTTTTGTTTGGTGAGTGGATAAACATTTGCAGCTTTCTTTTGACATTTGCTTATTGGGCCACTCATATACTTTATTTTATTAGGTAGAAAACTAATTAAGAATGAATATTAATTTTTTTCTTTTACAGTGGGGCTGTTAAGGACTTGTTTTCCCAGTATCGTGTTTGTGGGCAAACAAATCTCGACACAAAACTCTGGACAGCTACCGCCATCTATTAGTGACTGTGGCAGCCAGACAACCGGCTTTACAGTTGTCTGGTTGCCACCGTCACTCATAGATGGCAGCAACCTTTCCAGCCTTTTTACTCTGGCTTGCCAACTTGCAGCCAGCCATTATTTTATTCTCACCATAGTACAGCTTCGCTGGTTTTCCTTCTTCATCAGAGTGGAAAAGCTGTAAGTTATTTTGGTAATAGCATTTAAAATACTATGCGGTTGCAGCTCATACAGCCACGAAGAAAAAGGGCCAAAATATAGTTTCATTCTTTCTTTTCAATAACAAACAAATTTTTTCGATTGTCTATCCTGACAAGGAACTTCTTGTCAGCCTTAAAGCTTGTTCACACATCTGCGTCGAGTGCAACCGCAACACCTTGCGGCAATAGTCCTTTTACGGATTGCTATGGCAACGGGGTTTTAAGCCGCTTGCATCCGCCATTGCTGCTGTGCATTCCAATCATAAGAGGCTTAAAAAACGGTTGCAGTCGCATTCGATCGGACTCAATGCAAGTGTGTGAATTGCCCTACACGTCTGTAGCTGCAATTTTACTTTAGGATCAAGTTATTGGGAATGCAAGGCTTTTCATATGAAGTCATGCATACATTAAACTCCAATCACTTACAGGAAAGTTCTAAAATGTAAATCTGGTATTGTGACTTGTCAAAAGAAGTACAGATATGGGATCTCAAATTCAAATCAGATTACTGTATGTATGTTTATTGTGCCATCCTAAAATGATTTAACCTCTTGTTATCATTGTTCATAGACATAGCAACCATTGATTTATTAGTGTGAAATTTTAATACATGTAGTTGCAAATAATTGCTGCCTGCCTGTGTTGTCCTGACTTCATTTCTAGAGGAGCATTCGTTCATCCTGGAAATGGTTTTCAATGGCTGGTGGTAGTTTAGATGTGACGCACTACTGACTGGATCTCTTGCTTGCAGAAAGGTGGTGGTCTTTGCTGGGTGAAGCACAATTTGAAGACCTTGTTGGGGTTGGTAATACTTCTAGTTTGCCATCTTCCTTTACATTGGGGGATAGAACCATGTCCAATACAATTAGAAGTGCATGCTGTTCAGGAAAAAGAAAAGCAGTGCTGTCCTTTGCTTGCTCCAGCCACTTGCGGATCTAACTTCGATCGAGCAGTGGCATGCATTTATTATGTGTAATGACTCGCGTTGAACCTGCTACAATATCTCAAATTTATGTTCCGCACTGGTGGATGTGCTTGAAAGAAGTTTAAAGGTTCTAAATCGAAGGTTATTTGAATTTTTGTATTCTTGCATCTGCAGAAGGTTGTTTGGTGACGGAATTGTTTTCTTCCCAGCAGGTTGATGATGCTTTCTATTGCATCAGCACACCCTATATGGAGCTCTTAGTTTGTAAATTTCTCATTACTGATCAGGCAATACATTTCTTCCAAACTATGGGCATTGTCTAAGGTTTCAGTGGACACCATTCCTCGTTCTAGAAAAAGCAACATAGCGGTGGCGGCAATTGACCCCTATGCCCTCGTCTGAGTAAAAGGTGTTTGTCGTTTGTCTTCTGTTCCAGATTTTTAAGGAATGCATTATCTACGTTCTTGGTCGAGAAACGCCGGTGAGTGTCGGCGCAAAAAAGTGCATACTTTTCGGGGGCTCAAAGTACTGGTAAATTTTATTGTATGTTCCTCCGCTAAATGTTTGCGTCTAATAAGTCTCAGTCAATCAGTTCTTCATCAAAATAGCTTTTAGCTTTTTTGTTCTCTTTCGGTTAGATCGACAATAAGCATCCTCCTCAGACCTTTCTTTCTTCACCCTCCTGCAGACGAAACAGAATCACGGACACTTGAAGCTGGCCCTGGACATCCTGTCAAGGTTGAACCACGTAAGGAAATGCTCTGCTTTGAAGACGAGAAGACTAGTAAATTGTCCCACAGAAGTGTGCTCCCGTGGAACACTGGGACAAGTGATCACACTCCCATGGGACACTGGGAAAATTGGGCATTCTCTCATGGGACACCGGGACAGTTGAGCTACTCCCGTGAGACACCGGGAAAGTCGGGCATACTCGTGTGGGACACCGATCGGGAGGCTGCCAGTGATGCCTTGGGGGTTGCCGGCATGCCCAGGTGAACCGCGACATTGGCAGCCTGGTCTCCTACGAGCACTTCTACATCCCTGCGGTCACGGAGAAGGTAGACGTGCAGCTGGACTACATCCAGTGGATCCAGACGAGCAGGGCGCAGAGGGTGAGCCACCCGTGCGAGGGGCGATGCTGTATGCACGGCACAGCTATGTGGCGCCTGGAATGCGTCTCCAACTCACGCGTTTACTGCATTTCCAAAAGGGGTCCTTCTGTTTCTGCCCAACGGCATCACAAATGTGTCGCGCTGTTGCCTGCTGCGATTGTAGCAGTGACACAGCAGCGGGGGTGAACATTGCAGACACCTGTCCTGCTGTAGGTCACTCACAGCCAAACAGTCGGCGGAAACCTTGGAATAGACTTGTAAGGCATGTGAGGTTTTGCAATTACAGGCAATCCTTCGTTATAACGAAGTCAACGGGATGGCAAAAAAATTTGATAAAAGCGGTAATTCTATGAAAACGTGACGGCCATAAAAAGAGTAACAGTAACCGTGAAAGTGCAGAGGAACAGTGTGAAAGGCTTATAACAAATATATATTCAATGAAACAAATTTTGCTAATGAGCTAGGCTTACTGAGACACGAAAAAAGACGGGAGATCAGTTTGCCGGGCGTTTTTGCCAGGCATTAAAAAAGCCGCCTCCAACTGCCTCAAGCACCGCACGAGGCTGTCATCCCTGCCGCCACACTCCACCTTGTTGCAAAGACGACGAGGCATGTTTCGCGTTTCTCCAGTTATGGGTACATCTCGGGGTTCCTCATTCGACGGCCCTTCGTCTTCACCCTGGCTACACACGAGATCCACGATCTCGGCGTCCGTGACAGGAGCTACAACTGATGTGTCCTCATCTACAAGCGCAAATGAGTCGAAGTCGGTTTCACCGTTGCACCGACGATCTTGTGCACGGTTTTGTAAAGGTCGTCGCAGATCTCGATGTCATCCGCTGGCACATCAAATATGCGTGCACAAGAAAAGCTGTCAACAGCGTCGATGCCGGAATGTTGAATTCTTTCGCAATTTCTAACTTCATTCGACCGCCTTTCTCCACTTCTCGGATCAGCTTGACTTTCTGTTCCAGGGTCAAACACTTCCGCACGGGCTTTGGCGGTGCCATCAGCAGTGAAGCAGGTTGCACGCAGCTACTGTACACGCGGCAGACGGGCTGTGCTGCCTTTGCAACGCAGAACACGATATGAAAGACGCTGCCTCGACGCGCATGCGATCCGTAAATGCAGTGTAGACTCAAGCTGGAAAACACGTGCATTGCGGGTGTTGCGACCAAGTCAACTAAGTCAACCACAGTACAGCGAAAGCTACGGAGGAGAGGGCGTATCCCGACCTGTTCAATAGGAAGGAAAGGAGGAACGGGAGAATCCAGCACGAAAATCCCAGCCCTTTTCGCTCGTTCCTCCTTTCTCTCCTCTTGAACAGGTTGGCATACACTCTCTCCTCTGTAGCTTTGGCTGTACTAAATGGTAAAACGGAGTTTTTCTTTCTTTTATTTTTATAGATAACTTGGGAGTTGGAACGGTGCTGACGGTGCTTCCAAAGGGGTGGGCGTTGGCAGGGGATGTGCTTCCCTGGCTTGATTCTGACGAGAACCGCGCCGCGGTCACCGTGGGCACCGTGTGAAGTGTCGGAATTGTCGCTCTGCACGCTGCCGCATTCCTCTGTGCGCACAGAGCTTCCGAATTGGCGATCTACCACCTTCTTTGCTCCCTTGACTCGACAAGTCGGAATCGAGGAGCAGGTGCGTCGCAGCTCCAAAGAGGTGGGCATGACAGACACTCCGCATGCGAGGCACGTGCTGCGCGCTCCTCGCGCATTTATAGTGATAGTAGCCAAAGACGATATGGCTTTCGCAGCTAATGGCTTTTTGCGCACATTTTGGAAAGGTTGCGCTGGCTTACATACTGTACTTTCGGCGGGTCGTCTTTCGTATCAAGCATGTCCGGCTGTCGATATGCTTCGAATAATCCGGTTCAAAATGCATGCGCCGTAATCGGGATCGCGTCCAACTTCGAAAAATGCGATGATTCATAAAAAGCGATTTCGTTATGACGAGGGATTGCTGTACTTGTTTTTTTATCTTGCCATCTTTTTCTCTGATGTGTGCAAGTCCTTCTGTTGCTCTCATTTTCTTGGTTCTGCTAGTTTCATTTCACGCGAAGTTAAGTTTGTAATTGTTCATGCTTGACTTTGGTCATCGTTTTCACACAGACAAACAAGGTGTACTTCTGCGACTATCCGTTTGTGTTCAACGCCCAAGCCAAGACTTTGATCCTGCAAACGGACTCGCACATCCAGATGCAGGTGAGGCCATGCGTCAGGACATCTCTTTGTGACTTACCTTTAATACCTGACCAGAGTAGATTTCAGCGCACTGCAAACATCTACAGTAGTGTTAAGCTGGGAAACATGCACCTTTTCAAGGAAAACGGTGGAGCCCGAGATAAGTGAGAGGGTTTTTCTTCATAATTTTTTTTCAAACCATAGTGACTTCATTAAGCCGTTTTTTTACAATCTGCTGAGCTTGACACAGCCTCTGAAATAGCGAAGCAACTGTGCGCCGCAGCTGTGTCTAAGCTTTTGTGGTGACGTCCTTCTTCGGTCTTCACCGAATGCTTACGTCAAACTATGGCAGACAGCAGAAAACTAATAATTTGGGTTGTGTGGATATTTATACAGCGCATAGTTGGTGAGCCATTTCAAAGTTGCGACGAGTCACTCGCTGTAGATGAGCAATTTAGCCAGTGCAGTTCAACCGTTAGCCTGGGGTTTTTAACACGCACCATGCAGTAGTGATACACGACCGCACGCTGGTACGATGCTCATCCAGATCGAAATGGGCAGGGATGGAGATTGAACACAAGATCCCTGGGTTCTACAGCACGAGCTTCGCTCCACGTGCTCCGAGCTGGTGTGTGCTTGCCCACTCGGCCACCGATCCCCCGGCAGGCAGCAGATAGGGACACAGGACATTCGACTTGGGCATCTATATTTATGTTTTTGCTTTGTACCCACTAAGTCTAAGCTCATTACAACAGACCTGGTTACAAAAGACATTTGGATACAACTAGAACTCCCTGTTTTCGGATAAATTCGAAAAACACCCGCCGGTAAAATTTTGGTCAATTCGGATTTATCCGATAAACTCCGAATGTTTATGTGCCAATGCTATCCCCTACCCCCCCCCCCCCTCTGCAAAAAAGTAAAAAAAACAAAGGTAAAAGACATTATTATTTTTATTTTTTTACAATTTGGTCAGCATGGAGTCAATGGTCCTGGAAAAATGGCACCATAATTATCTTTCAAATCTCAGACCGTTGTCAAAAGGGGTCTTGCTGCTTGTCCTGTCGAGGTTCATAATTGATTCAGGGCAGCAGGTCATAGTACATTCGGGTCACGACAAAAGCCACTCTTTTGGTTTCCAGTTGGAGCCATGCGATTTTCGATTTAGAGAAAGGAGAAGGTATGTTTTTTGTAACAGTGAAAGCTATGGACCATAGAGATTGTATTAAATAGAGAAAAGGGACAGTTGAAACTCTCTGTCACATCCTTAACCACTCCACCTCGCGCAGTCGCGGGCTAGATTGATGGAATAGGACGGGATGACTACAAGCTTCGTAGCTACTGCCCCCGGGAGTTTATTGATTTCAAGGTACGTTTATCGAAGCAGCGCTTGTGTGCGACTTTTGTCGTGGGACAAATTAATATTGCCAATGGCAATGGCACGAACGTCAAATTCAACTGAAGAAATTTTAATCGATACAAGGTGCGTTTTATTTTTTATCTGGCATACGTTTACATCCGGTTATTATTTACATATTTATTTTCAATAGGAAACACTGCGAAATTAAACTCCGAATTTCGGAGAATTGGAAATCAAACAAATATAAACTCCGATAAACACCCTCCGAATTTGACGAAAAATAAACTTCGAAAGCCTTAGATATAACATACCGATTTGTGAAGCTTTGGTTGGTTCTCCTCTACATACCATTGACTCAACTTCATATCTGCATACAACATGCTTCATTTATTATTTATTTATACTGTACCTACATCGCCCAGGGGGCATTACAGTAGGGGGGTTAAAATACATAAAAGATGGTTGCATCACACTTGTTAAACGCAAGTAAGACATAGTGCTTGAGAGTAATAACCTAAAAGAAAACACAATACAAGTATAACTAATAAAACACTAATACAACAGACCGGAATCTTGGTCAAAATCAAGCTTAGACTGTATATGGACTGTCTGTGGCAACTTACGAATGGTTTCGAGTTCTACAGCAAAGCTGTTTATGGCTAGGGTTCCGTGGATTTCTTGTGTGCAGTGAACTAAAACATTCTACGCTCACACCACCGCATGCATACGCCTTCCCCATATAAAAGGTTTGAGGTAAATAATTAAAATAAAGCGTTGATGACCGCACGTGCAAGATGCCATTTGTTTTGGGCTTTTGCTTTAGAACAGTCACTGCTGCAGACGCTGGCACGTGCGGCGCGTGGAACACCATTCCTTGCATTCTCCTTGATGCTTGGGTAATTTAGCAACAGGTCTATTTTCAAGGTCAGTAGACTCTCAGGTAGATAATATAGGTTTCTCAAAGATTGGCCGTTGTGCGACCCGCGTAGGCCATGTCTTTGCTCGCACGCCCTCTCTTTGTCAGCGTTCCAAGTGCTTGCGTGCCTAGTTTCCTTTCCTTCCGCTCTCCTGGGGTGGCAGTCCCGTCGCGCATGTCTACTTTCCGCCGCGTGACGGTCCCGTTGCGCGTCTAGTTTTCTCCGGCTCCTCGGGAAGGGGGGGGGGGGGTCTGTGTCATGTGCTAAACGGCTTCGCTGGTCATCCACCTTCAGTGTGGAATGGTTCATGATTTTGCCCTCCTCCAAGCAAATTTACAAACTGGCAGGTTGCTCCCCATACAGTCAAACCCGTTTATGACGAACAGCAGAAAACGCTACAGTCAGTTCGATATAGCAAGTAATTCGATACAGTCGAACCCCGCAATAACGAAACCGTCGGGGAAGGCAATTTTTTTTGTTCTCACGAGAATTTCGCTGTTGTGAAAATGGACGAATAAGCATGCCTATTACGTTCCAGAACCAAAATTGATGCTGTCCTTGGATTTCAGAATCGTAGAAAGTGAGCTGCACGGGATACTGAACTCCTCCGCGATATTCGACTTCTTTCTGCCTTTCACAGCATCGGCGACGATTGCAGACTTCTCCTGAAGCGTCGCAAACTTAAGCTTTTTAATGGCAGGCGGCATTTTTCCGGCAGGCCAAACAAAAGGAAGTAAACAAGGCGCGAGCGATCTCGGCGTGCACGCAGCAGAGGGCAAAATGGCAGCGGGCAGCCATTTTGCAGTTGCTAACAGATGGGCTAGCAAAATGCTGTTTTCAGCTACCAAAAAAGAAAAAATCTCGTTGCTATCATTATCATTATTCGACCGGATGTAAACAGCAATGGCCGCGCCGATGCTTGTCGAAAACGTATGTGTTCGACTTGTCGGAGGAATGCGCTGCTCCACTTTTTGTACTTCTGGGTTCCTAACTGGCCCATGTGCCGAAAAAATGTTGCAGATCACTACCTCAAACTTTCGTTAATGCGGGACTGCTTTTTAAAAACTCTTTGCTGCTGAGAGGGTGCAAATGCATTGAACTCTATGGATGTTCGCTGGGGCCGCCAGATTTCTTCGTTGCCGCGAGAATTTCGTTATTGATGGCTTTCGTTTAGAGGGGTTCAACTGTATAGTAAAAACCATTTACAACGAACTGACACAATGCATTCGTTGTAAGGCAAGAGCTTATCTTTCCTTCTCATCTCTTCACTTCCGCCCTGTAACAATGCGCTGGAAAGTCGTTGTTTTTCTTGTTTTGTTTTTTTGTTCGCATGCGTTGCAGACTTTGTTCTTTTAGCTTATTTCCCCTCCTGAATCGCTTCTTTTCAATAACAATGGTTTTGGGATGAAAAGATTTTTTTTTCTGTGCGTGCGTATAGAGTGTATTTTTTTTAGCTTTCTCCCCTTCTAAATCGCTTCTCTTCTATCAATTTTGTTTGCAACTTGAGTTTTTAAAATTTTCTTTGTTTTCTACTTTTTTTTGGGGAGGGAGGGTGGGGGAGGGAGGGAGAGGGAGAAAAGAGGGAGAGGCTAGAAGACTATTGTTTGCGTGTTTTTGGAAGCCTTCCCGGGGGAAAGAAGTTTGATATAGCCAATATGTTGTTCGTTATAAAAAGTACTTTTGACATGCATTTTTATTTAAATTTTTTGTGAGCTCGATATCGACAACAATTCGCTGTACGTGGGTTATTCTAAATGGGTTTCACTCTATTCCTCCCAACACTTCCCATAAAACGGTTATTTTGATTCTTGTTTGTTTTGCTTCTCGCAATGTGGGCGTTCCTCACGGGTGTCCCACTGTCTGCGTGCTTCGGGCGCGTGTGCAGCAAGCGATGGAGACGGCTTGCCAGCAGACCTTTGCCAGCCTCATCCTGCCCGTGGTTCCCCCGTCCAACCCGTACTTGGTGCTTTACGTGGGGCGGGAAAACATAGTCAATGACACCCTCAACCAGCTGGCAGACCAGTCGGCGGCCGACCTCAAGAAGCCCCTCAAGGTGTGCTATGAAGATTGCCCACTTTTAAAGCGAGAGCTTGATACGAGAACCCTGCATGGGACCTTGCTTGTCCATGTGTGTGTTGGTCGCACTGTGGCAAGCCCACATGAGAAGAGTCTTAGTGATAGGGTGCAGCTGTTGACTTCACGTCGTAGCGTGTGCGATCAACAGCATTGCAAGACACAGAGAAGAAAGGAGGAGTAATTGGTGTGTTATCACTCGTTCCCTTCTATCTTTCTCTCCTCTCCCCCTTCCTACACCTCATACAAAAAAAGTGAAAGCCGTTTACAAATCCCTGTAACGCCGAATTGGAGCGCAGCTCTTGAGGAGGAGGAGTGAAGGGTACTGAGGGGAGGGTAGACCCCTCCCCCTTCTCCTCCTCCTCCCCTCATTCTTTAATATGCTCCGGGGGGGGTGTCACGTGACTTCGGGGAGGGGGTCACGTGACCTCGGGGAGGCGTGACCTGGGGGTGACCTCAAGGCCACGTGACCCCAAAGGTGACCCCCACGTGACCTTGGGGTCACGTGACCTGGAGGGGTCACGTGACCTCGGGGTCACGTGACCTGGAGGGGTCACGTGACCTCGGGGGGTCACGTGACCTCAGAGGGGTCACGTGACCTGGGGGTCACGTGGGGTCACGTGACCTTGGGATGACCTTGGAAGGGGTCACGTGACCTTGGGGGTCACGTGACCTCGGGGGTCACGTGACCTTGGGGAGGCGAACACGTGACCTCGGGGGTCACGTGACCTCAGAGGGGTCACGTGACTTGGGGGTCACGTGACCTTCAAAGGGTCACGTGGGGTCATCTTGGGGTCACGTGACCTTGAGATGACCTTGGAAGGGGTCACGTGACCTCGAGGGGTCACGTCTCAGGGGGTCACGTGGGGTCACGTGACCTTGAGATGACCTTGGGAGGGGTCACGTGACCTTGGGGGTCACGTGACCTTGGGATGACCTTGGTTACGCCGACGCCGACGCCGACGGCGACGGCGACGCCAACGCCGACGGCGACGGCGACGCCAACGCCGACGGCGACGCCGCTCAAGCCGGGAACGGGCCCCTAAGAGCTGCGCTCTAAAAAAGGGGGGGGGGGGGGGGGGGGGGGGGCTGCAAAGTAGGATAGAAGTTGCGTATTCGTGCTATCATACCTTGGTTGGTCTTGAAGAACTGTTTCAGCCCCTATGCCTGGCGATTTCCTTTTTCCTGCCCTCACACCTGAATTTTCCCACAGGTCCAGTTCCATGGAGAAGACGCTGTGGATGCCGGGGGCGTCAGGAAGGCAAGCAATTTTCTCTGCTCCGCCAACCACCCCTTGCCGCGAGGGATTGAGTTGTGGAGTTCATTTACTGGTTAGACGAGTTGAGACGCATTTACTAGACGGGTTGTACAGCTGCACGGCTCGGAGGATATCCAAGTGTACTTGCCCGGAAAATTCTCCAGCCAATTTGGCTGTATGTGGTTGTAAGGAAAGGGGAGTGGTTTCATGTCTGCAAAATAGGCACGTCGTATTTTTATCAATGTTAAATCAGAATATAAAATTCCAAGTTAACTCTGACACCTTATTTGATTGGATGGAAAGGAACATTATTCTAACACTCAGGGGGGCATTCAAGAACTTAGTGACTGTTTGGCTCTCATGTATGGCAATGTTATTTTTCATTGTTTGTAATTCTGGCCTGCCTGATTGTGAGCGCAGGAGCAAATTTGAAGCAGAAACCACTTGTTTAAGTTTGCTTGTCTTCACTACAATGTGCCATTTAGGTTTAGGCCACTACGGCCATTCGGAGCTTGGGACGTTCCCGAAGAATGGGCTCATGTTTCTCTGATGGCACGCTAAGCTCTCTCATCTTTTTCCCAGGAATTCTTCTTACTGCTACTCAAGGAAATCCTAGACCCAAAATATGGCATGTTCACTGAGTACCCGGAGTCACGTTGCATCTGGTTCAACACTCAGGTGTGTTTTCTGAGCAGCCTGTTAACTTGCATATTTTTATAATGCAATTCAATGCAAAGGTGCAAGCAAGCTGGGCAAGAATGATGAAAATAATCCCTGCAGAAGGGGAACGAGGGAGACAAAGGACAAACTTAAATCTCCAAACACAGCTAGGTGACTGGTGCGCGACCAAAAAAATCCGCCTGGTCCTGGTATCAAACCAGGGCCCTCCAATTCCAGTGGAGTGATCTACCGACTGAGTTAACCAGGAGTTAGACGTCGGTAGAGCAAACGGGTTTTGTCAGCTGCCACCAGTCTTACACCAACAAGAGTGAATGACTTGCATTTCAGGGTTAAAATTATAATGCAATTAAATGAAAGGTGCAAGCAAGCTGGACGCCTAGCTGTGTTTGGAGATGTGTGTTTGTCCTTTGTCCCCCGTGTTCTCCTTCTCCAGGGATAATTTTCGTCACACTTGAATAGCTTTGCGATTTTAGGTTTTCAACTGTGAGCGCATATTGTATCGTACCCTGGTGCGGTGTCGGCGATATGTTCTGCGATCTATATGCTTTACATGTTAAGGGGAATACAAACCTTCTCCCACTGAATTATAAACGACCTAAATGGGTGTCCAAGCGGGATACCTCGGAACATGTGAGGCAACACTTCTCCGCCACTTCTCTGTCACATGAAGTGAAAGTTGAAGTCCGACAGTCTGTCTTCTGTTCGGACATCCACGGCAAGCATCACGGCAAGCATCACGGCTTTCCTCCCCTTGCCTCCCCTGCTTTTCTTTAACGTTGGTGTTTGTCAGACCTGACATCACATGCCACCTGCCAGTGGTGTGCCTGTTGCCTGTCCATCTGTTCTACCGTGCCCACATATCCTTCTCTTTCCTCTTTTCGGACTTGAAGAGCAGGGGAGGCCTTGAGCGATTGACTGGCAGTCAACAGAGCGTGTAATGTTTGTATCCACATGATCAGCATGCTCTAGGCCTTCATGAAGGACAAAGGCGAACGATGGCAGAAAAAAAGCTTTCCCCCGGGCAAAAAAAAAACTGATGGAAGTGAATTGCCACACTACATACGCCGGAGAAGTGTCGCTTCACGCGTTCTTGAAGTGTCCTGTTTGGACAGCCCTTAATAAACACAAATTGATTCTTGTTACTTCCATACACGGTGCATCATGTCTTATCGGCCAACCGATATGCACATGATCCAAAGAAATTGTGAAGCTTGTATTTCACCATGATAGTGTCGGTTCTCTCTAAAAGTAAGTGATGCTGTAGTTATTTGGAAGCGCGAGGTCCGCATCTGGGAACATGGTGCATGAATGGCGGAAGTTATTGATTTCATCACAAATCAACCTTTCTATATTTGTGGAAAGCCTGGCAAAAAAGCTATTGTAGTGACAAGAGCCACGACAACGACGATGACGCAGTGCACATGTGCTTGAGAAAGAGAGCGGCATTCTATCACACAAGCTCGAGACGATCAAATGCTTTCGGCAACGCTGCCGTTTCATTTTTCACAGTTCTAATCCTCTTTCAAAATGTAAATTGTGCACAACTGAAACCCCTTGCCATGCTATCTTCAAAATGCTAGTAATGACAGTTGCCTAGAGATTCTGATTACATTGCTTTTGAGTACCTAGTACAAATTTGTGCATCTCGTCTCACCATCTCACCAAAACTGCATTGATTTAGTATAAGTGAGAGTTCTGGGCTTTTGTTCAGAGTTTCGAAGAGGACGTCATGTACTACCTGATCGGCATTGTGTGCGGATTGGCCATCTACAACTTTACCATCATCGCCCTGCCGTTTCCCCTGGTGCTCTACAAGAAGCTCCTTAAACAGTTGAGTGGCTCCCGCTCCGTCATGTTTGCGCTTGTGGCACCCAAAGCAGTGTCTGTCTCCTCGCAGGAAGGTGACCCTGAACGACCTGGGCGACCTCTCCCCCACCTTGGCCAAGTGAGTGAGGGTGAGCCGTCCGTGTACGGCCCCGGCTTCAAAGGGCTCTCGTTCCCGCAGGGGCCTCCAAGAGTTGCTCAGCTACGAAGGGGACGACCTGGAGAGCGTCTTCTTCCTCAACTTTGAGGTGCGTCTGTAGGAAGGAGGGGAAGGTCGGGTGGAACTGGCAGCGTGCCTAGTGGAGGTGTACGCTCCCAAGTAAAGGCCATGCTGCGGGAAGAGCAGGGCACTTCACTTTGTGTCACAATATAGAGAAGGTGCAAATTTTTGCTTCTGTTCTGTTTTTTTTTTTTTGTTTTTTTTTAACTGGGGGATTTTACGAAATGTATCATTTGGGTACGATTGGCAGCGGTACGAGCTGCTTTACTGGTGCGGGTGGGATGCTCCGTCCACTTTTAAGCTAGGAGCGCGGTAAAAGCGACAGGTGTGAGCTAGCTGATACTCCTGTGTGAAATATTATCTTATAGTGCGAGTGCTCGTTTTGCAAAGGCATGAGGGGAGGCGAAATCGAGGTAAACTTTTCTAAGGCTGTCGAGCATCTCGTGAGGGAGCTGGGAGACACACGACACCCGTGTTGTAACACCCGGCTCATTTCCTGCAAAAGCGGTAATCGCTTCCCACAATACTCGTGGGACGAAACCTACTCTGCTCTGCAAGGTACCTAACTATACAGTTAGTCAAGGTGGGGTCAGCAGAAGTGTGACTGCAAAGCCAACGCAGTGTCGTGATGTCGCAGGTGTCGGTGGAGCACTATGGGCACACCACGAACCACGAGCTCAAGAAGGGTGGCCATCACATCAAGGTCAACAAGGAGAACAGGTAATCAGAGTACCCTGTGGCAGCTATGAAAGGGGGTACTCCGGCATTTTATTTGGAAGATTTAGACTGAAAATCGGCTAAACTCACTAACTATCTAAATTAGTAACTCGAATATTAGGCCAAAATAATTTTTGTTCGCAAAGCTATTGAACTTGCAATTTCGGACGTCGCCCTGTTTTTCAAATTGAAAGTCTAGTGGCAACAATGGGAAAGTTATTCCAGCGAAAGGCAGGGGTTCACTCTTTTGAGTGTGGAATTTGTTCCCAACCGATTGCAAGCAGTTTCACGGTATCAAATAAATGCTTTGGAAGTTCGCTCCATCGCCCGTGCAACAGCACGAAACAAATCCTCGGCATAGTATATTTTTTAGACTACCTGCTCGACCTGAAAGTCGGCCTGCCACTGATGTCTTGGCACTGAAAAGCGTGGGTATATTTGATAGTTGGTTTTGGCATTATTTTACTTGCCAATTTCTCAATAACTACTCTGAATATTGTAATACTAAATACCATATCAGAAAGGGTAAAAGCCGGGGACTCAAAAATTGTAGTTGGAGTAGCTCAAACATTTGTCGCAGTACCCCTTTAACGTGTCTGGTAATTTGCATAATCACGATGTAGGAAATAGAAAGAAAGCAGCTTTCTCCCTAAGTAGTACTATTCATGTTCATCTTTCTAATCTTTGCTGCAATGTCTTATGAGTTTTGGAATCTTGGAAAGATATCACTTCAGCTCGTGTTGAATTGGCTGACAATGTTTTACATTTGACTGCTTGTCGTTTTAGTAGCACGTGCTCTCTAAATGACTGTTTTACATGAGGATGTTAAAATGTTAACTATCTACTCTCTTTTACTTATAAAATTTAGCACTTTGCAAGCATTTAGGTTTTTTCATTTTATAGTTGTAGACTGTTTTCAGTGTTGTCCTGGTCTACCATAAATCTACTCCAGAAGCTTTCAGTTGCTTTGCTATGTCATCATTGGAGTGCAGATATGATTTTAGATACTTGTCAACCATACGGTGACACAGATTGTGGTGCAAGTTGCGATGTGCTCAGAGCATTGCTATAGTAGTAAGGCCTGTATGAGCGATGCTCTGGTAACGAATATCTGCCATTTTTCCCAGGCAGGAATATGTGGACTTGTATGTGGATTTCCTGCTCAACTCGTCTGTACAGCACTGCTTCGAGGCCTTTTCCCAGGGCTTCTACAAAGTGTGCAGCAGCAAAGTTCTCGTAAGTTGATGCAAAGGACACAGTGCTACTGCAGTTTACCTGCTTTACTAATCGTATTGGCTGGAAAAAAGAAATATGACTGATTCTTGTGCAGGACCTCTTCCATGCCCAGGAGCTGATGATCCTCGTGGTTGGCAGCGAAAACTATGACTGGGGGGACTTGGAAAAGGTGACTGATGGCTACTTTTGAATGCTCCTAGCTTGGAGCTCACAAACCTAACTCTAAATGTCTTGTGGCTTCCCACTGCTGTGGCTAGGAGTTAAGGCAACTTTGGGACACCAGGTCAAATTCAGCTTTTCCAGTGCCAGTTTTGGGGGAAGCCTGGGGAGGATGCTGTGAGGTGGACCTGAATGCCATCAGTTAATGTGAAAAATACGAAAAATGGTGTCCTCCGAGATTTTTTTTTGCCCCAGAGCTTCCTGTGCTAGGGCTCCTTTCTCACACCGAGCTTTCTTCATCGTGTAGAATGCAGAATACAAGAATGGCTACCGTCCAGATCACCCCACCATACGAATGTTCTGGAGGGTATTCCATGGCTTGGATTATGAAGAGAAGAAGAAATTTTTGCGTAAGTAAAAAAATAACATATTTATAATGCTGGGCGTCAAATTCTCCACACCGGTTGCACTGTCCAGAGCTTGGGTGTGTTATAATCTTTATTGCTACTACAGCAGCTGCCATTCCGAATCTGTTCTGGACTGTAACTTGTGTGAAGCTATATAGTACCTAACGGGGTGCAGTGAACAAGCCTTGTTTCCCCTTTCTTTCCCAACAGTGTTCCTGACCGGATCAGACCGAATCCCCATTTTAGGAATGAGCGAGATCAAGGTATGATGCTTCCTTCCTCTGCCTGGGAGATATATTGGTGGAAGGCCTCCATAACCACAGTGAACAGTGGAATTGATTCACAGTGCAGTTGAGAGCTGTGGACATTCATCTTATATATTCGTTGTCTCCACTTCTCACTACCATATGAGAATGCTATATAGTACTATTACTTTATACTTGCATAAGAAGGTTGGGATTTCAATTTTGTGGACTCTTCCTAAAACAGGAACCCTCAAACTGAGGATGCTTAAATTCCTTTAGCAGCCAAATTCTATCAATCCTCGTAACTGTAGCTTGAATTGTGGAGTACTGACACAATAAAGTAGCTTTCCAAATTAGGCATTGCTTCGAGCAACATGTTGATGGATTTTATTGAGCCAAATGCTGTAAAGATCTTGCTTACAGTAGCAATTTGGTGACTGCAAAGACGAAAAAATGATTAATCTGCATATTTAAGAATGAGCAACATTTAAATAGTATGCAACTTTATCTAGAAGAACAAGGTAAGCTCAACTGGCAAAAAATATTGTCTCTCAATTATGCGCAAACTCAACTTTGTTACGTCATGCCTCATTGGTAGCGTGTCAAGTGCACTTCTGGTTTAAGGCTGTGGATGGAGGTCACCATGCGGGACACGCATTCCTGCGTTGGTTTGCAAAAAAACAGGCAAAATCCTGCCTTCTTGTCGAAAAAATGGGGCTGTACCGATAGAGTGGGGAGAGGTTTGAAAATCAGTTTTCATGCGTTTTCTGCCTGTTCGGTTTGTCCGAGAACGTGAATAGGTGCCGTGAAAAGGGAAAGTGGACGCTGTCGGACTGTGCGCGAAGCACTTTGGGTTGAACTCACGGACACTTTGGTCATCAGATCTATTTATTTTGTTCCAACATGAACCGGGGAAAACCGCCAAGTTGTCTCGACCACCTGCGGATTACGTTTGGCGCATTTTCAAGTTCAAACGGCCACCTAATTGTTCAAGCTGTCGTCTGCCCTTTCAAACTTGTCTGCTTGTTGTCGCCTGCAAGTTCAAACGACAGCAGCCCGTAGATTGTACTTTGACTCGGTAATTGCGATAAGAAGTAAGTGCAGGCCTCAAAAGACTTAAAAAGAAACAGAGGCCTAAACTTGCAAATTTTTTTGAAAAATTTTATTTTTCAATTTAGAGAGTTTTGGTTTTAGAACCTAATTTTACACTCTTACACCGAATTTGATAACTGTACACCAAATAGTTACGTTGATAAGTAAAATAAAGGAGTTCAATGTTTGAAGGCATTTTTCTCAGTTCCTCTTTTTGCTGCAAATTCCATACGAAGAAATCTTTTGTTCGAAGGTAAAAGTATTCCGATACACAATCAAGATGTTTCTGAACTGAAATTTACTAGCGAACAGGGCTATTTATTTTATTTCGTTTTAAGTTAAAGTCCTCATTGAGAAAAATACATGTTTTCAAAAATTGACATAGGACAGATATGCATCTCATATTTTGAGGTAATGACTCTTCTTGAAATATTTACATTCGAGTTATAAAAACTAGCTAGCCCGACGTCCCGCATCCCCCACTTTATATTTGAGCAGTCAAAATGGTGCTTAATAGTTCATTTGCACATCAGATTTCTGAACAAAGAATGACACATCTTATGCAGGTATGTACAATTTTCCTAGAAAGCTGAAAGTTCGCACAACACCTACACGTTAAATCTCTCCTGCAAATTTTGTTCCAAAGAAGTTAAACCTCTGGCCAGTGTCCCCCCTTAAGCAAAAGACTTAAGTTTGAAGGTTGCTTGGGGTAAGTAGGCTCGGTGTGAACAGTAGGTACAAGGAGATGTTGATCACTTTTACCAGTGGCCATCACCAACTTGTTATGCCTGATTCACTCGGTCCGATTATGCTTGCGATATTTAGAATTGACGTCGAGCATCACAGCTACCGTTTACGCTTTTGCAGCCCAAGCGATGTCGCTACTCATAATAACGAGCAGAATCTCATCATGGTTTTAGCGTTTATTCTGCAGCGTTCATGCGAATGAATCACTGCACGTCACATTATATACACAGTTTACAACACAAAGCTTTGCAGTGTAAGGAGCCTTGTTAATTTGGCTCGGGCTACTAAAGTGGTAAGGCATTGCTAGGAAGACATGAAATCAACAATTCCAACGAGAAAAAGAGCATGGGGACTTACGCGGAAACCGACAATGTGACATTCCAATGGTTTGTTGATGCTGGACGCGGTGCTTCTTGCCCCTACTCCATTGCGCGGCGTGGGTCACTTGCCGCTAGGGGCACTTTGGTTTGTTTGTAAACATGAGCTGGTGTATACGTTGCCCTTTGTTTCTTGTTTACATCAATTACCTTAAGTGTCAACAGTTCTGTTTATGCCATGGTGTCACAGTACTTCTTGGTGAACATATTACTATGTTGGAGACACTTTGGGCTCCTTCCTTCTACCCATGGAAAGTTGTGCCCTGGCACACGAAACATACAGTACCTGCTTTTGTCACCTTCCCCATTGCATATTTCCCTCACTGATGAGGAAGCTTTGCCAGTGGCATTGCTGCCTTCCAAACGCCACCGAGCATAGCGTCTTGGAGCCCGACGTCCTGCGGCGTTGCAGGAAACTTGGTGTGGTGTACACATCGCGACACTGTTAGCGCGAACACGACATCGGCACATTTTCGCATTTTACTTCTAAATAGTATTAGCGAGCACGAAATTTTATCGCTTACATTATAGAACTAAATTAGCTCTTTCCGTAGCAATAATAACTTGGATGAAACCTCTTGGTTTCGAAGAAAAAAACTGGAAAAACCGGCGACCGCTTGTTCGCGCTAACAGTGTCGCGCTCTGTACATGCTGATAATAGCTGAATTGGTACCACATTAATGGGAAACCAAAACCATGTGAACTGCATTTCAATGTGCCCCATAAAAACACAAGAATTGTTTGTACCCATTTATTCTATAAGAAGCAATTGGCATGCTAAAGCTTAAGAAAGCTTAGTATATACTTATTTGTAGGTTTCAAAGTAATCTTTCCTTTCTTACAAATATGTGCACTATTAGTTTGTTTCAACACATGTCAGAGGGCAGCCAACCCTGCGAACCAATTAGGCCAGTTACGCAGCATCAAAAGTGCAACATCACGGCATGCATTGTTTTTATGTGCGCATTTTATCGCCGGCTGAACCAACCATGCACAGCGAGTGCACCGTGACCTTGCACTTTTAGTCTGCGCTCCAACGGGGTCTTATAGTGTCATATTTCAAGTCAGTGCCGTGACGGGTGTTTATCAGGTTCCGGTTCATCTTCCAAGGTGGACCCTAGACTCGTCAAACACAAAATGGGGCCGAGGTTTACAGAGTGCGCCGATTGGGTCTCTCACGACGATGACGCCGTGCTTTTGTCGCCGAAGTTCAATCTGCGCTCTCTGCGAACTTGCTGCTCCAACTTGTGTTTAACGAGTCTAGAGCCCCTGCTGTGGAGTTCCTTGTAGCCGTTCAGTATGACCAGAGTCCTTCAATACGTTACTGGTCACAAAACTTCGGCTAAAGTGTGGGACAGAGTCAAAAACTACCGCCAGGAGCATCACTCTTCCGGAAAGGGCATTTTCATTTAGCCACCCCATATTCCTAATCACAAAATGTTTTCAAAAACCAATTTCTCATACACTGACATTGGCTTAAGTTGTACTTGATCACTGTGTGCAAGCACTGGTAATTTTTTTTATTGATCTCTAAAAGCAAAACATAGATATAAGCTTTTTTCATTTGTTTTCAAACAAAATGGTGTTTTTGCAAGCAAAAACAAGCCAAGCAATTGAGCATACGGGTTCGCACTGCCTCTGCTTGATGATGCTACTCGTTGCGTTGAAGTTTGCTGATGATAGCAGTATTTATTTATTAATGTGAAAGAAAGCATTAACTGTCCCACGGAGCGAGCCGACATCATCAGCTTTGAAGCCGCACCAGACGGCACCTTAACTCCTTTCTTTAAGTGAAGCCAGCTTTTAACTATGAAACCACGGGAAAAGCCTAGCCAAACAACACCTAGTTTCCCCAATCCCAAAGAATCGGAGTGAAGCTGATGGATTTTGGCTTCGGTCCCATTGGCTGGCTTGCGTCGTAGTTTCAAAGAGTGTGGCTCCCATTGGCCGCTGTGCGTCAGTTTCAACGACCACCACCCCATGGCGCTGCACGTTTGTCAGCGCGCCGGGAACACGAAGTGTTCAAAGTCAGAGCAGCGAGGAGAGGGCGTGCTCTGTTGTCAACGCAAATACTCCGCATACGAGATAAGGGAGCGGAAGAATGACATGAATGCTTTGGCATTCACAATTCATAAGAAGTGCTTAGGTGTACCTCGAGCCTTTTTGTTTGTATGCTTATGTCTTTTAGCTACTTAGTGCTCAGAGTTCAAGGAAAGCATGATATATTGTAACATACTGGCAACATTGTAAATGTGATGCGACGGGACTGGCAAACAATTTTCCTACATTAAAAACAAATGGTCTTTACGACTTGCTTTTAATATGTCGTTTCAACATACGTCGCTGGAACTGGAACGGGAAGGCGTTATGTTTTTGAGGGAACGGTAGAAGGAGTGACATTCGTCTTTTTTTATTTTAATACCTTCAAGGCTCGAAGGCGTTACTGAAGGGAGTGGTAATCAAAAATAAAACAATGACGACTACTGTGCAATGCAGCAACATAAAAGAAACAAAGACAGATTAATAAGACAAAAAATGTGTTTCAATTGCAGATTTAAATTGAGTGGATATGTTATTGTGGCGATCGAGGTGGGAAGGTGGTTCCATTTGTTGTTTTAAGAATAAATGGAAGAAAAAGAGTACATGTTCGTGCAGTCGGGTTAGTGTGGTGAAATGAAGAAGGTTGAAAGTAATGAAACACTTGATCCACAATGGTAGACAAAATGAAACGTGCACTGCGATTTTGAGCTGATTCTAGGTTACAGTAAGAAGATCTGGGCTTGGATCCCACACCACACAAGCATATACTCAAGTTTGGAACAGACAAGAGTGTTGTAGAGTAAAGATTTTAAAGATGAAGGCACCATAGAAAAGTTTTGTCATAAATACCCTAGTATTCAGTTAGCGTTGTTTGCAATAGGGTTTCTATGTGTTTGCCAGGAGAGGCTAGCGGTGATATGGATGCCTAGCTACTTGTAGGACATCACATACCCTACAATGTTACAGCTGGAGTAGTTTTCACTATTAGTATGGCAGGAGATTTGTATTACGTTGCATTTATTACTATTAAGATGCATTTTCCACGTGTTGCACCAAGTAGAAATTTTGTTAAGGCCAGAGCGAAGTATGAAGGTATCGGCACCGGAGGATATAACACGAAAAATTAGTCGTCAGCAAATAATTTAATGGGTGAGTTGAGAGAGTTAGTTACCGTAAAATAACGGGCAAGTGCCTACTCAAAATTGAGAGATAATCGCGAAAAAATGGGGGATGGGTGCTTGTCCGTTCATTGATTTTACATATCGATGTACTGTGCATATTTTCTCAGATCTTACAAATTTGGGAATGGGCGCTTAGTGTGGAATGGAGCAGATGTGTGGTATTCCACGGTAAATCATTTATGTAAATAAGAAAGAACGGGGCCGAGATTAGAGCCTAGCCGACCACGCAAGGGGAAGAGTCAAAATCATTAGTAGTTCCAAACCGAGTTCTGTTAGATAAAGTGATCCAAACAATAATGTTCCTATCTAAGTTTAGCTTGCTTCACTTAAAAAAAAAAGTAGTTGGTGAGGAGCGAGATCAAAAGCTTTAGAGAAATCTAGGAATCTGCAGCCAACATAAAATTCATTGTCTAAAGCAGTAAAACATTATTTTGTAGATAACATCAGTTGGGGTCTTGCATGAGAACGACTTATGAAATCCCTGCTGGCACGACGTAAAAAAATAATTACAGTAGTTTCAGGGAATTTAACCATCTTAGGATAAATTATATATTCAAAAATTTTGCAGGGGACGCTAGTTAATGAGATGGGCCTGTATGTAATTAAGTGGCGAGTGCACGTCGCCAAATTTAAATAAAGGAACCACCTTGCCCACCTTCTAATCACTTGGTTCCAAGCAAGACCTTAGTGACTGGGAGAAAAAGGTTAGACAAAATTATTAACTTCTGGAGTAATGCACCTTGGCATCTTTTTTTCTTTAATTTCAAGTTAATGCCATTAGTTCCTGATGATGAAGAAAGGTATTGAGAATTCATTTTGAGGCAAGATGAATTAAGAATGATATTATTTTGGAGAGCATTGCAGAAAAGGAAGTTTAATGTGTACAAAGCTGAAGAAACTTACATTAACGAGAAACGCTGAGCTCTCCCATAACGTTATGGAGAAGTTTTGTGACCAGTAGGACTCCGGTGCGACTATAGGTGTTTTGAATAAAAAAAAAAAATATTGGAGCACCTTTTTCCTACTTGAGTCAAGTTAGAACGGAATGTTGTGTGCAGATAATCCTGCAGCCGATGAAGGTGGACGACGACCACCTGCCTGTGGCACACACCTGCTTCAACCTGCTGGACCTGCCCATGTACTCGACCGAAGATGTCATGCGGGAAAAGCTGCGCCTGGCCATACAGAACACCCAGGGCTTTGGACTGGTCTAGCCGCCGCTTCCAGAGCGCCAAAATTTAGCCCATTTGTTTCAAGATAGAGAAGTGCAAAATCAAAGTGATATCTTTAAACATTATTTTTTGTTGTACTTTCGTGCACGAGAGGATCGGTGCATTTTGTCAGAGTTATGTAATATATTTTGTACCAACTGTTTGCCAGGATGTTGGCAATCTCTCAAGGAGGCAGCTCCTGTTTGCGGCGAAACTTTGTACGTGCTGGCGGCAGCCTGGTTTTACACTATGCACCGGATAGGAATTTGAGTACCTCTGTTTCACATCTTGCATGCAAGCACTCTGCCTAGGAAGGACTAAAAAGCCTGATCAAGAGAAATGCTTTGCCTTCACATAAGTGAAAGCTGGCTCTATTTTGTAGCTACTCTCTTTTCTGCTTTGACAGCTTTTGTACGAGCCTGGTTGCTCGCAATGTTTGGTGCTCGGTCCCCTACCCAATTGGAGGACACTTTGCAGACTTCATTTGGAATAAAACATTTCACAGATAACTTCATTGCATGCTAGTCAATAAATACTTAACTTCATTGCATGCTAGTCAATAAATACTATCTCCACTTCGTTCACTTCTGTGCCGACAGTTCATTGGGAGGCTATGCACTTGCCAGACTTATCGGTCGGCTTCCTCCCATCGCCTGACGCTGCTCTCTGCACTTCAGTGCTATGGGCAAAAGCATGATCACTTGACATATTACCAGCTCAACAAGCATGTAGCTTCCACTGAACTGCCAGCTTGGGTGTGAACGGAGTGCAACTGGCGACTTTCAAACTGTACATGTTGTGGTACTTTCTTAAATCTCTTTATTCTTACAAACCCTCAAATCTTCTTACATGTGTTTTCTCCTCTATAATGGTTGCTCTACGATACACCACAAAGTTGGACTACTGCATACTACTCATGTTACAAAGGTAACAAATGAAAAAAGAAAAAGGAAAATATTCTCACGCAACCTCAAATTTTCTATAATGGTTGCTCTGTGACGTAGCACAAAGCTGGACTTCTGCATACTACTCATGTAACAAAAGAAAAATAAATAGAGTCTAAGCTCATTACAACAGATCTGGTTACAACAGACATTTGGATATAACATACCGATTTGTGAAGTTCGGTTGGTTTCCCTCTACATACCATTGACTCAACTTCATATCTGTATACAACATATTCCTCTTACAACAGACCGAAATCTTGGTAAAAATTAAGGTCTGTTATAACGAGCTTAGACTGTATTCAGGCTAGAATTTTCTCAGGTTTTTTTCTTGTGATTATAGTTTTTCCAGTTATCACCCTTGCATAAATACAATGAATTAACAGAAAAAACCCTTGCATATGTACTATATACTCTTGCAAGCAAGATTTCTGGGTCATGAACAAAGCCTCGGAATAAATACATAGGGTTTTTATCTGCTCAAAGGGCATAAAATACATATTTTCAAATGACTAGCAGAGGGATTCTTGCAATAGAATGCCATGTAGGTCTAGTGCATCTACAGAGCAATTTTTTTTTTTTATATATATATATATATAATTTAGTTATTAGGTAATGTGGCCACTCCCTGCTAAAGTATGCAATATTTATTATAAATGCTTCCTGCACAGAAACTAACAAGTATCAGGTGCATAGAAATTCCTGGGAACCATCAACCGTAAAATACCGGGCAAGCGCCCACTCAAACTTCGGAGAAAATCACAAAAAAATGGGGATATGCGCTTGTCCGGTCATCAATTTTACATATAAATGTACTGTGCGTATTTTCTCAGATCTCACAAATTTGGTAATGGGCGCTTAATGTGGAATCGGCGGATGCGCGGTATTCTACGGTAACTTACTTTAGCATAAATTCACACATTACACATCAACCTGTTCCGGTAATAATTGAAAACATGCGTGTTGGTGGATATATATACAATAAAACCTCGTTATAACAAAGTTGAAGGAGCGGTGTTAATTATTTCGTTATAACCATTAGTTCGTTATAGCCACTGTCTATTTCTTCCCACTATTAGCAAGCGAGGGGAATGATGATTGCTTTGTTATATCCATTAGTTTGCTATATCCCATTTTGTTATAATGAGGTTTTACTGTAAATACATGAAAGGACAAAACATAGAGGATGGGGACAAAAACAGAACTTCTTTCAAAAACTCCGTTCCCGTCCTCTGTTTTATCCTTTCATGTAATCGTAACCTGTTCCAGACATTGCACCTTTCAAGCTGACTTCCAACACCACGTCTCGTACACGAGCTACGTCATGTAGGCAAAAACAAATGAAACATGATACGAAACCTACTACTATTGCACAGACTTTAAAATTGAGCGAACTGTATGTATGTATCCTTGGGGAAAAAGAAATGTCCGATACAAGGGATCTGTCCGAGATTCTGTTTCCAAGGGGGTATATGGTGATCCTGGTCAGTACTGTATTTGGCTCGAAACAATTCTACCGGCAATGTTATGCTTTGCCACAAGCACTTTGCACCTGCACAGGTCAACTGGAGAGAAATGCAGGACTACACTGAGAGAACGCAACTTGCATATATACACTTTTTTTTTTTTTTTGTTGGTCGATCCAACAACGTTTAGAATCCAGAGCCTCCACGCACCCTTTCATTGGGATTACATGCACAGTGTGGAACACAGCTAATCCAAACACAATGCCAGTACTTTTTGTATATCTTACCACCCGAGCTAGTGAGATGTAACAAGAAAGGGGGGGGGGGGGGGGGGGGGGGGTCTGGCAATGATGTGTAAGCTGTGTTGAACTCGGTACTGGGCTCTGTCCTGCAGGGTCCCAGTGTAAACATGTTAAACATCTGGTAACACCAGTTGAATTGTAAATGCTGCTACTATGGAGTTGCCCCAGCAAGAATGCCTAGCCACTAATACTATGTAAGAGGTAAAAGTGAAACAAGCCTCTCATCTTCTCCCAGTTGGGGCTGTTTCTTCGTTAACAACCAGATGGGAGGAATGCTGCCATGGCGCAAACTCTTGCTGAGCTAAAGTTAATAGGACATCTAATGGTGACATCAAGCACTGGCCCCGTCTTCTAGGTAATGACTGGTCTCTCCGAGTATGCGACTTGTCCAAACACGTCTCTGGACTAGAAAGAGTGCTCTCAGTAGGCGCTTACGGCGCAGTGCACTTGTCGATGACACCCATAAAGCGCCTGAGGGCAGCCCAGTCTCCCTGGACTTTGACACGCCCACCCATGTACACCTGCATGGGGGTTTCCTTGCCGCACAGGATGAGCGTCAGGTCATCTGCAGACAGGCTCAGCGTCACGTCCGCCTTGGGAGGTGCCTCCTTGCCTCCTCGCACCAGCTCCACGGCACCTGTCATAGAAAGCCGGAATGTCTCGAAATGTCACCGTTGATCATTGTGAAGCTAGCCTCCAGGTTACAGCCAGATTCCAGCATCTATTCCCTCAATTGCTTTGGGGGTAGTAAATGTTCAGAACTTCAGACCCATTGTGGTCATTTTTAATGATTCTTAAAATATGCTTATAAGTCAAAGAAAGTGGCCCTTCATTGAAGATCTTTTGTTAACCACCTCAATGCACTGGTCATGTTGCCCCTCTACGAAAGCAGAAGAATTCCTCGCTTAAACTATAAAGCATTGCCACAGTACTGCTCGCCCTAATTGGTAGAAAGATTAAGGCTAGAAATCTCCGATTTGGAAGTAGCCTTGCACTGAAAAATCTCAAAATTAAGTTGGTGCTACTGCCTTTGTTTTTCTGACATACGAGGTGTGCGATTAAAAAACTCCGAGACTTGTATTTTTAACAGAAAAGATAGAGGGCAGCACAGTGATGCGTGCGCAGCAGTCGAAGAAAGGGACCTTTGTGTCTCTTTATACCAAAGGGCGTCGTTCTGTGAACTTTGGAGCTGCGCTACACAAGTTACCACGTGCATGGGCACGATGGCAATTTCAATTTATACTGTAAACCAGAGTGAGAACAAACTTCAATTCTGCTTCAAACTCGGCAAATATAAAACAGACCTTTGCAATTATTCAGCAAGCTTGTTTCAAAAAGCAGTGAATTTTGTGAAGCATTTTAAGCGGCACTCGTGCTTCAGGAATGGCAGAACATCGCTGAAAGACGAAGATTGGTAGGGCTACCTTATCCGACCTCTCCTTGAATTCAGGGATGTTCTGCCATTGAGGCGCGAGTGCCACTCAGAATATTGTGCGCACCTCACTGCTTTTTGACATAAGCCTTCTAAAGCATTTCAGAGGTCTCTGTTTTAAATTTGCCGAGTATGACATAAAATTGATGTTCACTCTCGCTTTGGTTTGCAGTCTATGGAGAGATTGCCATTATGCTCGTGCATGTGGTCAAACAAGCTCGTGTAGCGCAGCTCCAAATGTTCACGGAGCAATGCCCTTTGGCGTAATGAAACAGGTAGGTCCCTGCCTTCAACTGCTGCGCACACATCACTGTGCTGCCCCCTCTTTTTACGTTACAAAATCAGTTTCGGAACTTTTTTATCACACCTCGTAGCTAAAGGAATTAAGAAGTGACCAAATGACTGATTTCGGTTTTTAAAACCATGACTCAGATGTGTGGTCTTTTACGGGTTTATGATAGGCATTAAGCCCGTATTACTGTCATAAAACAAACGGGTATGCAGTGTCCATCGCATGACAAGAGTCACCTTTGTCAAAACAGAGGTAGACAGTGAGGGCTGCTTTGGAGCTGCCCTTGATCTCAACAGCATAAGTGACCGTGACCCCCTCAAAGTCTTCCTGCTGGGAGGCGTACACAGCCAGCTGATGCAAAACTTGCACCAGCTGTTCAAACTGCGGCTCGCTGGGAGTGGCTGGCACTGCATGCAACCCGCCTGCGTTGCAGAAAGGTTGCAAGTTAATTCACCAGAGGTACCTGGGCACCTGGAGCCAACACTGTTGGCCGATGGGCCACCGATGTGGGGGAACCGATTGAAAGAACACTCTACAAGAATGGTGGTGATAACTAGTAATTCAGCAAAGATGCAGATGGAAATGGGTACTAAGCTTTGGGGTGGCAGATAACCATTCAGTTCAATGCTCAACTTCTTGGTCGCAAGTAAAGGCTGGTTCTCACAACTGCAACTGCTTACAACCATGTGCCTTATTTCCTACCATTTTTTATAGAAAGTATGTAAATTTGATCTCACAAATACTGCAAAACCTTCACTCTAGAGATACAGCGAGCGCTCGAAGAGCAGCCTTCGGAGAGCACGATGCTTCTCGGGAGATTTGGCGCCTCCAGCATGCTCGGGACGCCATGTTTTTTTATCGCGGCCAAGGCTACAGGAAGGCTGGCATGGTTGCGAGCTTCGTCACTTGATGGCGTCAACACGTTACAACCTTTCCATTCGGAAAGGTTGTAACGTGGTTCTTTGAACAGAGAACAAAGAACCACAGCAGTGTGCTTCTTTGTTCTCTTTTCTCCATCGCTTTTCCTAAACATTCAGCTGGTATTCAAGTAAGCGTGTCTAACCAAACGGCTCAGCTCCAGGCCGTCACAACTTTCCTTCGAGATGCCTGCTCCCTGCAGGAGCTGAGTAGGTACGGGACAGAAGGGAAATCCGGTTCAGCCAAGTTCAACAGGGCTCATGTGCACGCAGCTTGCCGCCGTACTTCCGCAGAGTGGCGCTCCTTTTATAAGGGGTGTGACTTAATGACATTCGGTTTATTTGTTTTAAATAGTGCAATCCACTCGTAACAATACCACCTCTAACGATGTACTGCTTATGCAGAGCTCAAGTTCGTCTGCTTTTCTTGCAAGGATTCTGGTGACGTCGGAACGCCGCGCTCCGATTGGCTCTGATCGAAAGATAGCGGGTAGACCTCAAGGCATGCCTCGAGGTCTACCCACAATCCTTCAATCGGAGCCAATCGAAGCTCGGCGTTCTGACGTCACCAGAATCCTTACGAAAAAAGCAGACGAACTTGAGCTCCGCATAACGATCAGTTTCTAGACTATAAACGATCAGTTCTTAGTCAAGATACAACAAGAATAGGTTATAACGATTGGATTTTTTAGTTGTCTCATTATTAGTGAGTGGATTGCGCTGTAATGTTCTGGTGTCCTTGAGCAAAAAATTTGTCTCCGTGGTATCTCCAGAACATGGCTGAGAAAGAGAGGGAGTGAAAATAAATTAAGGTTGTGGAGAGATCTGCAGAGCATAGTCGAGATTTAGACAATAAAATGAGCTCTAGAATTGTGTTGCAATACCCCTTTAAGAGCGCCACAAGCTGGGATGATTAAAGTTGAAAGAATGGCACAAGAAGAAACCGATAGACAATTGGTGTGTAACAGGACCAGTCTGACTAAATAAGATTTATTAGTGCAAAATCAGCTTGGGTTATGGCAGACTAAAGATAAAAGTGAACAGGAACAATGTGGCAGGCCCCACTGTGTGCCTGGGCCAATCTCTTCTCTTTCTCTAAAGCTTGCACGCTGGGTCGGCGACTCTGAAGCCAACATGATGGCCTGCAGAACCTTACTTGGCACAGCACTGCGGTCTGACAAGGACTCAATGTGGGGTGGGCACTTTATAACGAAGGTTTTGGTGGTATGTTAAAAGATGCCTGTGAGCCCAATTAAGTTCTCATACCTTTGCTGGGGCGTCCCTACACTCTTTGCTGACTGGAAGTGTGAACCCCGAAATTTAATTGTTTATGTCTGCCTGCAGCTTTGCATCTGATTCTGTTCTCAGTACCATGCCTGAGAAAACACTGGCCTTCCAGCCCACACCACCCAGTGCGAAAGGCAAAACTTCTGGGTTGAGCTGGTTAATTTCTCTAGAAACTGCAAAGCTCCAAGACAGTGCACCTAACAACTTTGCATGCATCATTGGTGTAACATGCCAGACATGTTGCATATTCCCTGGAGGAAATTACTTCAATAGACCATTTGCTAAACCCCCGTAGCATCCCAGCTTACACTCAAGAAATTGTGGGAACGGTGTTCCTTTCGTTACCTAGTGATTGGTAATTTCTACCAATTTTATGCTTGCACACTTCTGTGTGTAATCCATTGTCATCCTGAATAAGCGTTGTGTAGCTTGTGGAGGCCTGTCATATTACTTTTAAACTTTCTTGTCAATGCCAGCGTTTTAGAGCGCAGCTCTTAGGGGCCCGTTCCCGGCTTGAGCAGCGTCGCCGTCGCCGTCACCAAGGTCAGCCCAAGGTCACGTGACCCCCAAGGTCATGTGACACCCAAACTCACGTGACACCCAAAGTCATGTGACTCCCCAAGTCACGTGACCCCCAGTGGTCATGTGACCCCTCCCAGGGTCACGTGATTCCCCAAGTCACGTGACCCCCCCTCCGTCGAGGTCACGTGACTCCCCCTCCCCGAGGTCACGTGACCCCCCCAATGACGTCATCAGTGATGTCACTAATGACGTCACCAGCATCCACATCGTCATTGTCATCATCACTGATGACGATGACGATGCGATGCCATCATCACTGATGACGTCATCAGTGACGTCACCGACATCCGCATCATCATCGTCATCATCGCTGATGACGTCATCACTGACGTCACTGATGACGTCATTGGTATCCGCATCGTCATCGTTACTGGTGACGTCATCGGCATCGTCACGTTACGATGCCGATGCCCCGAGAAACCGTGGCCCTCAATACCCTTCCCTCCTCCTCCTCAAGAGCTGCGCTCCAAATCGGCGTTACAGGAAGTGGTAAACAGCTTTCACTTTTTTGATACCGTGCACGCAATCACCCCCTTCAACCTGCCTGACCTGCAGGAATCTCTTACAATATTATCGTTCTCATACAGCTTCAAAGACGCTGATATTAACTTAGAAACGCTAAAACTGCTATAAACAGCTCCGCTGACTTTGGCTAAATCCTGATTTTGGTTGTAAATTCTTTGCTTTTTAAGCAATTCCTGCTAAAACAACAATCACGAGAATGATAATACAAGAGATTTATACAGCTCAGCCTGGTTGAAGTATGGATTGCATGCACATTGCAAAAATGCCAACATTGACGAAAAATTTTAAAAGTGATATGACAGGTCTCGGCCATCTACACAACACTTATTCAGGACGACTCCGGATTACACTCATAAGTGTGTAAGCATCGAATCGGTCAAAATTACCGATCTTCCTCGAGTGCGGGACGGGGCACTTGGGAGATTTAGCAAATGGTCATAGTCAACCATGTTGAATAAAACTGAGACTGAGGCATTTGTGCCCCAGTCTCAGGTTGATTCAACATGGTTAACATTCAACAGCTCGCCTGCACTCTTACTATATTATCTCTGGTCTATTGTCCACAAGAAAAAGATAAAGTGTGAAAATATGCTTACCGGGACCGGTAGGAATGGTTGTTGGCGTCTTGGAGTGCTCTGTGGGGATTCCCAAGGCAGTCTTGAGGGCAGCCACCACTGGAGTCAATGGGTTGCTTGGCTCTGCCGTCTTCACAACACGCACCATCTTCCTGAAAAGTAGCACCGTGGACTAGTCCCGAAATCCTGCCAAAGTGGTCACTTTAACTGAACTAAGTCCATTAGCAAAGTAGCCTTGTCTGCTCTGTACTTGTACACACTTCATGCAAGGGCCAGCCGGCCGTTATTGTAAAGTCACCAAATTTCCCTAACTTATATTGAGGAAGGCAAGCGTAACACAGGCAAACTTGCGCAAAGCTGATCCTAGATCCAAAGACACCGATCTAAAGTTTTCCACGAATAATTGGTGGCTACTGAGTGGTTCCTGCTTAGAAGATACTACTGCATGCCTAAGGGCAAGGGTCATCCAGAAGAGCATTGGCTCAGCCAGAATGTAACTAGAGCCACTGACAAAAAAATAATGGTGGGGCTACACTTTTGAATGCTTGGCCTTCAGCACGCCCTGACGAGACATTGAAGCACCGTTGAAGGCTCTACTAGAGTAGAGTGACCACTTTCCCGCTAGCGAAATGAGGGACATGCTGACCGGGTGATGAAAGAGAAGGACGGCATTATCACGACTGCAGCAGCTGAACAGGAAACTATTAGAGCAAATTTATCAACACGCACACCACAAAAAGTGGCTATGCTAACACATTTAAAATTGCCACGTGCAAAGCCAAGAAAGAATGCTTCTCCATACTGCTAGAAGATTCGAGTTTGCTCTTATCCCGATTGTGACCTTGCCGATTTCACCTTGATTTGACCTTGCCGAGTCGGTCTCGCCCTAGCTCACTCCTGAACATTCTAGGTGGAATGTTTGAGATGCCAAGTGTAGTAGATAAGAAGCTGACTGTGACCTTGCTGACTCATTCTCTCGCTCCAGCCGGCTGTCACGGGCTGCCACGCCGACGCCGCGACGTTCGCTGCTGCTGCTTCAACGCTCATTCTTACTTTTGGTTTCTGGCACAAGTTCGCCGATTACTAAACCTTTATTTTCCGTTTACGCTCGTTGAGCCTTTTTTCCATCTACGACAATGCTTTGTGCTGTCTGAATACATAGTATACACCTGCAAATTGTATTGCAGCAATTAAGCTCAAATAATTTTAATCGCAGTGATGTGTGTTTATTTTAGTGCCAATTATGTTATTAAGGTTGTCTAAGTTGAAAGCTTAAAAATTAACTGCAGCAGAACTTAATGCACCAAAAGAAAAAGAAAACAGCAAATATTTTTCGGCTTATTTTTTTCCTGTGGGTGCTTACTTTTACTTACATGCTCCTACACAAATTTGGAACCTTGCTTTTTTTAACCGTTGTGAATTGCAGGCTTTTCGCCTTGTGCGGCTGTCTTCATTAAAAAAAACTTTCCACAGCAACCCTTTCACATTGACGCAGCACAATTTAAAAAAAAAAATTACAATAATTTTTTTTTTTAATATTTTGCCACCAAGAGCAAAGGCACAATGGCGCATGCGCGTAGGTTCCCCTGCAAGAACGACGGTCGTTTTCCACAATGCTTGGATAGAAAATGGCGTACCACCGCGATTCACACGACTGCCAGTGACTTCCGCACTTTCCCGTACCCCGTTGTTCTGCAGCGCCATGAGTTGCAACCGAATTTTACGACGATGTGAAATGTGCGAAATTTTAAAAATTTTGGAATTTAATGCAGGACGCAGGACACGAGTTGCAAGACGGGTGGTCACCCTACACTAGAGGTGGGATAACTGAAGCGCTTTTCTGCCGTTCCCACCTCGTCAGTGACTGCAGATGTTCATATCACTCGAGTATAATTCGTTTAGACTTCTGTCGAGCTTTCTAATTCAAATTTGAAATAAATAAAATTTCGGATACATTTGAAATTTTTGTAAATACACAAATTCCCTGCTAAAACTAAAACTAGAATACTACAACAAGCCTTGCTGCAATGAGTTTTGGTCTGCTTGGGTGTTATCAGTTTGTCAATTTATAAGCATCTACACTCAAGTGGCTCATTAATTTCCGAGTTATTTTGGAAAAAAGTTCCAGCCTGCTTGGACACAAGGAAGATAATCAAATTAAGCACTCACACGTCAACTTTGGTCACTTCAAGACCCCATGGGAGGATAGTCTCATTCAGCTTAGTCTGCAACAAGCACACCAGCATTGGAGAGTTATGGCTCTGGCCTAGCACTAGCTGCTTATAAAATCAATGTAAATTTCATGTTTCATCGCTTTTGTATTTTTCAGACGCTTGTACCAACTCCCCCTAGTACATGCTTTTATACTTCTCACATGTCTCACTAACCGACCAAATACCAACGGCCAATTTGAAATGCCTTATTGCAGTTTAAAATATATAGTTCTCAGATAAATCACACAATATGTGTGCTAATACATATCCTTAACTGTGCTGCGGCACCATGCTGGGAAGCAAGAGCTCTTTACCACAAAAAAAGTATGCCGTTACGCTTTTAGGCAACACTGAACGCTATTACAGAATTAACTATTTCGTGCTTTAAGACAGGTTTACCATTCATTTTCTCCATCTTACAATAAAGATTCAGTGTTAGAAAAGCTCCACCCACACGTCCCCTCCATTACGTGCCAATTCTACCCTGCAAAAAATCGCTGCCATTATCTCAACCTTGGGACTGGAAACGGGGAGAGTTATATGATTCCGCATTAACACTGACTCAATGCAGCTCCATGCGTCAGGGCTCGTTAGTGGAATAGGGATGCCTCTGCGAGGCGCTCTGACCAGGAGCGTGGCCTCAATGGCGTCCTTGTGCCTGTCGAGGTCGTCCTGATCGCTGCAGCCCAGCAGGGAAGCCAGGCATTGCTGGCACAGAGAGCCCACTGTGGCGTCCACCTCCTTGACCCGTGTCACGTAGCGCACGCTGTGCACCACTTGCCACTGCAGCTCAGCGCCCACCTCTATTATGGCGCCATCGCCTGTCAGGACCTGCGGAACAAACACATTTAGCAACGATGACCATGGTTCTTTCCACAATATGAAAAAATCTGGGGGCATGGCTCGTTGGCACTTGAAGCAATACCTGCTGGATAACAATGCCGTTGTGCTGAAACCTGAACCAGGCCAATGCGGGACAGACTGGGCACGAGCGCTGCATCAGCATTACAGCTGTTATAATTGATTGAAGACGAGTTTCACTTACGGTAATGCAGCACTTTGTCTAATTTGCGCACTAACACATGCCCGTTTTATGAGACGCCAAAAAATTAAGCGCTACAGCTTTGCTATCTAGAATATGTTGGCTATGCCACTCTTCTAACTGCTCTCCGACTGAGAGTTGTCTGCCCCTACCTTGCAAGTCTAAAAGTGGCCCTTGACTTCGGTCTGCTTGAACACGGTTCTACACCACGGTGGTTGTGTGGCTTATTAGAGGTGTGGGATTGTTGCACCGAAAATCACCTGTAAATATTTTCGTAATCTGGATTTATCTAAGAAAGTTCAGTTTCTTTTCAGCAGGGACTCGAACCGTAACCGAAAACCGTTTAGGAACGAAATTTTTTCAGTAACCAAAACGAAACCGTTTATTTTTTTAATTTATGAAAACTGTAAATGTAGTCGTAAATTTACAGGTAACCGATATTAACTGAACAATAAAAATATTAGCTTTTCTCAAGAATGACTTCAAGGAGGGATCTTGAAATGTTGTGGCCATTTCACAAAGTTAGCATCAGCGAGTGGTGCATCCGGAAATACTTTTCCGTTCAATCTAGATTTAGGATTAAAAAATACTTAGTTGGAATCAGTGGTCGAGCTTACAATTGACCTCTTGTAGAAACACTGATTCGAGAGTAAATGGTTCTAGAACCCTCTCTCTCTCTTCCTTCCTTCTGGTGAGCAGAGAGGGAAGATGGTTTCTTTGTGTCAACTTCGGGGTCAGAAGATAACCCACGATGGGGACAAAGGCGAGTTTGGGGGAGCCGTATCTAGATCACAGCAGCTCAATGGGCGAACAGGATGTGGCTGGCATTTTGGGTGTCGAATGGGTGGGAGGGGCCTTGCGCGCGCGTTGTTTTCTAGCCATTTAGTCCCGAATTTTTGCGCTAAACATGTAACGCGGAACATTTGCCTGAAAAATGAATATTTAGAAAGACTTGCAAGTTTGAAGTCGATTTTCTAAAAAAAAAAAAACACCTTTCATTTCTTTCATTTTTATCTACAGTTAGGTAATGTAGTAGTCTGTCAGGACCTACCAACAGAAATTGTAATATATTGTTTGTATGGCCACTATTAGGACTCGAATCTCGTGCTATGAGAGTTTTGAACGGGATTTTGCATAGACGCTCAGCTGAGCAGAATTTTGACCTGTGTAAGGTTTTCTGTTTAAAGGGACACTGACAGGGTATTTATGCTGGCCGAGGTTTTTAGTTGTACGTGACATATGAGAGCTGAACTACCCAGAACAGAATTTGCGGCTCGAAATTCGGTTTCTTTCTGCCCGAAAACCGCCGATCTAGAACTGGCCGGTTGGAGTCTCGCTCACTCTCTTTTCCGCGGTCACGGGCCGTTTTCTAAGGTATCGATGCGACCACCAAACTTAATCAAAGTCGTGGGTCACTGAAAGCACGCGCTCAATATTAAAAATAGAAAAAAATATTAAACCCATTTTTTGTGGCTTCTAAAAAGCTGCAAATACGTTGATTGAAAAAAAAGTTCCACAGGCAACCGGAAGCATTCTGTGAGTGCGTCGTTTCGCGTTTCGTGGGACTCGCAGGGACGGCGATGGCAGCGGACGACGGGCGTGGGACCTTTATTTCAGAACTGTCGTTCGCGGTACCGGCGAATTTTGTCTGCCTTTAAAAGAGAAATTTGGGACTGGTCAAAAGAATTGGTATTCATCCCGTACGACACGCCCGACCACCAAGCCGATTTGCACGAAGACGTCGCCGAGCCGTAGCTCCCTTCTCGTGGCTGAAGACGTCGCCGAGCCGTAGCTCCCTTCTCGTGGCTGAAGACATCGCTCACGCAAACGTCAAGCACGACGTGTCTACTTCGAGTTGAATATGCACGCGTACGATTTCTTTACTAGGTGAGAATGCCGCCAATGCGTGGTGCATCCCGACTTCGACCCGGGAGTGCTTTTGCCAGAGGAAAATCGGCAGCAAACTTTCCAACTTACAGTTTATCAGCTGAATTATTACTAAGGAAAGAGATCCTCCAATTTCGGTATGCCCCACTAGCTCAGTGGGAAAGACGGCCGCTTTACACGCGGTAGGACCGGGTTCGATCCCCCGTGAAACCTTTTTTTTTTTTTTTCCAAATATTTTCCGATGTCTACATTTCTTTTTTTTTTTTTTACAATTATTACTAAAGAAAGCAAAAAAAAAAAAAAGATAAGACACAAATGTTGTGGACGACACGTCGCTGAATTAAATGGTATGGGATTTCCTTTTTGACACCTGCGAACTCAATGTAATCACTTTCCACAAAATGCAAGGAGCATATAAATCAGGTAGCGTCCGCTTTCCGAGGTGCCCGTTAATGGTCTACAGGAATTGCAGCCAGCCATTGGTCCCGATCCCGTTGACCTTTCGGAAACTGTCGCACAATGCCACTTCTGTTTCGGACTTCCGCCACTCACTCTCTTCTCTCCACTTCTCCGACCTCCGTCGGGTTTCGGTTTCGGTTTCGAGCAGTTGCGTCTTTTGGCTTTATTAATAAAATACGCTACTCTGTTGTAAAATATTAATTGGGTAGTCCTCCGACACCATAATGAAGCGCCTGGCAAAAAATTAAAAAAATTTTTTGGGGGGTGTCAGTGTCCCTTTAAGGGGGGACACTGGCTAGAGGTTGAACTTCTGAACTACTCAAGTGATCGGAAGGAAATTTGCAGGGGAGATTTAACTTCAGATGAAGGGGTACTATGCAAACTTTCAGCTCTCTAGGACAACTTTGCATACCTGCATAAGAAGATGTGTGGACATTGCACTTCTGAAAATTTTTTTATCTCTCACATCCTCTACTATACTATCTCTTTCTTACCCCTTTCCCTTCCCTTTGCAGGACGGTGACAAGAATGCGCACACTAGCGTCCTACCAACTGTCCTGCATCCTTTCCAAGAGTAATTAAAATACATTGCCAAACAAACAAACAACAAACAACAAACTCTTTATTAAGAAATCTATGATATGCAAATGAAGATATTAGGCATCATTTTAACTGCTTTAATATAAAGTGGGGGATGTGGGACTTTGGGCTATCTAGTTTTTAGAACTCAAATGTAAATATTTCAGGAAGAGTGACTACCTCAAAATATGAGATGCATAACCGTCCTAAGTCAATTTTTGAAAACATAGCCTTTTCTGAATGAGAACTTTAACTTAAAACAAAATAAAGTAGATAGCCCGATTCCCCAGTAAATTTCAGTTCAGAAACATCTTGATTGTGGTATCAGAATAATTTTACCCTCAAATAAAAGATTCCTTCGTATGAAATTTGCAGCAAAAAGTGGAACTGAAAAAAATGCAATCAAACATTGAACTCTCTTACTTTGTTAGTGCCTCACAATGTGTTGAAAATATTTTATATCAACGTAACTATTTGGCGCATGGTTATGAAATTTAGTGTAAGGGTGTATAATTAGTTTCTAAAACCGAAAAACTCAAAATTGAAAAATGAATTTTTTAAAAAAGTTTTGAAACTTGGGCCTATGTCCCCCCTTAATGTTAGTACTTACCTCAATATCTGAGCGTAAAAGCCAGTGAAGCAACAATATTTATCCTAACAATATTTATTTACTTGGCACTGGGTTGATTTGCAAGGTGTGTGAGCTTCGCCCTGTGTATTGACGAAGATCTGTATACCATCTAGACTGCCGGACAAACTTAAGAGGAAAAAGTCTAAGTAACCCAGCATGAATACCTGAAAATAGAAATGAAACCTAAACACATGACTAACACATTTGAAGCCTTACATGCTACGAAATGCTCCTTATTTTACGAAAAAGTCTGTATGTGCACAAAATAAATTGTACTTCCTAAGCGTCAGATACAAAGTCATAAATATGTATATGCACTGCATATCTGTTTGACATAAGAAAAAATGACAATTACATATCAAGATCGATATTTCAAACCCAAAGCCGAAAGCAAAAGGCTTTAGAGGAATTCTCTAACAATCTGCATTCCCCTGTACTGAGAGGAAGTGCTGTGCCCGCACTTGTGGATACAGACTTCTAAGTAACTTTTTTAAGTACACTACTCCAAATGTTATTAATGTTTATGGTTCGATATTGAGGTAACTGCTAACAATAAGTAGAAAACCTTACATAGGCCAAAATTTTGCTCACAGCAGAGCGCCTGTGCGAAGTCCCGTTCAAAACGCTTATGGCACGACATTTGAGTCCTAATAGCGGCCATACAAACAATATATTACAATTTCTGTTGATAGTTCCTGATAGACTACTATATTACCTAACTCTAAATAAAAAATAAAAGAAATAAAAGGTGGGGCTTTTTAGAAAATCAACTCCAAACTTGCTTGTTTTTTTTTTTTTTTTTAAATATCCATTTTTCAGGCACATGTAGTGCATTATATATTTATTTCACAATATTGAAATTATACTCAAAAGAAAGGGCTTAATTGGAGCTTTACGGTGATGTAAATATCATAAAAATATGTTGATTAGGTCAGACAGCACAGCTTGCTGAACTTCGTCAAATATCGCCGCTGAGAGGCGGTATGACAAATAAAAAAAAATACATTAAGAACATTATGACCTAAACGCTTAATTAGCATAAAAAAATAATATGTTGAGAGTGTTCCCAAAAAGTTACATTGATTTAGCGTAAAAAGTAAGGAAAAGGGATGGAGTGAAATATGGCACCCCCGATAAGCTGGAAAAACAAGTGTCCACCTTGGCGGCTTCAACGGTCCATAACTTGAGAACAAAAAATCCCACGAACTTGACGTTTGTGTCTTTTTTATTATAGAAATTGCCCGATAACATGTATTTTTTTAAAAAGAAATTAAAATTCAACCCAAATTTTGTGTTTGCGTTGAGATGAAGTCACCCATATATATATATATATATACCTGTCAGTGACTTAAAAGATAAGATAAATATATATTAGGTATATATTTGATCTTTTTGCGTCTGCACTTTTCTTTTACTTTTTGCATCTGCACTTTTTTTTTTTTTTTAGGGCAGAGGGTGGAAAGAGCAGGCGACAGTGCTGAGGTCGACAGGCGCCACCCAGACAGGTGACGTGTTGCACTTGCGTGCTTCGATTTCAGCAAAAACAAGAAAACTTGCCCCCCACCCCACTTCCTCTTTTTTCTTTAGTGAGTCAATCGAGATCCAAGAAAACAACCGAACGGCTAGACGTAGGTAGGTGTTTGTCGGTGCGAGTCTAGTCGTGCAGTCGTGGAGTCGACAGTCTGCTTCAAAAACTTCTTGCCATCAGGGGCAGCTTGTTGCAGAAAACTCTTGTTGTTGGTTGGTCGACACATTAATGCCGTTGTTGAATATCTGGTTAATGCCGTTGTTGAATTTCTGGGACTATGTTTCTCATAAAATGGCTGTCTAGCATTTTAATAAAACAAATAGTTGAAGAAATCGAAAGAAAAAAAAGAAAAGACTTTTAGGAGCATGTAGTTGGTCGCCAAAATCGTAAGAAACCGAAACGAAACCGATATCAACAGGAAACGATAACCGCAACCGAAACGTTATATTTTTCTGTTTGAGTCCCTGCTTTTCTGCCCTAAACGTATCTCCTATTAGACAAGCTCAAAGTGGTTGCCGACCCCGAGGTGAAGTGAATTCTACTGAGCAGTATGTGTCAACTGAAAGGGATCCCAACCTCACGATTGGGGACCTGGAAGACCTTTGGCTTGAGGTCCACTTTCATCGAAGAGTCAATGAACGGAAACACCAGCACGAGGCCTGGAAGAAATCCGTGTGAGCAGAAATTCACGTCCCAGCCGTCGCATTCACCTGGTCCTTGCACTGGCTGCAGTTTTCCCAAGCGAAACACCGCCAGACGTTCCAGTGATGGCACCCGCTGCAATGCAATGGGTAAAAGTTGATGACCATCGATGCCTCATATATGCACTAAAAAAAGAACACCATTGGGGACCACCAACTAGAAAAGAGAGCAGGTGGACATTTGTTATTGTATCATTCACCTTGCTTGTTGTAGTCACTGTTTTCCGATGCCATTTCTACTGTCTTTATACCTTTAAAAAATCACCCTAAGATCAATTATAGTATGCGAGTGTGTCTGTGCTCATGGAAGCAGACAGGCCTTCACTGATGCTGAAATGGTGCTATCAATAAACTGGTTCCCGCTCACCTGTGCAGCTGCAATGGATACTTCTAAGAAAACAGCACAGATGACAAGTGCACAGATGATCGTGGATAACTTGCATGTTCACACAAGTTCAGCCCATCATTTTGTTATGTTAGCTCTAAGACTTAATGACGAGGAGTCCGCTAGCTCTTAATTTACATGTGCCCCGCAGCACACAACAATGAACTGGCAGGAAAGATTGTCTGTGAAAACACATATGCCCACCTTGATGCAGACCCAGCATGTGACAGGAAATGTGAAAACCAGGAACAGGTAACAGAAGAATGTGACGATGGTCCGGATGATGGTGGACTGCCAGGGTTCGGGCTCACATTCTGCAGTGAAAGTTGCATTTTTAGCAGACTATGCCGAGCGCAAGTTCGTCTGCTTCTTTTGCAGGGGTTGTGGTGACGTCGGAACGCCGAGCCCTGACTGGCTCCGATTGAAGAATAGTGGGTAGATCTCAAAGCAGGCTGCCTTGAGGTTTACCCACTATCCTTCAATTAGAGCCAATCAGAGCTAGGCTTTCTGAAGTCACCACAACCCCTGCAAAAAAAGCAGACGAACTTGCGCTCAGCATTAAATAAAGCGGATTTGTGTATCAGCAGGGGCACGAAGCTAAAATAAACTACGAGGACTCTTAAAATTATGTTCATGTATTGTGTGTATGCAGGGCAACAAAAAGGAGGTTTCATCGACTGCATATATGTTTACACAGTTGAAATCTTTGCCCATTGTGCAAGTGAGATCAATATCCCAACGCTCAATCGAACTTTTTTTTTTTTTTTTTAGCAACTTTTAATTAAGGAATTTGATCGAGTACGATAAATGCGCCTTACTTATCCTTTCTAGGTAGATTTATCCATCCATCCCCATTTACGCGGCGATTTTGTAGTTGAATGGCACTCGGGAACTTGCGAACGCTACAGCAATCGGTCCGACTAAAGGATACGTCAAATATGGAGCGCAGCAACGGGAGGCAGCGGCGGGGTTTGTTTACCCGAAAGGTCTATGACGACTTGATGCTTATTGTACTTGAAGATGGTCTGATACTTTTCCGGTTTCTTCAACGTAGTCATGTGGTGTATAGACGAGTAATCGAACACGGAGCTGTAATCGAACACGAAGTCCGGGGTGTCATAGCTGTCCTTGTACTTCGCGAATTTCTCGTCCATCCTGCCAGTTCCGCCATAGACGTCAGGCGGAGAAAATCGATGCGGGCATTGCGCTCCGGAAAAGGGGAGGGGGAGCAGTAACAAATCGAGACAAAACATGGTTTCGGTTTTGAAGCAAAACGTTCTGCAGGTTTTGAGGCGTACACGTATGCATTATACAAACCATCAGCTTATGTTTGTAGCAATCATTTTTATAAACATTATTGCTGAAGTTTGTTATCTTTTTTTTAATTTATTATTACTTTTTGCTGCATTTAGTTGGCTATTTCTGGCTATCGGTACCTTTTTGGATCGTTGGCTTCCCAACTGGCACGACCACGACCGGCATTTTGGAAAACCGCGTGTTTCCGATGATTGACCACTTGTCAGCTCGGGATTTCAGTGAATTTTATGACTCAGCAATGTTATCTACCCTTGTCATGCCGCTGTAGAGATTTATTTTTGACTTCAGATCGCCGAGTTGAGTGATGTCAAGCAAGCGGCCGACTTTTGACGTCTTCGTGGGAAACCTTCCCCATGACACTGCGGAAGTGAGTCCCAAACAATAACTGTCACGCGGCCTCAAAAGTATTCCACGTGGATTCGTGCGTTTTTAATCCAAATATTCTTTGTCTCTCGCGCCTTTCCAGAAGACACTTAGTCCGCTGTTCACGGAGGTGGGAGAAGTCTCCTCCATCCGGATTATAAACAGCAGAAAGCCCGACGGGTCTAAAATCGCGTACGTATGCGGCGTCTTTTTGTTTTGTTTTTGTTCGTGCGCGTGCGCGTGAATCTGTCCCATCCCCCCTCCCCCCCTACGATTCTGTTAGCGTCTCTTGCCGCCTTTCATCAGTTCATTTTGTTTTCTCTGCATGCAGCTACGTGAAATATTTCTTCGAACCGGATGCTGAAGCGGCTGTAGCACAACGAAACGGGTACCTGTTCGGAAATTCTGTCTTAGTGGTGAAGCGGTGCAGCGGCCCTTCGAAGAGGTAATTATATACGCGGTGTCAACGGGCTGTGGCGTCTCACTGTCCGTCATATCTGCAGTCGGAAGACTCCGGAGCCGGGGATGGCGGAGCCCAAAGAACCAGAAACCAAACGGAAAGTGCTGTCGGCTCTGCTTGGTATGTGTGGCTCGTTTCCGTTCTTACTTCTTTTCGGGTGTTGTTTCAAAATTCTTCTTTTGCGCGCAGCCCAGAACAAGAAACCCAGTAACCCCGGACCGATTTTCTTCCCTCCCGCTGGCCTTGGGGTGAGTAAAACCACACATACTAAAGCAGCCTTCCATGCCAAACTTCTGCAAAATTGCCGAAATGGTAAATGATTGTTGGAACATACTGCTTCGAGGGAAAGAAGGCAGTTGGGGACATGGAAGCGATGTGGAACTTGCTGCGCAAACGTCATTTTTGCAAACCATAGCCGGCGCGGTTAAAGGTGATAGTCACTTGATGCCATTCGCTAGGTGCACTGGCATCGAGCGGCGTGGCTGCAATCTTTGAGGTCTCTCTCATTCTTCATAGTGTTGCACCTGCCTTCTGCCCATGTTAAATGTAAGCTGGTTTTGATAAAAGTTCTTGGGTTTCAGCATGTTTTACGATATTCAGGATTCTGTTCTGGTGCCTTTGTAGCATGGTTGGGTCATTTTCTATTTGTTTTTGTCACCGTTGCACTCTGCCACTGCGGCCTTGCGACTGTGTTCACTTACTGTTTGTGTTGCTTCCTGCCATTCCTACGGTGGTCGTTCCTCTGCACAATTGCACCGCATGGTTTCTTCCGGCGGGAGTAGGTCATCATAAATGCGACCAAGTGATTTTATGGAGCTACTTTCTGGACGTCGAGGGCGAAAGTGCCGTGGCATCGACACCCTCGCCCTATGAGGTGATGACTTGGTGCGGTAACAGCAGCTTGCTTCTGCATGTAGTGTGTACCAACATTAAAAATTACTTTGTTTATGCAACAAGCTTTTTGACGATGCACAAAGTCATCTCCGTGTTATGAGCAGCAGACTCGTCAATGTCCATGTGCTGGATTCGACTAAACAACCACTCAGCCTTTCTCTTAGAAGTTAATGCTGTTGTCTTCTCACACTGGCAACAATCACTTTTGAGACGAGGGAAAATGCCACCTTTGCGAAGTTTGCATTGGTAGGCATTTTTCGTGAGTGCAATTGGAACAGCCCCTACACAACACAGTTCACCATCCTTCAGATGGATGTGCGATGCTAACAGTTCCTTCAGTGGAAGAAAAAAATGAAGCAAACCACCGCTTTAGGTTTTTTTTGTTTTTTTTAAGGATCAACAAACTTTCTAGCGACGGAAAACCGGGAATTGTCAGGGAAATTTTAATTACTGGGAAAAATTGGGGAATTGTCAGGGAAATTGTCAAAAAGCGAGCCCAGTCAGGGACAATGAGCTGGAAACGCCATCGAGTGCCCTGAGCAAAAACTTGGGGAATGGGGTGCAGAATACAGGCAGTAAATTCCGCTTAGAGTGAGGTGCGGGCTCTGCTCCCCAATGTAGTGTGTGCTACCCGATGCAAAGAGAATCAACAAATCCAGTCAAAGCCCTGGATTGGATTGACAGCACGACACTAAACGAGATCCAGTTAAAGCTACTAGATTTAGTAACAAATGGGAAAGCCGCAGACTCCAAACCTTAAGCCGAAAGTATCCGAAAGTGCATCTGGCGGCCATGTTGCCATTTGGTTATTGACGTGTGTGGTTGAGCGTCTTGTTTTCATCGTTTTTCCGGAAGTGGCCTCTTCACTGAGCGGCAAGAAAGTTCTCGTTTAATCCGGACAGGACGGACCCAAATATTTCGGAATATTTAAGTTAGATTAGGCCCGTGCAAAATAATCCTCATTGTGCTCAATGCTCAATGGCTTGTGTTGTAATGGTCTATATATTTAACCGCCTCTAGAGTGGTCAGGGAATATCACCTGAAATTGTCAGGGAAAACCTGGAAAAGTCAGGGAATTCCAAAAGAATAATTTGCTAGACAGCCTGAAAGTGATTTTTAATTAAGTACACATTTAGTACTTCAGCGTACGAACAACCACTCGGTCAAGGTGCTAGGCTTCTCAAGTCAAATTAGGAAAACGTGACCTAGGAGATAGTGGCTCGACGGTGGCACTCCCTGGCAAAATTGACCCTGTCGGCTCGGTGAATACCGACTGTGGTTTTTTTCCTGTCCAAAATTAAAGTTGGATTAAAATGTTTCTTTTTTTTATGTTCTGCAAAGGTTTCAGTTCTTTTTAGCAAAATACATCAATCAGAAGGCTATAATTTTCCTTAGGTTGTTTAAACTACCTACTAGTCTCCATCCACGGAGCAAGGCACTCAATGTCACAAATGTTTCGTGACACTAGAAACATGCTCAGCCTGCTAAAGAGGGTTAAAGAATAATAAGTCAATGCCTAGATGTAATGTTCGTGGCTTTTATTATCTTATGCAGCATTTGTGATGTAGGTTCTGCTTATGCATCATTTATGATGGACTACCAGTTCTACAGCTAGAAGAGTCGAAATGGTCAGTTGCTTTTGGTATAGGCAATCATCTGCTGTTCCCAGTCATTATTGTGGGAAACATAGCCATTATTTATTTATTAATTTTATATATTTTAAATACTACCAAGCCAGACAGGTTATTGCAGGAGGGGCTTACAACATGTAGTTATAAAAATATGACACAAGAAATTGGAAACATAGAAAACAGTTGATTATACATCAGGAAATAAATGCAACAATTTTCCTTCAAATGTTTCTACAGAAGAAATGCCAGTAAAAACGCTGTGCAATGAGCTTCCAGCCCAGGCGACGCCACCTCCCGTTGCATGCTAGCGCCATCTCTCGTTAAAATTTTTGTCTTCTGGGGCGGTTCAGGCAGGTTGAAGATCGCAGAAATATATAGGCCTCCTAAGTTCACGTAGGATCTTCTCGCATTTCTTCCGTAAAAGAGAACTATCGGTCAGAGAGATCTGAGAAGTACATGTTTATGACATTTATAAGCCAGTCATGATTTGGGCCCGATTTGCTGCGGGTATTATCCAAGCTAATCCGCGATCCACACCAACGTGGACATACAGGTCAAGTCTTTGTGTGGTTGCCTTGGCGGTTGCAATGTTTCAAGCGCTGTTGATGAGGCATGATCAAGGTGTGTATTTATTCAGATTGACTTCCACTATAGATTGTGATTGCCGAACCCAAACTGAGTAGAATTTTGTTGAAATGAATCAAAGTGCAGACAGGGATGGTTTTCTCTTGCGTTTTGTAGCCGCTAATTGGTCGATCGTTGATTGTAGATCTCTGTACCCGTCTTTCCTTTAACTCTTACATTTAATCAACAATTGAATGTGAACTCAGTTATTTATAGTCTCTTTTTGAGCGGCCTAACAAACATTTCTAATGAACTATCCTAGATGTGTTTACATATGAGTGCACATTTTGGGAGACAGCGGCTTACTTCTACTTTGCCATGTTTTCACTTCATTTATACAGAGCCTTGACATTTTGTGCAAGTATAATTGATTTGAAAGGTCCACCCACTATAATAGAAATGCTCTAAAGTGACTGAGGCTAACTGCTGCTCTTGTGGCATGTGGGATATTCAACTGATTGGTTGTTGAGCACTATATATCGATGCAAATCCTCTGATAGAGGTTAATCATAAGGTACAGTCAGGGACAAAAGTCTCCAGGACGTGCGAGCTGCGGCTGAAACGCATCGCTCTGCCATCTGCCGGCGGGTCGTCTGGTTTCGAGATCACACAAAAGCGCATGCGCGTCCTACTCTGCCTGCAAACATGTCTGTTTTCCCGCTCTTCTGCGGCACAGTGCCTAACTCGGAATCGGGAGCGTGGTACCGCCTCGGAGATTGCGCTGGCGGCTGACGAGCGTCTGCTACACATTCCGAAACTCGAGATACCGCCTGGGGCATTTCGCCGCATTTCGCCGTGTCAGCGCACCTTGCTTTATAACCAGTTGAGCTTATCGCTCAGTTGAGATGCCATGACTTCTTGCTTGATATGTGCCATGTCAGTAAGCGCTATCTCCGAGGCGGTACCACGCGCCCGATTCCGAGTTAGGCGCCGCGCCGCAGAAGAGCGGGAAAGCGCACATGTTGGCAGGCACAGTAGGACGCGCATGCGCTTTTCTGTGATCTCGAAACCAGGCGACCCACCGGCAGATGGCAGAGCAATGCGTTTCAGCCGCAGCTCGCGTGTCCTGGAGACTTATGTCCCCGACTGTACATAACCGTAAGACTCGAGGCAAAAAATACACCAAGCCATGAAACACCTTGGTGCATTATTGACAAATAAGAAAGCGTAAGAAGAGCAACCAGTCACCGGACCAGCGGGCATGTCTTCTCCAAGCGGGTCAAAATGTGACCGAGTATTTTGACTGGTAGCTGCATAAATGGCAGAAAAACAATATGTACCATTTAGTGCACATTCACGACGCGAGCCTACCGATTCGCTTTCTCCATCTTGTATGCACGCTCATGCTCGGTAGCTGGAGTGCCACTGCCACCGATAGAACACTAACATTTAAGAAGGGTAACTACAGTACAATCTTAATCGGAAGAGCCTCAGTTAATTTGATTAATTACAGTTTCTCGCTAGAGGCTCATTAGCCAGTAGCAATCGTCTTTCAGAACTAAAAAAAACATTGTTTTTATAAGGAGAGACCACGAAATGCAAATTCAATTGAAAGACACTTGATTCGACAGACCATGGCGACCCACGCGCTCTCTTCCCATTCTCATAAGGTCTTCCCGGGAACCTATAAAAGTGAAGTGGCCCCCTGCCTCCTGTGTTCACCGGGCTGTTGTGGCATCCGACGACACAGCAAACGTGACTGGAAGGCATTTTCGTTGGAGATTCGAAGGCGGCAAACCACAGAAACTATGACCGCAGCACCTCTTGGCTGGATCCCTACTGTCCCAACGGTTCCAGAAGCCGCCGTAGTGCGGCGCCACCCATCTCGCGAAACTTTGGTGCTGGAAGCTCATTTGTTCCAGTCTTCGATAGTTTTGATTATAAAGGAGTATTTGTAAACGTCAATGTTGGTAAGATGCAAGTTAACTGAAAATTTATGATTTTAACGCCGAGACTGCCTTTCGGGCGGTCTTATGTAACCTTGCGTGTCAGCATTAAAATGCTTAAAAGACAACATGAAAAAAAATTTACATCCAGCGATTTTATGTTTTACTGACATTCTGTTTTAGCAATTTTACGCCCTACAGACATTCTGAATATGGTTATTCCAGCTGAGTTTGCCGGAAATTGTAACCTTAAAAGTGAACCTCTCGGTAGACATCTAACTAGTTAGAAATTATTAAAATAGGACAGAAAATCTAACCATTTGAAATCTGAATGCCAAACGTTTCAAGGCCAGCGTGACCCCTCTATCACGGGTGACTGCTTTTGTCCTTGTCGTCCTCTTCCAAAGCGTCCGCTGTCATTTTTTTCTATGTGCCTGGTGTCTTTACAAATGCCCGGTGTGATTGTTGCATTTCAAAGTTCAGGGTGTGCTTTGGTATACCTAAAAGAATCACAATGATGCAGTATGATACCATTTACATGATTGCCACACGCCCGTCCACTTGTTTCTATCGGCATTTCACTTGCGGGGGAAAGGCGGACTATTGCAAAACACGGTGAAATATAAACGTCTTACAGAGTTGAGATAAATATAGGGCTTGCTCTGTTTATTATCTAGCCTATAAGATTCGAGAGCTTTTTTTATTGGCAAGTTCGTAACAAAAAAAAAATTGCAAACTTGCAATTATTTCGTTTTATGAATTTTTAGAGCTAGGTTTCGGCGAAACTTCGTGAGGGCCGTGTGTTAAGGGGTACTGCAGCCATTTTTCTTAGCTGTTCAAAGAAATTGCATTTTCTAAAACCCGGACTTTAGTCTTCACGGTATGCTATTTATTTTCTCGAAATTCATAATAGCAATTGAAAAGCCGTAAACGAAAGTGATGCCGAAACCAGCATTCAAATTTCCGCACGTGCTCCAGTGGTGTGATGTCACAAATGGTTCAGACTTTCAGGTCATGCAGGTAGTCTTAAACAATATGTCGAGTGTTTTTTGCATTTTTCTCAGTGAATCGGCTACCAAGCGTTCTTTTCCCACCATCAAACATGTTGTAGTCAGTTGGGAACATGGCTTACTGCTCATTTTTTGCCATTTCTGTTGTCACACTTTAATGTTGACAGTAGGGGCTCCCGGTTTGAGAAACACAATGAAAACAAAATTAGAATATTCAATTACTTCGCAAAATGTTTTTCTTTTCACACAATACTTGGGGAACTGGTAGAGCCATGTCTGTCGGTGCATTGAGCCAACTTTGGGGCAAATCGGCTACGATGAGAAAATCGCCGGAGTACCCCTTTAACGATGTTGCTACAGATTGCTCCCATCAAGTGTAATTTCATGCTCTTGCATTGTAAGTCTATCACCAAACTGCTGCACTACTTTGAAGTCTTTATTGATCACACGAACTGGAGATTATCCTTTTCAGTAAATATTTTTCTCCTACCATGTCGTAGACGCTGAAGAGGTTATGGGGGAAATCATTCATATGACAGTTTGAGATATTTATGTTCCCACATCTATGCCTGGGTGTGTGCTCTACGAAATAAGTCGGCAGAAAAGTGCTAGTGTTGAAAGAACAATGAGGACTTTAGCTGTCGGAACGGTTCACCAGCTTAGTTTGCTGCAGAGTAGAGATTGTTGTGTTTGTCCTACAAGTGCGAAAGTGGTGGCAAACGAAAGGTTGTCCGTCGTGTTGGAGTTGGCATCTACTGATGGCATGTCAACATGTCCAGGTCCCAGACGAGCAAATGGTGGTGTGTGAGGTGAGGGACGTGACGTCCTTCTTCGCCCAACGGATGGTGGACGTCGACCGTGCCATCCAGCTGGGCAATCGGCTGGCCGAGTTCTGTCCCCAGGCCAAGCCCCTCGAGGACAGCCCGGAGTTCCGCAAGGCAAGAAATCCCTCGACTTGTCTATACTTTCACAATAACTTGGCGAACTGTGGGACTTCGACCCAATGAGGGCGTCAGGGCGATGCACATGGTACCACGTCACGGGAGCATGTGTGTCACTGCGCCAAATGCGACTCCTGGAGTCGTCTTCTGTGAAGCCATCCAACTTCGAATAACACCACCGCTGCAACAATGCCGTTTGCTATTGTAGCGCTCTCGTTTTATCAAGAAAACCAACGTATAATCACAGAAAAGGGGAAAAAAAAAAATACTATTGCCTTTCATTTTTTAGGTCCTAAAAACGTAAATTTGTTTTGAAGCCATTACGCATCCAATTTTGGGGAGTGAACTATTTTCCTGCAAAGTTCAGCGGATAAGTCGAAATTAGTTTATGTCGTGGTGTCATGTGATACTACGATGTCGCACGACGCCAGTTTCTCCACTAAGTTTAGCGGGTAAACTGACGTTGCACAGCAAGGTCATGTGACATGCCATCACGGTCTTGAATTTCAGTGTCTCATGATATTCCAATGTCTCGATAAATTTAGCAAGGAAATGGACAGACAGACAAACCTTTTCGATTAGGGTGCTCCGTGAAAAGGGATTTTAACCTTCGTAAAATCTTGGCCTTGGTACTGTAAGAAATGTGGATTTCTTTGATGCATTTCTTGGTGCGTACAGGTGTATGCTGCCAGGTTCTCCAAAGACCAGCTGTGGTACCGGTGCCGGATTCTCCAGAAGGTCGACGCATCCAGGGTAGGCCTTTTCAAGAACCTTTTTTACACAATACTTAATATTTTCTATAGATCTCTATATCTTGGTTGCTCTATATCTTGGTTCCAGAAAAAGCATAAAATGCTTGAGCTGCTTCGTTGGCAAGCAATCGAAACAAATTTCTGGCCCCCATGCCAATGTGTGGCACACTTGTGACTCCTCGTTGTTTTTGTTAAAGTCGGTACCAAGGAACATTGATGTTTTTTTTTTTTTGCAGAGCCTGGCACAGTATGTGGATTACGGCAACTGCGAGCATGTGACCGACTCCACACTGGTGTTGCTGACCGGAGATCTTGCCGAGATGCCTCCATTGGCGATGCATTGCCGCCTGGACGGACTGGTCGGGGTGCGCAGGGACGAGGAACCTCAGCTCTATGCCCAGGTACCCGGCTGATTCCTTCTCTGCCACGCGCTCTTCAAGACCTTCAGGCTGGGTCGTGGGACTCTAGTATGAGTGCCTTTACAGCAGGAGCGAAGGAGTGTAAGGTAGAATCTCATAAATGCTCCCGCCCGAGCGAGAAATGAAAGGTCAGTTTGAGACTGGCGTTTTCACCGTAGGTTTGTCAGAACGGCGGGGAGGTCTTTCCAGTTCGGCCTCCAGCTCAAGCCCCTTACCTTCAACAACACTTTGCCGTCTCGTGAGCATTGGGCATATACGTGCGGTCAAAGTATTGTAGAAAAGCAAAGGGCTCATGCTAGAAGCTAAGCATCTAAAGGAGATGCCCTGTCATTCTTACCCTGTCAGTGACATAGCCTAGTATTTTGCGAACATATTTTTAAGCCAAGCTCAGTTTTTCTTTTTTTTTTTTTTTTTTGCACTTTAATTGCAAGGCACAAGAAGCTCTTCAGGGACTGCTTGTAGATAAATGTGACTAATAAAAAGCAGATGGAATAAAAGATCAGTCAGTAAAACATCATTCAAGGAGTGAAGTTACAGAACTTTAATGAAAGTACTCAAGTGGAGGCGGGTCGGCAAGCCACAGTGCAGTCGGAGATCGCATTGCGGAAGAACGCAGCCATGTGAGCGTAAACGAAAGCACACAAGGGGCCGCAGGTCAGCAAGCCACAACACAAAGCCAAAGATTGCATTGTGCAACTGCACCGACTTTGTGCAATTTCTTTTTACGCGGGTGAATGAGACCACGTGAACGTAGACGGGAGTATGCAAGTGGAGGCGGGTCGGGAGGCCATAGCAGGCTCGGAGATCGCGCCGCGCAGCTGCACTGACTTTATGCCATCTATTTCCATGTGCAACAGTTCCACCACAAAGAAGCAATAAATTAAGAATACATTTTTTTTTTTTTTTTTGGTAGAGGGATTAAGTCTTGCTTTTACCAGTGGAAACGGGTAGTAATAAGTAAAAGGAGTACTGGCAGACTGGTGAAATGGAAAATCATGCGGAAAATAACATGAGCCTGGTATCGCCGATAGCCGAGGTTAGCCGTAAATCCATGTCCGAATCCATAACGCCTTGGATACTGCAGTGACTGTAGGAAAGGCTGTAGCGAGTGTGGTTCATCGCATTTGTGCTCGCGACGATGCATGTGCCGTGGCAAATCGTAGTCGTTCATCAAATCTATCGCAGCGTTTGCGCCACAGCCACTTCCCCATTTCCGCACTCCAGACATCATGGCAAGCAAAGGACAGATAACACTACCACATGCAAACAACTTTCCAGTGCTTCATACAAAAAAAAACCAAAAAAACACTCAGGTTGGTTTTTGGGGCACGCCAAGCTTGATACCATACTGTGCAGTCCAAAAACAAAATGCGAAACTCAACCGTGAGTTGACACTAATCAGAGAGTTCCATGTTATTCATAGTTTTTTAAGTACAGTCGAACCGCACTACAACGAAATAGAAGGTGCACTAGAAAAAATTTGTAGCGAAAATTTTGTTGTGAAATTCACAAAAAAATGTCATACCTGAACTGGTAAAGTACAAAAATCTGTTCAAACCATGTGTAAAGAGCCTTGTCGAGCTCTTCGTGCGCCGATGCTGTCAGTTTCAGTATAGAGGTTTTTTGCGCGATACAGGGGACAATTACAAGCGAGTAGACACGGACAAGCGCAAAAAACCTTTGCGCTTGTCAGTGTCTACTCGCTTGTAATCGCCCCCCTGTGTCGCGCAAAAAACCTCTATACTGCATCATGAACCAACTAGGCCAACAACAAGTTTTAATTGGTGTCAGTTTCTTTCACTTGGCCGATGTCCCCGATGCAAGAGCCTTTTCGACTGCATCTTTCGACTTTAGGATTGACTTTTCCACGATGACAGCTTTCTTCTGTTCACTTCCAACTTCGGCCAGGATGCGGGCTTCATCTTCTAAAGATAAAAACTTCCGCGTTTTGCTTGGCGGTGCCATGTCCAAAAAGCACGCATACGGTATTGACAAAAGGACAACTGACGAAACAAAAAAGACGACTGAGCTTTGGCTTTGCATAGTCTGCAGCTGAGGATTATCAAGCCAAGAGCTAGGGTGCAACCAACATTGTTGCAACAGCGAAGGAAGGCGAGAAGGGCCAGCCTCATCGCCGTCGCCATCGAGTTATGGTGGCCTGCTCGCCCAGTCAACGTTGCGCTCGGGTTCCGGGGGTTCCAGTTGTTTGTGGCAGTTTCTAGTGGTTCAACACGCGATTTAAGCTTTATAGTAGACATATTTTATGTGCCAAAATGCACCAAAGTGCTCGGAGGTTTGATTTTTGTGCGGAAAATTATACTTTCGAACTTATAATTGCCCTGTAAAATTTTGTTCAAGCGGAACGGCACAAGAAACTGTATACGCTGTAGTGAGAATTTTTGAGCATTGACTCCTATGGACCGTTGACGGGGAACCGAAAAATATTTGTTGATCTGAAAATTTTTTTAAGCGGCGTTCATTGATCGGGGTTCAACAGTATTTGAAGAACTTGAATACTTTGAACAGTGAAAGTGTGAAGCGAATCGAATCAAATAGCAAGCATTATTCGTGAAGTATTCAAAGTTTCAAATATTTGCACACCTCTAATTAAAACTTTTGAACAGCTTCAGTACAACTATTTGTTTTTTGTTTTATTTGCCAGCAAAGAGGCTCTGGCGGTCGTCTATGCATGGTTTGCTTTCAGCCTGTATTCATTATGCAGCTTTTGACAGTGAAGCTTGTATACGCTAGGGTCTGGAAAAAGATGTGTCCTCGTATGTTGACAGAAAACTCCCCATTGGTCTTGGCAAGTATGAATAAATAAAAACAGACGGGTCAAGTATAGATAAATAAAAACAAAAAGAGGGGGCGACCAGTGTGAGTCAGCCTTCCTAGGCATTATTTGATAGTTTGGTCCTGATCCCCTGTTATCTCTAGGCATCGTCCTTGAGGTAGTCCTAGACGTCATCTTCGAGGTCGTCATAGAAGTCGTCCTTGAGGTTGTCCTAGAAGTCGTCCTTGGGGTCGTCCTAGACGTTGTCCTCGAGGTCGTCCTAGAAGTCGTTCTCGAAGTCGTTCTAGAAGTCGTCCTTGAGGTCGTCCTAGACGTCCTCCAGGCATCGTCCTAGACGTCGTGAAGATAACAGCTTCGCTGGTGCTCACTCTTACTGAAGTGGAAGGGCTCTACAAATTTTATGCTTCTTTTGTTTACAACAGAGTTGTTAAGCCTAGTTTCCCAGGATCATGTCCGTCCTCAGATGACCTGATGACACCGAACTCTGGACAGCTACCGCCATCTGTGAGCAACGGCGGCAACCAGACAACCGGCTTGGTTGCTGCCGTCGCTCATAGATGGTGGCAACCTTTTGAGCCTTTCCACTCTGGCTTGCCGACTTGCATCCAGCCATTACTTTTTTCTTCATCCTCGTCTGTTTTTTGCGCTGTTTCCTACATTCTTATCAGTTGCCGTTCGGTTTCGCGATGGGTCGGCCGTGTGCCCTTTTTTTTTTCGGAGGAAGAAAAGCGGGAACAAAAGGAGCGGCGATGTGCGCAGCAGCGCGAATGGTTCCGCGACAGCCGCGAAGCCGCTATCGCCTCAAGTACCAGTGCGTTAAGTGCTTCAGGTTCCTTTGCGAAAGAAGAGCAGATAGCTCGCCTGGAAAGCCACCGCCGAGTACAGAAGCTACAGCTTCGCTGCTCTTCCTTGTTCACCAGAGTGGAAAGGCTAAAAGTTTTTTTCTACATTATAGGTGTGGAAATGTTCAGTAAGTATTAGAAATGACCATTTCTCAAGAAAATCGGTGAACGACGCTGGTTAGTCTCAAGCTGTGGGGCATGCCACCGTTGACTTCCGCCCTTGGGATCTTTTTGCAGGCGATGAGTCACGTGCAGAACATTCTGCGGGACCAGCTGGTGCTGGTGCAGCGCAAGAAGGCCACTACCTTGTCCACGCATTTCTTGACACGCTGTTTCGTGCCCGGCACTGGCATCGACCTGGCACAAGAGCTGCTTATCAAAGGTTATGCCAAGGTAGGCACAAATTATGTATTTTGGGGGGCGGGGGGGGGATTTTCTCTTTTTGGAGGGGGATATTAGTGACACAACATTTTTACTGGTACTGCAAAAGTGACGTTACAAACTTTTCATAAGCTCAAAGTTTTGTTATTTATTCAATACTTTTTTCACTAAATCTCCTAAGTTGTGGGATTACCGTAAACTCCAGAACGAGAAGGGCTATCTTTTGGCCTACGCCCAAAAAATCGCCCTTCTCGTTTTTTTGTTTTAATGTCTGTGTGGTGAAAGCCATCGAAACATTGCCCACCCCCATCAAATTTTGTTATGTATTAAAATGAAACGAAATGGAGTGCTGAACAGTAGAGGCCTGCACGGGCCGATATTTAAGAGCATGGCCCAGCCCGGCCTGCTGTCTCAGTCCCACAGTTTTTTTTGTTTTTTTTTTGTTTGTTTGACAGCCGGCCCGGTTTGACATTAATTTTTACGGGCCCGCTGAAGCCCGCTTTATTTTCACCAATTATAGAGCTGAGCTCACAACTTGCCCAGCATGGTAAGCTCACTTGCCTCCCCTCATGTATTAACTACAACAATCATTACACTAAGATTTTTTTTTTGTTTTTGCTATATTATGTTGAATTATTTCTGCAGGTCTAAGCAGCGCAAAAAAAACAAAAAAAAACACCCCCATCGCTTTTTTTTTTTTTTTTTTTACTAAATCAGTTTATTGAAAAGGATGGAAAAATAAAAATGGCAAGCAACAGTAATGAAACCATATGCAAAAGTTGAATGAGAAGCGAAGCATGATGACAGGTTCGGAAAAAACATGAACTAAGTTTAAAATTGCTCGCTCCACATGTCAAGAAAGATCAAATGATTACAGCAGTCTCGTGTGGACTACGGCAAATCGGTTCGGAAAAGCGCCTCTGAGAGAACTACTTTGACTGAAGCGAATTCTCTTCAACCATATTGCGGGTGCACGCACTCATACATACAGATGGCTTACGCCTGCAAGGGTACGCATTGTGTGGGCACATATTTGTGCACGCTTGATTGGGAGAAGCGACTGCACGACGGCGGCGGCGCTGCGAGCAACGAAAATTAACATTGCACCGCTGGTGCTTTGGAAGAGCAGTCAGTGGACAATGCACACAAGCCAAACCGTAAAAAATAAAATAAAATAAAAAGAAATGCACATTGCTTTTTGTTGTGTTTTGGCATGGTAACACAGAATGTGACGCGTTAATGTGCACATGATGCGAAGGGCTGGCAGAATTTGACGTCTGAAGATTAGCGTGTGCACCGCCCCACGTGGCACTCGAAGGGGAATCTTATGCTGCTGCGACACTGCAGCTTTCCTCGTAGAGCGTCATCCGCTCGGTAAGGACCCGGGAACACTCTTCGAAGGCTGCATTCACGCGGCAGGCTTCGCAGCCCCATGCCGTGCACGGTAAGCACGCGAGTGCTCCATCGCTGCTTTAGTTGTGGATGCCATCTTCTGCGGTGACAACGTAAATACGACCTTCTTGGAGCCTGCTGCAGTGTGAGACGAAGTAGACAGACTGCTCTAAACAGACCGTTTGGAAAGCAGAGCAGTGGAATGCGGCAGCACCTTAGAGAGCCTAGATTACAGGGAGTTTCCAACTGCTCGATGTGGGTCACTTGAACTATGGGCCACATTTGCAACATGAGGTGCAAGGAGGTGCAGTAATGGAACTGCTGCTCCATTTGCGCCAGAACGAAAACCGTACTGTGTGCTGCTCCAAAGGTTGTATTTGTGCCATGTCTCGTCCAAAAGCTGTTCTTAGAAGGAAAGTAAACACTCGAACTACCTCAACCTGTTACAGCAGAGGTTGCATGTCTAATGCGGTGGAGGCTTTTGTTTCTCTGCTTTTCTGTCGCTCTCTCTCTCTTGCTTCTTCTCTCCGGACGCCCGGAGCTCGTGTGTATCACGGAGCAGAGCGCCTGTGTGTGTCTGAACACATGATGCTTTACTCCGTATGGAATATCCCGGAGGCACTCAAGGAAGAGGTTCAGCTGGCACTGGTGTCCAATCAGTGAGGAGACGAGTGCTGCTTCAGCATTCAGCCGGCAGTCGGCCTGTCGACTTTCGTTCCGGGCGCCTAATCGAGTATTATTAGGAGCCAGCCATATAACACATTTTGCGTTGAAAAAACGCACACACGCACATGCCTTCTGCATTTGAGTCTGCCCCACTGTAGTATATTCCCAACCTCCCAAACAAACTTCAAAAACATTGCACACACACACACAGAAAGAAAGGAAGTTGTGGTTGACTTGGTTTCTTCAGCTCTCCTTGTAGACTCGAATGCAACGCCCATGCCCTGCCCGCGGGCTGGGCCGTAAGCAGGCAGACCCCTACTGGACAGTCTAAGATGCTTCCGGTGCCTAGTTTTCCCTTACCGATCAATAATCTTCATGATTGCAAGAAGGTAAGAAGTGTTTTCCGTGAATTGTATTATGTGACGCTCGTTCTTTGGGAACTCCCGCTGCCTGCAGTGCCATGTGGCCATGAACCAGGCGTTTGGCCAGTGGGACGGTGCCCCGAGCAGGGGCATGGCCCCGAAACCCTCCGGAGGGGCTCCCTCAGCAGGACCGTGGGTGGGGAACCCCTGGAATGCACCCAGCAGGCCCCACGACACCCGCTTCCCGGTCGACAGCAGGTGGGTGTCTCGCCTCTGAGGCGACCTTGATTGAAAACGACAGAGAAGCGTTCCTGCCGACAGCCATACCAAGTATGGGCAGTGACGTGGCACTTTTGTTTGTGGCGCAAGCTCCGTTGTGCATCATCTGTTCCCATATTTTTTCATCGACGATATTTGTGGCGTGGGGCACAGGGTATAGTCGATGACGTGCCACCATTATTCGTGGCGCAAACGCCCTTGTGGATCGCTTGTTCCCCTACTTTTTTGTCAACTGTCTTTGTGCTGTAGAGATTTCGTTTCGGCCTCCATAGTGCGTGATGTAGGGTTGGCACCCCTCATGGTCCCTTCCTCGTGGAGTATTTGAGGCGTTGTTCATAGCCTTAGTTAATTTGCAACATAAAACCTCAATGTTCTCTTCTTTTTTTCTTTTTTTGAAGTTTTTCTTTGTTAAGTAGAACAGCCTCCAGCTTGCTTGTCTTCTTTTTATTTAAACATCATTTCTGTTATTTATACAGAATTTTTTTTAGGAAAAAAACTTAAATTGTATTGTAACTTTAAACATTTTTTTTTTCATTGGGTGCATTACAAGTATGTTTTGTTGCTCACGTTAGCATGGTCACTTTGTATTTTGTTGAACACTGGCAAGACTAGAATGCATCTCCTCAGAATGTCTGCGGTTGTGAGCCACAAGTTGGGATTGTGCGTCAAATTGAATGAGGACTTTTTTTTTTTTTAAAAATGATGGCCTCAGATACAGAGGTCAGGGCGACCCAAGGATGGCACTGTGGTACCCGGACAAGGACCCAAGGGCCCACGAACCAAGGGGACAGGACCTGGTGGGACAGGATCCGAGGGGACAGGACCCAAGAGTCCCAGACTTGACGATGCAGGATCCAAGGTTTTATGAGCCAAGGGGTCAAGTCCCAGGAGTCCCTGACCCAAGGAGCAAAGACCCGAGGGGCTCTGTCCCATGGGAGGTTAAGAGACCGTCCTTTCCTGACCAGTCTTCCCTGGTGCGGAAACTGAATGTAGAGAAAGAAAGCCTTAAAGCACAGTTGCTCAGGATGGAGTCGAGAGTTCGGGTAAGAGTCTTGTTCATTTGTTTTTTGCCCGCCTGGTTTTCCAAAGAGTGTTAGCACTTTCCGTACCACACCCATAAGCTATCCGCATGCCGCCGAAATTTGAATTTGGTGCGCAAATTGTGTGTTAGAGCAGTGCTATGACAAACCAAGGTTTTGTGTAATAAAATAAAAGCATTCAAGAGGACATGCACCCCCGCATGCAGCAATGTCTCTGAATGGCATGACGCCACAGAAGCGCACTTGCTGACGGACCAAGAAAAGGCAGTATCAGCTAGAGCTCTTTATTTTACAGTTGTGGTAGTGCTGTGTATGGGGCACACTTCATTTAGGCCGACTCCAAATGTAACTTTAATACCATTTCTGAGATACCCTAATTTGAGGTTCCCATTTCTGAAAAGGTAGACTTATATGCGGCAACATATGGTACTTTGGATTTCTTTTTAATCATAATAGTGTGATGTAATATAGCTGCAAATGTTTTGATTTTTTGTTCAAATTTTTTAAATCACAAATTCAGCATTTAAACATGTGTAAACCTTTCTTTCTTTTTTAGAGCAGCTTATTGGGAACATTTTTACGTACCATACCTTGCCATATGCTGAGTAGCTATTAAACAAAAAAAAAAAGTGTTTATTTTTTTGTAAGTTGCCACTTTTCCTCGAGGTACAGAAAGAGTTAACGTCCAATGTCATTCTTTGGTATAACTGCTTTCAGGGCAAAGTTTATTCTTTACTCTCGTTGAATGTATAGGTGCTAAAATATTTTTGGGGTTTTGCATGATCTGATTAATCTTCAGAGCTGAGAGGATATTCATTGAGTGGCATTTGACAGTGTATGGCTATGTGTGCTCTGTCAGGATTAGAAGTTGAGTGCATGTGAGGCTCCCACCCAGTGCCCACGCAAGAATAGAAGCTTTGTAACAGAATTAGAGCTCAAGCTTCATGTGCACGTAGTGCTACACCGTTAGAACAAACAAATGATTGCTGTGTTTTTTTTTCTTTTTCTTACGATGAAAACTATTATTGGGGCAGCAAGTCCTCATATGGAGCACTAACTTGGAGGATAAAGATAAGTCCCCGTCAAAACTGTCCAAGCAAATTTCAAAATAGTGCTGATGTCGGGTTTGCACTAACGGTGTCGTGCACTGTACATTAGAGAGCTGAATTTTCAGATAAGTGAAGAGTGGTCACTCTGGCATGTGTGTGTGTTAGCTTAGTACTTGGCCATTTGCCAGATTGTAGCGTGAATGCTCAATCATCTGCTTAGCCCCCTTTTAGTGGCTGAGGGCTGGAAGTGGAAAAATCCAAAGTAAATCTGGTATTTCCTTTAATGATTTAGTTTTCCTTTGCTTTTCACAGGCCCTGGAGTTGCAGGTGGCAGAGCAAGGGCCCAAACGTGTTAACCTAGACTTCCTATCCAGGGTAAGGCGGAGTTTTATTGTCTGATCAGGTTGGCAGCGTGACTTTGCCTTTGTGTGTTCATTGTAATGGAATGGTAAAAGTAAACCCCAAAACACTGATAGCTGTATTGTCTCCATGCTCAGCAGAATTTTAGAGCAGAAGATAAAATAGAATGATTAGGACAGTCTCTAAAACGAGCGTTGAGGGATGTACATGGAGGGGATGAATTGATCTAAATATTGGCTTGTACAATCACTGGCTCATTTACTTCAGATATCTAGTTCAAAGACGGGCTAATGTACCATTTTTTAATGGATAGTGAATAGGTTTGGTAGGGAATATATGAGTTCTGTATCTGTTGGAAATGTCCCATCCTCTATCAGGGCGTCTGGCGGCCGGGAAAACCGGGAATTGTGAGGGATATCGTCAAAAAGTGAACCCAGTCAGGGAAAATGAGCCAGAAATGCCATTGAGTGCTCTGAGCAAACGGTTGAGGACGTGGGGGCGGAAAAATTGACAGTAAATTCTGCTTAGAGCTGAGCGCGGGCTTGGCTCACCCGATGTAGAGTGCTACCCAGTGCAAAGAGAACAGCTGACAAATCCAGTTAAAGCCTTGGCTTGGCTTAGATTGGATTGAGGGCGCAACACTAGGCTAGATCCGGGTTAGAGCTAGAGCACTATATAGCTCCTACAGAGCAGAGTAGCGCAATCCTTTGATCCGCATGTTTTGCCGACAACATGGCCGACAGAGTGACTCGGCGCGAGTCACGTGGTACTCGTGGTTCCAGGAGGCAGCCCGCCCTTTGAGAAAACACATAGAGATTGACTCAACACGGCTGATTAAGAAATAACTGCCAAGTTTACACTTTTTGGAACTAGTCAGTCGTGAAGTTGGTAAAGCACAAAACACTTTATCAAAGTTTTCATAATATCGGATGCGTGTGAAAAATTTGAGAAGGCGATTTCCAAGGCAATGGCGTTTGAAGCAGACGATTTTTGTGCGCAGCGGAGAGTGACTTTTTGGGTTGGCCAGAGCAGGTCACGTGAACGCTGTGACGTCGTCGTGACGCCGTTGCGTCGTCTGCTGCATGATGCCACTCGGGCAATTTTTAGAAAAAAATATTACGTCCTTACGTGGTACACAACTTAGCGCAAATTATTCTAAAATATTCCTTTATTGTGTCAAAACGTTCCGTACATCCCCACGATATTGAAGGAACAACGATTTTCTCACGTTCCCCATGCATTTCTGAATAAAGTTGGAACCTCCAGACGTTCGCCGCTAGTCGTCGAGATGCCATTCTGGATTGCGCTGCTCTGCTCCGAAGGAGCCATATAGTGCTCTAGTTAGAGCTACTAGATTTAGTAGCAAATAGAAAGTCCGTGGACCCCAATCCAATCCAAGCCTAAGCCAAAAGTATCCGAAAGTGTGCATCTGACGGCCATGCTGCCATTGGGTTATGATTGTGTGTGGTTGAGCACCATGTTTTCATTGTGTTTCCGGAAGTGGCCTTTCCACTGACGATGTCGGCGGCAAGAAAGTGCTCATTTAATCCTGACTCAACGAACCCGAATATTTCGGAAAACGCAAGTTGGATTAAGCCCGTGCAAAATGATCCTCACAGTGCCCAATGCTCCATGCCTTGTGTTGTAATAATCTTATACATTTAACTGCCTCTACAGTGGTCAGGGAAAACCTGGAATAATAATTTGCTAGACTCCCTGTATGCTTAAGCGTGCACAGTCATTAGATAAATCGAGTCTCAAAAAAAAAAAAAGGAGATGGAGAAGATTGAGCCTGGACAAGTGCTGTTAGCGGAGGCTGATGTGGAATTGGCTCAGAATCTCGAAAAAGAGAAGTGTATCTGTGAGCAATTGACGAAGCCCCAATAAATTTATATGTCCAAGGACATATGAATAAACATTGTTGTACCTCCATTTTATTTTTCGGTACACCTTGCTACGCTAGTCAATGACGAGCAATGACAGCTATTTGTACCTGTTTATATTTACCTCTTTGTAAGTTGGTTTTGTCATATGTCACTGTCATGTGCAGTTTGGCTTCATATGCTTTGTGTAATTTGCTCATAATTTTGTGAAAAATATTTGCTACTAAAAAATTTATTGAATCTACCATTAAGTTCACGTGGCATGCCATATTTTCTTCAGTTTTGAAAGCCAGGTGACATTTAGCCTCTATCTTAACATTCTTTAAACTTGTATGCTGCTCCCAACTCGCTCCAAGACCTAGTTTTAGCTGTTCGCAGCCTGTTCCAAACTGCAGTTTTTTCTATTCCCAAAATCGCTCCAAAGCTGCTTTGCCCAGTTCCATCCCCGTAAAAGACACCGAGAGCATAAGTGGCACCTTCCACTTCCACTGGATCGCCTGTGTAGATTGACTGAGCTAGTTTCAGTTTCAAACACTTTTTTCTAACGGGTGTCCCCAATAGCAGCCAGGCTCTTTAAATCGACCGCAAAATTCGGTTTCTTAACCTGTCGCGCTACAATTTTGTGCAGCGTTGCCCACGGATGGTGCATTTTTGTTGTGTAAAATTTGCAAAGAGGGAACTTACCTGAGGAAAAAGTTAAGAAAGAAAAATTAAAGCCGTTTACAACTCCCTGTAACGCCGAACTAGAGGGCAGCTCTTGAGGAGGAGGAGGAGGGAAGGGTACTGGGGGGGGTCAGTTGGCCTCGGAAAGGGGGGGGGGTCACGTGACCTGGGAGATCATGTGACCTCGGGGAGCGGGGGGTTCACGTGACCTCGGGGGGGGGGGGGGGGGGGTCGGGTCACGTGACGATGATGTCATCAGTGACGTCACTGATGACGTCATCCGCATCGTCATCATCACTGGGTCCTTCCGAGGTCCTCCCGAAGGAACCCAAAGTCCTTCCAAGGTCCTCCCGAAGGAACCCGAGGTCCTTCCGTGGTCCTCCTGAAGAAACCAGAGGGCCTCCCGAGGTCCTCCCGAAGGAACCCGAGGTCCTTCCGAGGTCCTCCCGAAGGAACCCGAGGTCCTTCCGAGGTCCTCCCTAAAGGAACCCGAGGTCCTTCGGGAGGACCTCGGGTTCCTTCGGGAAAATTTACCCATAATGCACTGCGCAATTACGCCGACAGCGACGCCGCTCAAGCCGGAAACGGGCGCCTAAGAGCTGCGCTCTAAAAGGCTTCACTCCCATGGAAACTCGGCAAAGCCACCGGTCTTCAATCAATAGGGCGCCCTATTGTTTGTCTGGTCACCCAATACAGTGTAGACCGCATATAACGTATGTCGCGGGAGTCGCGAAAATCCGCACTATAAGCGGTACCGCACTATAACCAAAACATCAATTTTTCAGGCCAAAATACATGCCATGAGACAACTTACACTTGTGAAAAGAATTTATTTTATGTTAGATGAAAAATAAAGCTTACTTTGAGGAAAGTCGTTATTTCACCTGAATAGTACAGTTCTGTCTCAAGTGTGTTACACATTTTGAAAGAAATGAGCAGCTTTTGCCTGGCGCAGCCTTTTAAGGGGGGACACTACCCAAAAAAGTAAATTTTTGAACCACTTGTCTGTTTTAAGTTATATTTACAGGGCTTGTTCCTGTTGATGTTGAGAACATTTCTGCCAAATTTTGTTAACCTGGGTAGGGTACAAAAAAAACTGCAAACGTTCAAAGATGAAAGTGGGCGTGCCTGCGTAGGAAAACTATCATTTTGAAATTACTTATAAATTTGTTGTTTTCATGTGTTATATTGCATTAGGGCAGTTCAGAGCAGATAACTATGGAGCTATATTTCTATGTTGTACCATCTTTCATGACAAAAAAGCCACATCAACACAAATACAGTTTTTTAGATTTCCATCCTTTGTTCAAAATATTTGTTTTTGATCATGAAAAATGACAAAAATAAAAAATACAAGCTCATAGTTATCTTCCCCTTAAAATTTGACCCCAGAAAAACTCATAAAAATGAATCCAAGTTATGTAATAACAAAATGATAGTTTTCTAATATGAAATTTATGCCAGAAAGTGGAATGGAGAAAAATGCGTTCAAAGTCCTCCAACCTCTACCTTTTCTTTAGCATTGGTGGATCGAAAATAATTTCTAAAACATTAGCTATGCAGTACAATCTAATGAAACTTTCTGGGAATACCCTCTAGGTGTTGGTGGATGTAATCATGACATTTTTCAAAATGAACGTTTTTTTTGCAGAAATTGCTTTTTCTGGGTAGTGTCCCCCCTTAACGGCGTCGCGGGTTGCGGACGGACGTTGAGAGCGTTCAGGATTGCTAACCCTAATCACTTTTCTCCGGAGATGAAAACGCGTGAAAATTCGCATCCTTCACACGGTACGCGCCAGTAATACCTTGAACTTGAGCGCACGCATGAAATGCGCCAAATAAGAAATTCGGGCGATGTTCGAGGACACAAATGCTTAGAAATCACCACTGTAGTCGAAGTAAACAAACACGACGACACGGGCGTTTCTGCCGTCTTGAGAGCGCCGCCACGACATCGCCGCACGAGTAGGTGGATCTTCCCTTCTAGTACGTGCTGGGTTGTCATAGCGACACAACGAAAATTCACAGTCAAGGATAGCGCTTTTATGGGAACGATGAAATGAACGCCGTTGACGACGACGATCACAACCGACGCCGTGTTCGCGGATAGAAGCAGCCGACCCGCGACCGCCATGTAACGCGCGCAACACTTCTCCTCGACCTGCGATTGGTCTGTCGCTGCGGTTGTTTGTTTCCAACGCAGCGGAGGGACGCACGCACGTGAACGACACGTGCGTGCGTCCCTCCGTCGGTATGGCAACTGAAGCCTTTCGCTTCTTCCCGCTTCTTCGAGCAACTCGGCTCTGGCGCAACTGCCACGCGAGTGCCGCTTGCTGCTCGCGCCGTCAGCGCCGTTATATAGTGTCGCACAGGGAAGCGCGCTCGCTGCTCCGGTCGTCGGCGCGGCCGGCGGGCTGTGCCAGAAACCGCACTATAACCGGTATTTCCCTTCGCGCGCCTGCATTTTAAGCGGTATGTAATTACATGGAGTTCTATGGGAGGCGAACCGGTGGTTTAAAAAAACCGCGTTATACCCGGTCCCGCACTATAAGCGGTTACGTTGTAAGTGGTCTATACTGTATCAGTCTTCCAGCTAAATTCAGCAGGGAGGATTTTGGAGATAGAGTTTGCCGGTAGATTGTTTGTCTCGTGTGTTTCTCATCGTGCGAAACTTCAGCTGTCCCAGGTCCTGGAATCCGTGGAGGAGTCGAGGCTGCAGAGGGAGCGGTTCTCCACTGGGGGCTCCGAGGACGTTCTGGAGCGAGCTCTGGGTGCCCTGGGCAGCTGCCCACCTGGACTGGGCCCTTCCACCCAAGTAGAAGCGGCCCTTTGTCGCTACCAGCATAGCCAGGACGCCATCAGGGCATGTTCCGACACGGTGGGCACATGGCATGCATCCTTAGTTCTGAGGGAAATGGGTGTGAGGTGGGCACGGTAGGGTGGGGCGTCAATTGTCCCAACTCAAGTCCCAGCCTTTGACAATGTTTCAAAGAGACAATGAAGGCAATTTTGGATATTTTTTTCTTGCAATTAAGTTGAGTTCCACACACGTTTCAGGCAACGTCTCCCGAATTCCAGCCGAAACCGGTGCTTGTGTGCCGCGCAAATCAATTAAACAGTCTCAGTAATAATCGTACCGGGATCGATTGCGGCAGCACCCCAAGAGTTGCGGGAGAAGCCAAGAGAAGCGAAGCTCGCGTGAAGCTGCTGCTCCTAGAAGCACGACGTCACTAGAGACTCGTCAGCAATTGGTCGAAACGAGAAACGTGCCCTTGGTCACGTTTTGGTTCGCGATTTTTATGAATTTCGTTCTAATTTCCACTTGAATAACCATGAAAAGTATAAATCGGACCGGAAATGATTACTAAGCCGTAAATAAAACAGCGTATTATTTTTCTCTTTGCTACGCTGGACGCGAAACGGGCAACCCCCAACTATGGGCAAACAAAATAAATAAAAAAAAAAGAACACAGCGCGCTTGTGACGTTTGGTTTTGGTTTCAGGTGACGGTGTCGTGTTTACTTTGGGAACACGATACTCGAAGGATTCTGCAAAGTGGTAGTCATGCCAAATTTGTGTGCTGTAGATCACTTCAAACAGTCGACTGAAGACCAGTAATTGTTCGGACGACGCTAGATTTTTATGTGTGGGTTGCCGTTCGTGTTCTTTTGCGACGACAAGAGAGGACGTCCGACTCTCCTGAAAAGCAAAAATGGTGCTGTTTATTTTCTCCCTCTTGGGGAGTGTCCCCCGCGGAGGAACCAGTTCCCGGAAGGGGTCGCTGCCGCTTTCCCCTCGGTATCTCCCCCGCGTCCCTGTCCTTTGGCAACGCGACACTCTCGCCTTGCCTGTGCGAATGCTGCTGGCCGCTCGTTGCCGGGAGCACGCCACACACGTGCTCCCATTCCGTTGGTGTTAAGTCACTGAACGAAAGCCCGAACTCGCTCGCAAGAGCGGCGTTGTCGCCCATGTTGACAGATCTGACGAAACGACCGTGCCACCGCGGTGCTATAACCCACCGCGGTAACTAGAGTGTCAATCTCCTTAATGCTATTGATTCCGACTATTGACACTTGACGTCACTTCCTACGTCACCTCCGTTTTCGGAGGCCCAGAAATGAGAATGGAGATAGTTCAGTTTCGGTTTCTTTAGCTCTTTCGAAGGCACAAAAATATGCGTCACAAATCTCTACAAAAAATTGGGCAGCATGCTAGGTTCAGCATAAAAGCACCATATAAAAAAATTAATTAAAATCGTCTTCATTGTCTTTTTCAAGCATGCGTGTGTGCTCCCATAGCATGGCGACAGACCATGAGCACGCGTGTTGGAGGCGGGGCAATCAAAAGACACACTCCGTTGTTCTTATTCTTTAAGTGGCTATAGAATGTGAAGAAAATAATGTTGTCTATACTTTATCTTGCTATACTTCGTTTCAACTTAAATCCCGACGAAGCCGATGCTGAGATAATGGGATTATTAAAGCAGGCCCAAAAGTGCAAGTCACTTTGCCTTTTCTGTTTGATTGGTTCAGCAATGATGGAACACATACAGAAACATGACAAACACATAGATGTGATTGCTGCGCCAATTGCGCCAAACTGCGCCAAGGGGCTAACCCTGCTACATCCTGCTACATTTTGCCAAGATATGGGTAATCTGCGCCAAGCCTGCGCCAAAGGACCAATTTTGGTCGCCTTTATAAACCGAAACTAAACTGAGTGCCGTAATTGAGCACGCGGTGAGCTAGGTGGCGCAAGCGGCCGCCCGACACCAGAGCCGTATATTGGGAGAGTTTGGCCAGTGGGTGTGGCGACGAAAGCGCCGGAGAGGAGAAAAGAAAATGAAAGGGAGGAGAGCGCCGAAGGAGCGGGAGAGAAAGAAGGGAGCGGAGAGGAGACGACCGCCATATTTGAGCAACGCTGTCGGAGACTGGTCGGAGAAGAGCACTGCTGAGGCTACGCGTCGTCTGCTACGGGCCGACTTCTTTTTCGCCTGAATAAAAGTTTATGGCCATACGCCGAAAAATCTTTATTTATTAGCTTTTTAACCCACCGAGGAATAACAGAATGTCATTTTTTTGCCAGAGCCAGCGATATAAAAGGCAATAATCGAGATTTAGATGCCGATTCCACGCATTCCGCCGGGAGAATGATCGAAGATGGCGGCCCTCCCCACTCAGGTGGGAGCAGCCGGGAGTTCACGCGCATGCGCTCATGCCTCTCGCTCTACGCCGCGTGCTGATTGGCTCACTTGGGAGGAGAGCGTTACGGCGACGAGATCATAGTCTGGCCAAACTCTCCCCATATATGGCTCTGCCCGACACAAAGTACCCTGCATCAATCGTTCATCCGGTCTTGCACTGTTTTCCCGTCATGTCTCGTTCCGCGTCCCCATCGTCTCGCGTTTTTAAAATTTTTTATTATTTTTTTCTTTAACAATAGACGCGGACGTGTGCGGCGCTTCGACGCTAACGTGCTAGTGTACCAGCCATGACGTCGTGCTATGAAACAAAACCACGTTTTTGCGCGGCGGGAGTTCCTTAGTGAGCTGAAGCACTCACTCCTGAAAGCAACGGCCATGGGAAAACTATATTTGGTTGCTGCCTGCCAGTCACCGTGGTCGCGCGACGTCGGGTGTTGCCGTCCCCACGTCGCTGCAGATATGCCGCTTTCTAAAATGAAACTAAATACCGCCGCATGTTCATCAACATTCCTGTTCTTATTTAATACGCTACTAAAAAAATCCCTCTTTAGTTCAAAGACTTATGTGTCGAAATATTGATTACCTAGGTTTTTCTCGGCGGGTTTTCTTTCGGAAGGGACCCCGGTGCGTGAAAAATCTGCCGCGAAAGAAAGTTGGTGAAGGGAAGTGAGTCAAAGAAAAGAATGCAATGTCTACAGGCTGAACCCGCTCAGCGCGCTTGTTTGTCTCGAGTTCAGTCGTTGCACGAAGCGCTCCAAGAACTTCTTCACCCTGGCTCGTGATGTCTTGCATCGATGTGCTCAGGTTATTTTCTTCTTTTTTTTTCTGTGTGTTTAGCTGGTACCTTGCCTGCCGGCCTGGCAGGCACGTGCTGCTGGACTGTTTTTTGTCGTATGCTGGACAGTTACATTTTGCATGCAATTTTGGGAACCAGTTGGCGACGGAGCGGAGTGGCATGGTTTCGATCGAACAGGCCATCTCCGATTGTGCGATAATTTCGTGTTGCACTGCAGTAGTTACGTCACATGTTTCATCAGTTGGAGACTGCTTTAATTTATTTTATCACTAGTCAACCTAATGCTGTGCTATTTATACTGAGCTGGTCATTTTCAAATAAATGTTAATATGTGCAATTTGGTTCTTGTTTACCTATAGCGGGTATATATATATACGTATCATTTAACTGAAGCATTGCAGAATGCGTCATGTCATTGGCATTTCAGTTATGTGTTTAGAGACTCCCAGGTGGTCTAACTGGACTATAATTTGTTTATTGTGGCGAGCGAAGTGTCCTTGGTTTGTCCAGCACTTGAAACAATTATTATTTTTTTTTCTAAGAATACCTGCTCCAAAAGCCACTTTTGCTGCTCCAAAACACTGTTTTGGCTGCTCCAAAAGGTGCTCCAAAACGGCTTAGGCCAATCACATCACTGCAAACACCATGGTGGTGCGCTTTTGACGCTCAGATTGGTCCCATCAGCTCGTAGCTTCGGCTGCGTCTGGACTTTAGGTGAAACCAAGTATAGTTTCGCACAGTGTTGCCAAAGGTGCAGGGGCAAGAGCGTAACCAAACAGTTGGAGGGGAAGGAAAGGAGAAGATCCCGTCACCCTGACACTCTTTTGTGAACCCCACATTCCTTTGCTCTTGCTCGGAGATTACCCTGTCACTTGAAATTTTTATCCAACCGCCTCCCTCTTTCTTTCTCTCTCTCCTTTTTTTTTTTTTTTTTGTGTGTGGCTTTTGTAGTGCAGTGCCCAACTAGTGAGAGCGTAGAGAGTTCTTTTGGAGGGGGTTGCTTTATTGGGTACCATAGTGAGGAGTAAGTAAATGAGTGCACTCAACACAGAACTCCCTTATATCATTAGACCAATGTACATGTTAAGGCATTGTGCATGTACGGTAGATTCCTTGCAAAAGTGAACAAGCATCACACCTTAAGATGTGCGTAGACAAAACTCGAGCTAACAATTCAATATGCACCTTCGTAATAAAAAAAAATTGCCTGTGGCATATGTAAAAAAACATGACTTGAATTGCCAGTTACCAGGGCAGAAGCTTGCAATGTGGCCAGCACTGACCTCACTTTAACCTTTACGAGGACGAACCCAGCCGAGCAGATTAGATGTACGACTTGCCCAGCGAGCGTCCAGCTTTCGCCACACTGTCTGCTTAGGGGTGAATGGACTATAGTTGGTTCAGTCGGACTGATCTAATTTTCAGAAGATGAGTGGCAATAGTGTCTGCACCTTATAGGCTGGATGAATTTATCTGCATAAACTTATAATTTCATCAAATTAATACTACCAAGGAAAACTGTAAATATATGAAGTGCGTCATCAGGCTTTACTGAATGTAGTAGGGTCAAATTTAGTGGTGAAGTTGGCAGAGCTTGAGGAGCACTTTGCATCATCCCATGAGGCCCTGCTGGAACCCCTGAAGCTGGAACGGGATGCAGGGAGGTCGGAGCTGATGCAGGAGCTGCAAGTGGGGCTCCAGGCCCTTGATGCCGACGAACTGCAAGGCCATGTGCAGGAAATCTCGGTCAGTGCCACATTCTCTGCCCTTTTAATGCGGAGTATGTTTTAGAACTGGCTTCTAAGTCTGGAGCGTCATGAATGGTTCTAATAAAAAACATTTTAATAATGCCTTTTTTTTTTAATTTTTGTATTTTGGCAAGAATTGAATCAACGAACTTTAGGTCAGTATTTGAATGCCGTTTTTTCCTTTAGACGTTCACAGAGATTAGTAATTGTGTCAACTTAATTGCCTAATGAGCGAGAGAGAAAAAGCAAACGATGTTAATGTTTATTAGCAGCAGGTCGGTCTCACTGTTTACGAATTGACATATATTCGCTCTGTTTCGGTCATCTTTCACTTGTACCTTTTTTACCATTTGAGGCTTCGGTATTAAATTGCTAGATTTTGTATCTTGATAGAACATTGTCAACTCATTTTAATCTCATTGAATTCATCACGAACGATTGTCCTGTGGGGTTGTGGTTAATCTTGAGTTAAGTTTTAGGGTGTGTTATCTCTTAACCTTCATATTTCATGTATAAAGAACTCGGGACCGAATTTGATTGCAAAATTAGTCAAATAGGCATTTGAAGAACTCCTGGCTACACAGAAAGGTGTAGATTAGATCCTTTTTCATGTGCGCTGTTCTTCAAATTGTGGTTTCGTTTGCCATCACATTTATTTGAGAAGTAAGCCTTGCCATCTTCTTTGTCGCATTCTTGATTAACTTCAGTTTTTTATGTAACAGAGTAACAAGAATATTGTGTTCCCACCACCAGCTGTGGTAACATTCAAACATTTTTTTTTTCTTTTTGTAGTTTTGTAGCATCTTCAGTTTTTGCACAAGAATTGTTGTTCATTATTGTTCTGTCACAACCAAACTTGGTGCGCATATCCTTTAAAATATATATAAATGTAACTGTTGAGGCTTTTGTTACAACCTATATTTATGCAAACTTAAAGAAACTGTTATCTCTTTAACAGTGTTGTTTTTGCAATTTTCAGGTATTTAAAGTAAAAGGTCTCACACAGATCATTTTGTTTGTTTGTTGCACTCTGGTTTAAAAGGAGCAGATTAGCTCATTTTACTAGGCTTTCTAGGTCTGCTGCCATGCCCCACGTCTGCATAAAAACATGTACCGTAAAATACTGGAGAAGCGCCCACGTTCACTGAAAACTGGGTTAATCTTGACATGGGATGGGCACTTGTCCGGTCATATTGGGTGCTTAATGTATAATTTGTAGACTTCCCAAGGTTGGGGAATGTTAATAGTGGGCAATTTTTTGCATGTGCAATGTATCCATGACATAAAAAAACAAGTTAAAACTATCATCAGATTTATAAGAAGGTGATCAAGCACTATAAAGTGTGAAATGTTCAGTTAGCGTAAGTAATCTTAAAAGATGTTTTCCCCTGGTTGATGTTCCTTTTAACAACGCTGGTGCAGGCAAGGCTCGAGGAGCTCAAGCGTGTCTACGGGGATTTCCTGGGGACATCGTTACCAAGCCCCTCCGAGGACTCCCCAGAGGTCTTGGGCCAGCAGCTTGCACAGCACAAGGTGAGGACTCCTTCTGAAACTACCTTTGCAGTGCCTGGAACAAGCCTGAGTAGCTTGTTTTGTTGTTGTGTTATCTAAATGATGCAAGTTGAAATAGTGTGCGTATGCAAAGTACTTTGAAAACAAAGCTTATGTAATTAGATCTACATAATAGAGGAGGAGTCTAAGGTACTTGTTTTCTTGAAGGTTGTTTCACATTGCGTGGTTAGCTCTATTCAGTTTTCATTTTCTATTCCGACCCATGTTTGGCTTGAACTTTGTTTATTCTCTGCAATTGGCAGTTGAGACCATCTGAATATTTTAAAGATATTCTTGTTCAATCCACATCGAGGATATTCTCATTGAACTCACAATTGTGGTATTTTTACATTTCTAGATTTTATGCTTAAATTTAATACTTAAGCTGGGTATGGTGTAATATAGGATCATAAATTATGGGATGCAAAGCCTAAGGGTTTGTTTCTATGCAAATCTTGAATAGGAGTTAGCAGTTTCTTGAACTTGGCAGTTTGTTGAAACAATTTTCAGCTCGACATAAAAAGGCCCATTTAGGTCACGACTCTTGCAGGGATCTTTGCTATTTGCGGGGTGAATCCCTGCCACCCATACTGCCCTTTCACATGTTTTGTCCTAGAAGCTGGATTCCAGTCGTAATGTTGCCGAACGAGTGGCGTGTTCAACGAGTCGCTGTTTAGCTCGGGATTTTTCGAGACCTTATCTCGCTGCTTCATGGTCAGGCGGAGAGAGCGGACGACTTCCGGAAGAAACGAGAAGATGCGGACAGCGCCCGGGGCCACTTCGTGGATGCCCTCCAGATGCTACAACAGGTAGTGTTTTGCACAGAACTCCACACTTTGAGCGGCATCAAGAGTCTGAAGGTCCCTGTTTAATTCGCTGCACGGGAGGGGAAGGGTTTCTCAGATTTTGTTTTACAGACAGCGAAGCTGTTTATGGCTAGGGTTCCGTGGATTTTTCGTGTGCAATGAGTAAAAACTTTACGCTCGCACCGCCACACGCGCACGTCTTCCCCGTATAAAAGATTGAGTAAATAACCCAAATAAAGCGTTGATGAAAGCACGTGCAAGATGCCATTTGTTTTAGGCTTTTGCATTGAAGCAGTTACTGCTGCAGACGCCGGCACGTGCCGCGCATGGAACACCATTCCTTGCATTCTCCTTGATGCTTGGGTAATTTGGCAATAGTTCTATTCAGTAGATTAGTTATCAATAGGCAGCATTTTCAAGATCAGAAGTCTCTCCGGTAGATAATAAAGGTTTCTCAAAGACTAACCGCTGTGCGACCCGCGTCGCCCATGTCTACGCTCGCACCGCCCTCTCTTTGTCGTCGTTCCAAGTGCTTGTGTGCCTAGTTTCCTTTCCTTCCGCTTTCCCGAAGTGACAGTCGAGTCGCACGTGTCTACTTTCCGATGAGTAGCGGTCCCGTTGCACGTCTAGTTTCCTCTGGCTCCTCGGGGCGGGTCTGTGTCGTCTGCTAAACGGCTTCGCTGGTCATCCACCTCCACAGGGTGGTGGGTCATGATTTTTCTTCAGTTCGTTGTGCCTTAATTGCCCTTCTTCTGAGAGCATTTCATAACAACCAACTTTCAGCCAGAAAGCAGGTACAGTCTAAGGTCGTTATAACAGACCCTGATTTTGACCAAGATTTCGGTCTGTTGTAAAGGGAGTATGTTGTAGGCAGATATGAAGTTGAGTGAATGGTGCATAGAGGAAAACCAGCCGAACTTCACAAATCGGTATGTTATATCCAAATGTCTGTTGTAACCAGGTCTGTTCTAATGAGCTTAGACTGTATGAAGTAAAGTAAAACATACAAAGACGTATTACGATTACTGCAGTCAGCCTAGGGTGGACTTGCATCATTCGGGCTTACAGATAGGCAGACAATCTCACACTCACAAAATGTCTAGGTAAAAAGTTAAAAACCTGACAGGGAGGTTCAACGTGTTTTGCGAGAAAAAAAAAGTGCAATTATGAGAATGACATTAAGGTGACTGAAGACGAGGCTTTCATGATCATTTCTTGTTTTGCTCGAAGCTCATCCACAAGAATGTCCCTCAGTCTTGGATCTGCTTCTGCTAGGGGGTACAGACTTTGAAGGGCTCCAGCCATGCCTGTGCGCTGTAGCTACTTCATTCCCTCGCTTCCTCGGGTTCTAAGCGAGTCATGGGATCTCGAGGAAGGCAGTGGTTCATGGTTAGGCCGTGCCGAAAGTGTCGTGTCTGCCTGTCCACGAGCACAGGCTGTGCAGTCTGGGACGTCCATCCCCGGTGCCGACGGTCGCCGCTTCTCCCTGGGATACCTGGAGGCCTGCCTGAGCAACCTGCACCACAGCATCCAGGCCGAGCTGGCAGCGTGCAACCTGGTGGGGCCTTCTCTCTCTGCGTCGTGCGGCATCAGTCGCCTTGTGCAAAATTGATTCATAAAGCTGTACGAACAGTGTTTGCCAACGACTTACCCCTCAATTTGTAGGCTTGTATCGTATTTAACTTGCGTTACTTGGGAGATTTATTTTGCTCAGTGCTTATGACTGGTTTTTGTATTATCTGTTCAATTTGTAAGTGGTCGAGGAAATGTCCCTGGCAGTTTGGGATTAGCTTAACCCAGGAACTTGCCGTGTTGTGTCTGGTACAGACACGACACAACCCACTTATGGTAAGTATTTGTTTTTCAAACTGTTTGTAAATGTGCCAGTTTGTAAAGAAGTTTGTTATGACAACAGCGTTTCGTAAGTTGGCCCATGTTGTTGAGGCTTGCAATGGTAGTGTTTTATTGAGGAGTGTGTTTAGAAGAATTGTGAGCTCACATTCTGGCTTACTGCAAGTTTGCCTGAAGCCTGGGAGCATACACACATACAGTTGTGTCGCCCCAACGAGGCCTTCCAAGCAGTTGTTTACCCAGGCTTCTCACTCTGGGTGCATGTTTAAAAGGTCCAGTGGAGGTGTTTGGGGATGTGCACACAATTGGCATGAGTTTTGCTTAGGAAATTCTTGTGGAATGTTGTACTCTAATACCTGGGGGAGTTTGGGGAAGCGTGTGTAGATTGCAGCTTCCGAGTCATCCCCGCAACCATTGCAGGCGCTCTCTGCGGACAAAAGCCCGCTGGCCCGGCTGGTGTGGCGGGTGCACAACTTGCTGACGATGTACCTAGAGCGGGCCTCCTCAAGATCCGTTGTGCAGTGCCAGCACACAGCCTTGCTGGAAGAGCTGCGGCCCCTGGACTGGGACGCATCTCAGTGCATGGCCCAGGCCGCAATGGAGGCCAAGCGTTTGCTGCGAAAGCTCAAGTCTCGGCTCAGGCACCGTCTTGCAGATTTGGAGGACCTTGAGGTAAGTGCATGTCTTCTTAAAAGACCCACTCACAAGGTATTCATGGTCGCCAAGATTTTTATTTGTGCATGGCATAAGAGAGCCCAACTACCCAGAACACAATTTGCGGCTCGAAATTAGTTGTCTTTCCACCCAAAAACCGCCGACCTAGAATTGGCCGGTTTGAGTCTCGCTCACTCTCTTTGTTGTCACGTGCAATTTTCATTGGCTTACACACAACCACCAGAGATAATAAAAGTTGTGGGTCATTGAAAGCAAGCAATCATTGCTAAATATATATCTTTTTTTCTTTTTGCTTGCAAAGAGTTGCAAGTATGTTGATCAAAAAAGAAAAGCTTTACAGTTACATGACTTGGTAACATTCTTTTCTATATTTCTTCCTCCCCAGTTCAATTTTGGTTTCGAGCAGTTGTGTTTTTCTTTTTCTTTGATTAAACATATATGTGATGCTGTAGCAAAATATTGATTGGGTGGACACCATAATAAATTGCCGGGCAAAAAAATAAAAATATTTTTTGGGGGTGTCAGTGTTCCTTTAACGTGTTCTATCAGCCTAACTGTAATGAAGAATTCTCACGAAAAAATGCAATTTCTCCGCTAAATCTAGTGCCTAATACTATTGCATCCCATGCCATGTGACGTAAAGTTACTTGATGTCAATTTCCCTGCTGAATTCAGCAGGAAAATTAACATTTCGTGAGCCTCATCATGTGACCACGAGGCATGATGTCAATTTCCTCGCAGCGGGGAAATTTGTCATACGATGTGACCAAGTCACGTGCCCTCGAGTAACTTGGCATCAATTCCTGCGAGGTGCGGTGGTTTGCACTTGGCACATTCTGAGCTTTTTGTCAGCATAATCAAGCTTGTATACGGTAAATTTTTTCCAAAGTCATCCTTTAGGTTAGTCTGCTTGCTGATCTTTATAATACCGGATAACCCGGTTGACAAGTTTGTCACAGGACCTGTCGTAAAAAAGTAATTGTCTGGAGAAATTTACTAACAGGTAACTTGTGGACTATAGGTGGGGTTCTGTTTTTTCGGCATATGCCGACGAACCACTAAAAAAAAAAACCCTGGGCTGTTCTGTCAGTATCAAGTAAAACTGATAAACATTGAACTGGTGCCACTTTCAAATAAGAAAAACCCAAGCTTCCTGGAAATAAGTCTCGGTTGACCTGGAACACAGCCTGCCCTGAACTGTCTGCGGGTATGCTGCTTTCTTTGGGGACACATTCCTTGTCCTTTTGTTGTTTTACCCGAACCGGAATCTGCTCAAGATATTCTGGTCATGTGGATGTTCCTCAAATGTTGAGGAATCCTGTGGTGGTATTTTGTGATCTTCAACATGGTACCTCGATAAACACAAACTATTTTTGCCCGACATTGAAAAATAGACACTGAAGAACGCAAAACCCTAGCTACGATTGTAACCAAAAAATATCGACCGATAAGGGTGAACGCATTCCCCTTTGTCAACTGCCGCTTCTAGCGGTGGGCAAAAAGCGGTGAAGTTTGATGATTGTTAGCTTTGTGCAAAAAAACTCTCGAGTCATTGTTTGAGTACCCAAATTTAAATTTGGAATTACCTAATCTTTTTGTAGATTTCTTTTGATAAAAGTATGTAAAGAGTTGATTGGAGGTGTTTCTTTTTCAAAACAAAAAAGTTCCAGAACTACTTTTTTTTTCTGTAACTTCCTGTAGTTTGTTGTTTACCAAGTTAGTGCCAGAACTGCATTGCAGTAGTTGCTTACCATTTGCAAGTTAGATTGAAATGCTGTGTAACGCTGTCTTGATGGCTCATTGACTTCATTCTGGCAGTGAGCATCTGTTGAAAGAGTAGTATTGAGATCAATGATAACTCATCCTGTCTATTGATGGTGGTCGGAGGTATATGTGACACAAAAAAGGATTGTTTTTTTTTTGTTTTTAGATATCTAAGTGGTCTGCAATATTACTTGTCACCATTGTTGGCCCATCAAATTTTGAATGTTAACGAAATGCCATGCTTTCTGTTCGAGCCAGTCTAGTCTCCAACCACAAGGGCGTCAAATGCTTGCTCTCTCTTGTTACCAGTCCGGAGACGAGGAAGAGCGGCAAAGAGTCACGGAGGAGATTGCAAAGCTGCGCCAGGAAGTGCAGGTGGCACTATCTCAAGAGGAGTACCTGCTGGTGAGCACAGTGCTGCCAACTTTTTTAGGCTCGTCTGACCGTCCACGCTCTCTCTCTTTGTCCCTCAGGACAGGCTGGCCCTTGAGCAGTGCAAGCATTTCCCGGAACTGGATTTGCTCTTTCCAGACCTGCAGCTAAGTCTTCATCAGGTATGCAGTTCAATCATTTTTTTTTTTTTTTCTGGTTTTATCGAAATTTACTTTTTGTAAAATTGAAGGGAAGCTAAAGAGGTTCTTGAAAAAAAACGAGTTCTACAGTATTTTTACCCTTAGAATTTGAATATCACGTTCGCTTTCCCCGAAGATTTAACTAAACGCGAGAAAACATGAAAAACCTCAGACTAGTCGTTACGTCATTCTATAGTCATGTCTCGTTTATATGGACCCAGCTAATGATACCATTTTTGGGGACCAACTGGGAAAATATGTGCATTTTTGTCTCGTTATTATGGACAACTCCCAGTAGGGACGATTTTTTGGGGGTACGGAGGTGTCTGTATTAACGAGACATCACTGGGATCTTTTGGCCGCCAAGCAGGTGTCGCTCGTGTGGGCAACGCGTGCCATTGCAATCTTGCCAGGTTTATTCCCCCACACTGACGCCAGTCGCGACGTCTTTTTTTTTTTTTTACCTCTGAAAATAGCAAGAGTGCGCGTGCATAGCTTTGATTGTCGCTGAAGATGCGCGAGAGTGGAGATTATGAAAACCCTGGATATGATGTCACGATCCGGGAAGGAGTGGCTTCAGCGGTACTTTGAAATTATTTCCTGCAGTCTTCGTGCACCGAATTGAAAAGTAATCTCAATATTTGTGATCCTGGAGGCCAAATGAAGGTGATTAAAAGGGACATGTGCCAGGGGAAACCACTATTTTTATTATTTACGATATTGAAACATTTTTATAGCTTATGGTGCTTAATCTTCCCTTTTTAAATCTGGTATTAGATTTCATATTTAGCTTGTTTTTTAGGTTATTGATACAATGCATGTGCAGGAAAGATTGTATTCTTGTGCACGTGTAAGGCACTGTAACATACTTTAAAAAGCCCAGTAAAATAAACTAATTTGCTCCTTCTAAACCACTGAGTGCAAGGAACAACAAAAATATTGGGTGGGACGTTTCTTTCTTTTTAGAATAATTAAAAATGGCAAAAATCTCATTTTAAGGGGCTAACAAATGTTTCTTAAATTTTTCATAAATATAAAATAATATGCATTCCAACCAAAGCTAGATAGTTGCATTCTGTATATTCTAAAGTATATGCATGCCAAATTTGGCTGCGATAGGACAATATTAAGAACAGAAATTCTTGTGTACAAACTGTGATGCCCCAAAATTACATAGAGAAAAACATATTCGAATGTTACCATAGATGTGGGGCAATACTCTTTCGCGTGGTGCACAAAATATCATTTTGTTAATATGTTTCTGTGAGAAATTGAAGCTACAGAATGGAGAGGAGACGCCTAGGCCTACCTGCAGGCCCTGAAACTGTCAGCCCCCGTGCGTTTGGCTCAAGGCTTACTGAATAATGCCTGCCCCGCCCTCCGCATTCCCATTGTTGCTCAGCTCCGCCAAACCACGCACTTGGCTAAGAACAAGCACTTGGCTCTGTTTTTGTTACAGCTGGTTACCCTCCAAAACACAGTATACAACCTTTGCCCACGAAATTCCAAGAAAAACAAAAATAACAAAGTAAAGCAAAGAGTCAGTCAACCTCGGTCAACGGAGCCGGGAAAATAGGGGGAAAAAAAAAGGCGGCGCCTGTTGTTTGCACAGCACAGTCAGGGAGATATCCTCTCTTCCCCTGCTTGGTCGTTTCCCTTGGTCTCCCATACTGCACTTGCGGGTTGACAGTGCGGGGGAACACGCATTGTCAACCCGCATAGAAGACACTTCCGGGGTCGCTGCCTACCTGTCAACGTAAATGTGATGGCAGACAACCTCACAACTCAGAGAACCATGCTGAGAAAAATGGCTCAAATTTATGCCGTCTGCATTGCCTGCAGGCCTTCAAATGCATATTTGACTAATTTCACTATCATAATTGCAAATGATTATTTTAATACATCAAATATAAAGGTTCAAAAAATGATAAAACACTAACTCCCAAAATCAGACTTTTTGCAAAATATTACTGGTTTTCGACCCACATCTCCCCTTAAAGGGCTACTCCACCGATTTTTTCATTGTCTCCGATTTGCTTGAAATTTTGCTAAACTAACCCACAAACATCGCGAAAATAGTATCCCAAATATTAGGTCAAAATATTGTTTTTTCGCGAAGTTGAGTTTACAGTTTTGGTCCTTACCGTGTTTTTCAAGCTCGAAGTCTCTACTGGCAACAGTGAAAAAATGACGTCAGTGGAAGGCAGGGGTTCACTCTTTGGGCTGTAGATTTTGTTTTAAACTGATTCGAAGCAGTTTCATGGTGTCAAATGAATGCTTGGGAAGCTCGCTGCAGTACCCGCGCTCCAGCACGGAGCAAATGATCGGCACATTCTATTTTTTGGCTGCTTGCTCGACTGGCATGCCTGCCTGCCACTGACGTCACGACCCTGAAAAGCGCGCGAAAATTCGAATGTTGGTTTTTGCATCATTTTCATTTGCCGATTTCGCAATAACTATTATGAATTTCGCGATTCTAAATAGCATACCGGAGAGAGTAAAGGCCGGGGAGTCAGAAAATATAGTTAGTTGAGGTAGCTCAAAAAATCGGTGGAGTTCCCCTTTAAAGGCCGACGTACACTTTGCGCTTTCCACTTTTGCCCGTCACCTCCTTTCGTATATCCTCTCCCCGTTTTACCTCGCCCCAACCTGGCTCCCCCTTGCAGCTTAGGAGAGGGGAGCGCTAAGAGGATTATCTTCCCTGCAGAAGACCGAGGTTGTACGTCGGTCTTTAAGTGTTTTTCCTCAAATGCAGAACCTCTTTAGTTTCCCCTTAAATCTTTAGCTCGCGAGTACTTCCGCGATAGTCTACAAATAATGCAAATGGCTTTACAAGCATTTTGACAAATTATTTCATTTTGAGCTTTATTCTATGCGTCTGCCAGTTATTTAGTGAAAGCTGTTTCTAAATTTATGTATTAAAATTCCTCTGCTTTCGAGGACCCTTTTCATGTGCCTGATTCACGTCAAATGTCTTTTTTTACGTAAATGTTGCGTCATGCGCCAGGGGAGTCGTAACACAACCAAGAGGGCCTAAAATCGTGCTGATAGAACGGGGCCTCATTACTATACACCTTTTCTATGTGGGTGCCGCCATCTTCAATTCTGGAACTTCCGGTATGTGTGAAAACATTACTTTCTTCTCGCCTTGCCAGTGGAACATGTTAACGCTTTAATTGCAACCGTCGTACCTTGTTATGTCCTTTCAATATTTTTCCTTCTTTTTCCGGGGCTGAAATCTCTTGCTTTTTTTTTTCGGAACGCATAGCGGATATGGGGTCAACGTGGCTGGGTACGAGGCTAAACGAAAAAGGTGTATAGTCGCCGACAAGATGAGAACGGCCAGGGAAGAGTTTCGGCAGCCCCGTCTCCAGCGCGAGCGTCCTACCTTCGACAATGCCTCGACAGCCTCTAGCAAGCCCGAACAGCCAAGGCACAGCGGAGAGGGAGAAAAATTGGTTTATTGGAAAGGTGAAGAGGTTATCCCGCGGAGATTGGCAGGATGCCTACTTCACACTTGGGAGAGGGAAAGAGGGAAGGTAAAGATTATAAAAAGAGAGAAAAAAAAGGGTATGTACATATATATATACATACCTATATCCATACATCTATACACATGTATATACATACACACATCTCTATATATATATACATGTCTTTTCCCCTATATGCACATATATACATATACACATACATACATATGTGTGTATATATGTGTATATATATACACATATATATATATATGTATATATATACACATATATATATATATACATACATATACACATGTATACATATAGTATACACAAAGGAAAAGGAAATTCCATTTGTTGTCTGTTCATTTAAAAGTATGTCCTGGATTTAGGGTATTTGGTCCAGTTTTGTTTTCTGAAGAAAGTGGATGAAGGAGGTTGTTGATCTGACCCTTTCCGATTTTCCGATGCCGAGTCCCATGGTCCAAGCAGGTGAGTCAGGGAAAGAGCTTCTTCGTTGGGAAGATGGAGAGAGTTTGCCAGTTCATTTTGTGGAAGGTGGCCAGTGCATGCTGGAGGCAGGGTGTTTGTAGTAGACAGCCTGCTGGTCTTACCTTGTCAGTGGACATAGCTGCACAAATCAAGTGGAGAACTAGAGTTGACCTGTTGTTCCTATTCTTCTTTTTTCTCTTAGAAGTACGCTGGCCTGTTGAAGTCCAACTGGGAGCTGTCTTCGTTCGAGCTTGAGGGCAGCACCCTCCAGACCCGCTTCTTAGCCGAGAAGATGCTGCTGAGGGTGCGGGCCCTATCTTCTTCGTTTCTGTGTGGTGCTTTGTTTAACGGTGAAGAGTTGAGCTTGTTGGTGCTTTGTTTTCCTTTTTTTTGTTTATGAGTTGAGTAGTTTGTTTGTATCTTTGCTTTTTTGGGAGCTGTTGGCTAATGTAGTCGGTGAAGTTCTGCCTGCCAGATGCCAAACGAAAACTGTGGTTTAATTTTTTTTTTTTACAGATGCCAACTGATAGCATGCAGAGATGACCGTCTTTTGGTTGTCCTAAAACGAGGTTCTAGAATTTACTTACCGTAATATCCCGAGTCATCGCCCATCCCCGAGCCATCGCCCACCCCATTTTTGGGGCCAATCTCGATTTCCGGAAAAACACCGAGTCATCGCCCACCCCTTCAAATACCCCAGCGCGGACTCTGGGATCCGCGAACACTCATCCTACCCGAATGACGCGGCCGCGGGCCTTACAGTTGAAGGACGTCCGTGACAAAGTGAAACGAAGGAGGGAAAGACACTTTGTTTTGTTTACGCATTTCCTCCGTGAGCGACCCCAAAGTGGTTGTGTATCCGTGCGAAAAGAAAACGATGGAGATAACAAAATAAGAGTTTGTTAACGTAACCGCGGAGTGTTAGGTCAAAGTCTGTCTCCGCCGAAGTAAGGTCACCACAAACCCGCTCCTTCTTCCCGCCCGTCGCGACCGCTGTTGTGCAATATTTTAGGCAAAGCCAAAGCGTAAATAAAGCTTTGCTGGAACGTCCTACACAGACGTTTACAGAGCGTCCCAACCGTGCATTGATAGCCCGCAGTTCACGGACGCACGTATGTACGCACCAAACAAGAAAGTTGCACAAGAGCTTGCAATTGACAAGGCGCCCGACTTGGCCCGACGCCAAAGTATTTGCCAACGTGACCACCGGCATTCCCGCTTTCCCAGCATTGCTCTTGGTCGCCTTTGGTCCGCTCGCTCGCTCGTTGCGCCTGGTCGGTTTTTCTATTTTCTTGTAGACTTTTCTTTCTTCTTTTTACTAACTGGGAAAACATAATGGTGACATTCTTTCACGGAACAAACGTTCGTGCTATATGCAGATCGGCGGTGTTTCTAGCGCGTATGCAAGCAACGGACTTCGCTATAGTAAAATATTCTTTCGTGAGCATTTTTTTCTATAAAACAATGAAACTAAATCGAGTTTTGAGTTTGATGTATCTCTTGCGCATCAGCGCTAGATACGCAGAGAAAAATAGGCGGTTTTTTCCGCTTTTTTTCAAGTGTTTGTGCTCACCCACCGAGACATGGCCCACCCCACTTTTTTAACGAATTTCAGGCGGTTGGGGGGTGGGCGATGACTCGGGATATTACGGTATGTGTGCTCTAATGGATGTTAAACAAAGTGTAAACTGGCTAATAATTTGTCAGTGTCTAGAGGACTTCTGATAAGGCATAAAGTATTGTGGAAACGCAAGGGCCCAACAATTGAGAAAAAATATTCGACATCTTGTAAACCCTGAGATGGGTTTACCGTTTTTTTATCGTTCCCCATCTCAGGGTTTACAAGATGTCAATTAATTACCACCTCGCCTGCACTCTCTCACTGCTTACAAAAAATATTACCTCAAAATCCAGCTTTTTTTTTTTTTTTTTTTTTTTTTTTTTTTTCTGCTCTAAAATGCATCATTTGGTCCTTCCCCCACATTCCATGCTTGTCCTTGCTCGAGAAGCTTGGCAAACATCTCTGGTCAATAATGACCTCGCAAAAATAAAATGAACAAGTTTTTTTGTTTTTGCAAATAAATACTATGTGATTTGCATGCTGAGCATAAGTGACACTTAGTAGTTATTATGTAAGAGTGCTGTGAACATTTTTCCTTCAGGAGTGTGCCATTGATAGTCCTGAGAGCAAAGAGCTACTGCTGTCCAGGACTGCCAGCTATGCCAGGGTCTCCTGCAAGCATCTTCTTCGCATCCGAGCAGCCTTTTTGTCCAAGGTCAGGGCCAATTTTTGCTTATGTACCCAAGCAAGCACCAGAGCAACCTTGATGTAGCCATGTGTTCCCAACATAAAGCTTTCCTGAGCCATTAAGCGTAACCGAACTCGTAACTGGTGGACAATGGCATCCCAAAGTCGCCACAAGATGCCCGACTCTTTGGTTACCACAGGAATATGACCATTTTTTTTTGTAGGCCTTAGAAAAAATATGTTTGCCTTTATAAATATTGCTAAAGTATAGCAAATTGTAGACAACTAAATGCTGCTTCCAAAAATGTGAGTTGAAAAGCAAAAATCTTTATTCAATAATACATCAAAATTTTAAAAAGCACCATTTTTGTGGCCAGTTAAAAAAAAATGTGGTGCCTACAGAAACAAATGAAAAGAAATTCAGAATATATATTTTGAAGACACTGTCTGAGAAAGGAAAAAAAAAAAAAACTGCATACAGGCAGAGGTGGACCGTGCACTTTTGGCACACATTTGTTTTTTGCTCGTAGCACATTTTGCAGATTCACTTCTTCTGCATCGTCTGGGAGTGGTGCTGCAGTGTGTTTTTTTGGTACAGGGTCAGCTGGAAAAATTTCTTTATTTTCGAGCCCGAGCAGCTACCGGATGAACTCCGGAATGTGCATCCACACATATTTGTTGGTGTGTCACAGATGGTCCTTATTACCTCCGTCGTGAAGAAAAAAAAGAATTCCGAGCAGTTGTTAACTGTCTTACACTGCTCCATGGCCCCGGTCCGATATGTGCTTAGGGTGGCTTTCTTGGGGTGAACCGAATTTCTTTGCGCAGGTGACAGGACTTTTTGGCCAAGCGAAGTAGACACCCTGCTGATGAGTATTGCTCTGAGGTCGTACCATTGTGGGTCGTACACAAGCGCGTAAGCGCAGGGAGACCGCCCAAAGTCCTAAACCTCACTGCTGAATGGCTGCAGATGTTCTGGGCCAACTCTAAACATTGTCGCTGTCAGAGCTTTAATCGGATGAAGTTCTGTCATCTTCAGACTCTTAGCTGAAGCCCTCATCACAAATATTGGGTGCGGGTACGACGTAATTCTAAGCGGGACGCTTTTTTCGCGATGTAGCGGTGCGTGGCGACGACGCCATGGCGGAGATGCTCAGTGTGCAGTAAATGTGATTAGCACCTGCAGCGCCCTTTGCCGGGATTTTACTGGAGAAATGGAACTGAAACTTTTATAAACTTGCTTATGGCCAGGCCTGCATGAAGGGCATGCAACAGACCTTTAGAAATGCGCCGTAGGGAAATAAAACCTCGGACTCGAATCCAAAGTACCAAAGTTAACCATCGAAAAGCTGGCATCTTTTTTGGCCAATTATCGCCACCCAACGCTGTCAGGTCGCGAATCCGACGACATAATTACATCTTTTGATTAAGGTCTGTTTACACATGCTGCGGATCGCTACAAACATAGCGCTGTCCTCGTGCTAAGCGCATGCTGACAGAACCAATTACCGATTTATTTGAATATAAGGCGAGGTTTTTTTTTCCAAAATCCGTAATCTCAAAGTCACACCCATAGGTCGGCATTTCCGAACCCACTCACTCACCATCACATCACTAATTACAGCAACATCCAAAAGTCACAGCCCTTCACATCACAAAGTACATCGACGTCCAAAAGTCACAGCCTTTCACATCACAGAGTACACCGACGTCTAAAAGTAACGGCCTTTCACATCACAAAGTACACCGACGTCCAAACGTCACAGCCCTTCACATCACAGAGTACACCGATGTCTAATATTCACGGCCCTTCACATCACAAACTACACCGACGTCCAAAAGTCACGGCCATTCACATCACGGAGTTCAACCGGACAACAAACTCATCCCCATCACGTCACCTCAATCTCTGAACTCACAAAGTCATTCACCGTCACTTCACGAATCCGTCAAGTTCACGAAGTACTTCACCGTCACATCACGAATCCTATAGAGTTCATGAAGCATTCCCCATCCCATCACCGCCAGCTCTGAATTCACAAAGTCGCTCACCGTCACATCACGAATCCGACGGAGTTCATGAAGCATTCCCCATCCCATCACCGCCAACTCTGAATTCACGAAGTCGCTCACAGTCCCATCACGAGCTCATCGAGTTCAGCAAGTCGTTCCCCTCACGTCCGTGAACTGATCCCGTTCATGAAGTCGTTCGACCGGTTCGACTTCACGGCCCTTCACCGAGTCACAGTCATTCACCGAGTCACAGCCATTCACCGAGTCACCGAGGTCACGGAAAGCGGCGTCGGCCCCTGCAGCCGCGGCCACCGCCACTGCCTCCGGCTCTCAGCCATCGAAGTTCTTTCGCAGCCGCGCTGACGGCTCCAGATGTGTGTGTCAGTGTGTGTGTGTGTGTGTGGGGGGGGGGGGGGGGGGGGGGGGGGGGCGGGGGGGGTATTGGGCTGGGCCTGGCGACGCACCCTGCACTTTTCATTTTCTTTGTTTAGCTTGTTCCCTCTGGTTTCAGTTTTGTTGTCCCGTTTCTTTTATTTTCGTTTTGTTTCGCGCTTTCTTCATCGAGCGCGCATGCTGCGGAGAGCGAGCGGCTTCTTGACTTCCCTGCTCCGAACTTGTGAGATAAGGTGCTTGTTTCCGGGAGAGTTATTAGCCCCACGGATGCCCAGAACCAAAATGGCTGCTGGTTTGTGGGCGAGCGGTATTACAAAGGGTGGCATCACTCTAGCAAAGCGCACATGAAGGCTCCTTAGACGTCGCCTGGTTGTCGGCGTTGTGATTTTGGAGGGGACCCCACCTCAAAAAACTTCTGGCCTGTCCTTTTTTTTTTTTTTTTACCTTTTGTTGCGCACGGTTTTTTCTACGAAAAAAAGAGAAGGCGCTTATATTTTTGCCAACGACCGCTCGCCGAGGGGGCAAAAAGGAGAGACAGACACGATGCTGCGTGCACGATTTTTGTGAAACATCTTACAAACATTAATACGAGTCCATATTATATGAACGAAGACGTTTTAGTGCATTAGAGTTTAGCGAATAGAGATCACATACGCGAGTCGACGTTTAGGCATTTGTAGGGGCGGCAAACTGGGCATCCAAACAGACCGCGCCAGGCGGTCTGTTCAGAACGATTGCAAGGGGTGCTTCGCTATAGTTTGGGGGAAATAATATGAACTCAAGTTCGAGCGTCCATCGCCAAAGGTTCGGCAAGCTCGAAAACAGGACAGCGGCGGCCTTCATTTTATCTATTCGGTCAAATGAACGCCGCCATTCGCTAAAGTGGCATGCGATGAAACGTCGTGGGCCAGGTTTCGCTCGCTAAACCGTCGTTCGATCAGTACAAAATTGTTCTGTGTATTTTATCTTAATAATTATGATCCATGGCAACCAGCCTATCGTTGCCTACCTCACTTTACGTCGTAAAATAGCGCGTTGATGTCACTTTCATAAGAGATACCATAATAACGCAGTACTTCACAGCCGACCGCTGAATCACCTGTCTAATATTTTGTCACGAATTTCATCATATATATATATAAAGTAGACATTCCAAAACAAGAGTCATCCATTCCCAAAAATTTCAGTGGACTGGAACTACCTTCCCACATCTGTTGCCACAATTGCCACTTACTATATGTTTAAAAATTGCCGTAAATAATCTATACAGCTCAGACTGAGCTCCAAAGTGTACAGCTTTGTTCTGTTCTCTTCTAACTCCCGCTCACTTCTGTAACGCTGATGGCCCTGAGGGTATGTCAGTTAAACAAATAAATAAAAAAATTAAGTGCCTCGCCTGAAAAACCTCTTAAAGAGGTCGCCTCTTTAAGAGGTTTGCAGCTTGCCGAAGCAATGAAATCTGAGTTTTATTCGAACCCGTTGGTCAGAGTACACCTCATCATTAATTAAACCACTCATTGGATCATTCACCTCAAAGCAATATGTTTACTTCCGAGCGTGTTCGTGTCGCTCAACCTTCTTTGAGCGAAATGCAGTCGAGATAACTAATGATGGCGCTCGACTCCACTTTTCTCAGCTTTGAACCGAGGCGAGGCGCGCGACTCACGCGCGCCTCGCGCTCGTTGTTTTACGCCGGGGTTTGGCTGCGCATAGACTCGTATTATAGGTAGCGTACTGTGTTTTCGGAGTTCATGTTTGAATAGAATCGGAGCGTGTTTTTAGGAGTTTATTTTGTAGCGTAGTCTACACTGGCCGAGGTTGAGCAGTTTCGCGTGGCTTCTGGCGAGCCGTGCTGCGTATGCGCGAGGAGCAGTGACGTCACACGTGTCAGCACCGACTGGCCTGCCTTCAAACTTTACCACCGTTCGACTAAACATCTGTTGGACAAAGAGTCAATCATTTGCTAAAGTCCGACGGGGCGGTGTTCGCGAATATAATAGACTCGGAAACTTGATGGGACGCAAGTTCTTGAAGCGGGAATCTCTACGAAGCGTTTTATTAGAGGACAGGGTCTTCTAGTTTCACCCCTTGACATTGCTTTCAGTCAGGATGGCACGCGCTGTGCGATTGATTGGGAGCTAGTGCGCCACTTTCCGCGAGAACACCAGTAATGCAGGCGGCTGCTACCAACGGAGAAAACTGCGAATGACAAGGTATCTAGACTTAAAGGGGCGGTGCAACGATATTCAATTGGAACGTTTTTCACTTTACACGAGCTTACTGGCACTAGTGGTTCTCAAGGATACTCACACGCAACACCACTGGCCAAGAAACTCCTTTGTTGCGCTGTAATTTCGAGGACAAAACCGAGCGTTTTCATTCAATCTCTCCTTCGCAAAACCTGGTAACGTCCCTGGGCGGTAGCAGTACCGCCCAGTGACGATATATGAATGCGGCTCATAGATTGGACCCGAGCATGGCGTGGACACTCGATTTGGGCTCGTGATAATCGATAGCTCGAGAAGCATTCGGGTATGTCCGGTGTCCAAGCGCTGCAATGACGAAAACAGCCGAACCATAACAATGTCTGGAACGCAGCGCGTGTCCTGTGCCTTGCCAACC